TTAAGGGGATGGGGTAAAGGAAGGGAAGGGATGTTAGGGGGAAAAGGGTGGATGGATTGATATATTAAAGTAGTAATGATGATACCATTTTTGATTTTTTCGCTTATTTATTCTTTTTTTGAGGGGGTTGATTGGGTTTGTGTATATGTTGATTGTGATGAGTGTATGGTGGATTGATTGTTGATGTGATGTATATTTATCTATAACGGTTTTGTAGGTGTAGGTGTAAATAGATGGTATAGATGTGTACCATATAAATCTAGATGCAAGTAGTATTAAGATTTGGAGGTGTTTCGGGTGTTTTGGAGATGAGAGGGAGAGTGCTTGGGAAAAAGAAAAGAGGAGGGTAGTTGGGAGAGTAGTAGAAGGAAAGGAGAAGAAAATGAGAGAAGAGAGGGATGGAAAAGAATGGAAAGGAGGGGAAGTTAAGATATATACTAAATCTGGATGATTAAGTGATTAAGTGATTAAGTGATTAAGTGATTAATGAACGAACGGACGAACTGACTAGCTGGTAGAATAGCTAATGGATTAACTAGTGGACTAATTAATGAATTGGTTAAGCGACGAGCTAGTAAAGTAAATGAAATACTTATTAAACAAATAAAAAACAAATTATTTAATAAATTAAATAATAGATTAATTGATAAACTAACTAACAAACTACTTGAAGAATTAAATAATAAAATAATTGATAAATGAGTTGAAATGTGACCAAAAGAGTGTTTATAGACCAGCAATTGTATTTAACTTAGAATCTACAGGTGAAGAGCACCTGTAGATGGGGATAGCTACTCTATATATACACAAATGAATGGCCTAGCCGCAATGACTAGGCAAAAAGAAGTCATATTTATTCCTCCAATGATCTTACTTTACCGATAACCATTGATACCTAGTACTTGTCCGGATCTGATCCTCAGGTCACCTAAATCGCATACTAATCTCGAGTAATCGTATCATGTGTGGACATGGTTAATGTACCTGAGGTTTCTTATATAATAAAGGTGGGGAGGAAAGCAGGGATTTCCGTCACATGAAAGATTAAATAATAAATTAAATAATAAATTAATTATATATTTTTATTTCAATCTAGACTTTAAGTATTAAATTTAAAAAAAAAATTAATAAATTAAATTATTAATTTTTTATAACTTTTTTTTAAAACATTTATATAAAAACAATTAAAAAATCTTAATTGTGACGGAAATCCCTGCTTTCCTCCCACCTTTATTATATAAGAAACCTCAGGTACATTAACCATGTCCACACATGATACGATTACTCGAGATTAGTATGCGATTTAGGTGACCTGAGGATCAGATCCGGACAAGTACTAGGTATCAATGGTTATCGGTAAAGTAAGATCATTGGAGGAATAAATATGACTTCTTTTTGCCTAATCATTGCGGCTAGGCCATTCATTTGTGTATATATAGAGTAGCTATCCCTATCTACAGGTGCTCTTCACCTGTAGATTCTAAGTTAAATACAATTGCTGGTCTATAAACACCCTTTTGATCACATTAATTCATTTATTTTAAAAGGTTTTATTATATTATTAATTGTAAATATATAAGATTTTTTTTTTCAATTTTAATATAATATTTAAAATAATTATTATAAAAATATTACCAAAAAAAAAATCATTTTATTATAATAAAGAAACAAATAATGACAACATTTTAAATTATATATCATTATAGTATATTATTTATTTGTATAATATATTTATTTACGTCAAGAGAGTTCCGCGTTCCGTGTAGCCAGCCATTCATCCCTCCATTCATTCATCCTTCTCAACTCAGAAATTGCCGACCATAAGAACGATCAAGACCCCAGATCTAAAATTGCGGATGTAAATGTCGGATGGCAGTGACAGTGGCGGTTCTGAGTAGGAATTGACGAATCTTGAAGACAACAGTGTTTATGAGTAGGGAGTGACGAACGAGTATTGATAATGACAGCGAAAATTGCGAGGTGAGAATAAAATTGAGATGGATATGGGGATTCGCTGGGCCAGGTGAATATTGATGAAAGAAAGGAGCAAAAACTTTTGATCGGAAGAACTTGAGGTATTGATTTTCAAGTTGTTATATTGCCGGCGTCTGTTTTAGATGGGTTTCCCAGAAATGATGAAGCGAAAGATGAAGTTTATGTGTCGACGGAGGCCGATTGTGTGTGCAGCGTGAAGTCTTCATGTTGGAGTTGCAGCAATAGTGATAGTTAATGCTGCTGAGGACACAGAAGTCTTTGTTGCGATGCTGTGAGGTTGATACTGAATTGACGTTTTGTGAGAGATCGAGATATCCGGTTTGCTCGCTGAGGAACCCAACGAGAATCTCTAGAGCATCCTGGGAGTGAGAATGAGGGCAGATGATTATGATGAATGTCTTTGCAGCTGATAAACAATGGTCGATCAGACAATAGCAAGAATTGTCTCCACACCAACTGTTTGAAAGCTCCCCATCACTGTTGGTTGTTCTAAGTTCCAAACGGGAATCAAACTTTCTTTTGCTTGTTCAACCAGTCGTCAAGCCATTCCTCGAGCTTTTCATGATCATCAATAATCTTGAGACGACTATCGTTGGCTGCCAAGTCAAGTCAACAATATGATCGAAATAAAAAAGAATGATTGGAACCTACTCCACTGAACTTCACCTAAGAATGAGAGAGCTTCCGCGTAAGTTAATTCGGTTTTACTTTCGAGTGTTCCAACAATGACAATTGATTTCTCAACTTGCACTAATTAAATTTCAGCTTAGATTTTTATATGTTCTATGGTAGTTATCTTACTACGAAGCAGTCGAATATCAACTGATTCCCTCATCATAAATCTCGCGAAATTAGTCTCTTTCTCTTGGCCAATTCGAAAAATTCGACCATTAGCTTGGGATTCCGTCGCTGCATTCCACCAGAGATCACTATATATATGTTAGCATTCATTATCAGATCTGCACTATAAGTATGAAATAAACATACACCATAATCGCGCGATTGGCAAACGCGAGATTCAGGCCCACTCCACCAACCTTGAGGCCAATTATAAGTATTGTAAACTTTGGGTTTGTCTCAAATTCACGTAGAATATGAGCTTGATCGTTACTCTTCATTTCACCCTGCTAAAGTATCAGTAAATCTATTTTTGAAGGTGCAGAACTTTTGGCTCACAGTATAGTATAAGAAATTATAATTTTCCTCTTTGAGCATAATCCCGATGAGTCTCATCATCAATTTCCACTGAACAAAGATCACAATTTTGTCTGAAGGTGCCTCTCCGCGCCATAATCGAAGTTTTCGTTTAATAGCTTCCAATTTGGGGTCTGAGGAAGCTTGGTTTTTCCCTTGTTGAAATCATCGAGCCATTCCGATCTGACACTCAGTCTTGGTAAAAATCCCACTCTGTCTCGTCCTTTTTTCATACCAGTGTCCTCCTCAGGTCCAGTAGACCATGAATCCAGTGATATCATGCGATCGGGGTTGAATTTTCTGCCACAGCCATTGGCCGGACACTCAATATTCTACAGGTTGTAAGCAGGTTGAAATCCTGAGTGAACGGCTTTTTTGGTACGCACATCTGTCCTCGCAACCTGTGCATTAATGCTAACCTCTATGCAAATTTCGCAAAAGATATGGTCACAGCTCTTTTCGCCATTGCGATCCTTGCGATAATTGCGGACTTGACGGGGGTCATCTGCTTCTTGGTTGCAAATTTCACATATATGTACATCGATAACCTCATTACCAATCAAAGGTCCGTGGTGACCAGAATCTAAGCTGTTGATTCAGATACCCGTTCCTATGTGCGGATTAGATTAGGTAACATTAAATTTCTGAGGCACATACGATCATATAAAGCAGGACACGTCTTTTCCACATCTTTTCGTCATTTCTGAAGCTCTTTAGTCGTGAATAAAGCCTATAAGAAGTTAGTAAAGTCACGATTAAAATTGGTCACTTAGTTACCTTTATTTGTGGCTCGATAGCTAAGGGACTCGCGGTGAATCTAGTTTGTTAGCGAACAAAAATCAACACAAACAGGGGAATCTCACTGTCGTAGTCGCAAAATCATTACTATAAGATACTTCATCTTGTTACGGGGGTCATTATCGTCAAATTCCTGTTGAGCTATGATCTCTCGGAACTTCGATTCAATTGCACGATACAATGTCCGAGTCGCAAACCGAAATGATTCGGTTGCATTCTCCTTGTGCGGGGTAGGCAGTGTAATTAGTTCTTTCCCTAGAATCTGATCTTGCATAGATCTCCTATTTATCGCACATGTTAAAGATTATCTTCAGGATCCAGGGATATTTTTTCGAGGGTATTACACTTACCGAATCACTAGACGAGACAATAGTTTGTCCAATCGGCTGTTGCAGGCAGGCTATGAATGTATGTCAGCACAAATAATGCCCTTTGAGTAAAGGAACATACACTCGTGTAATCGCAATACTCTCTTTCAAATCTACAGATTGATCAGATAACACTGATTTAAGAAAGAATATTTCAACGAACATTGCAAGAGTTGATGCCTCCGCGTGTTTCAAGAAGCGGAAGTATGAATAAAGTTCTAGCGACCGTCAGCAGCATGAAGAGCCTTTTGGGACCAGGAATTAGACCTTCTCGTTTGTTCATCATGGGTGTCTGCTGAAGGTTAGTTTCAACGCGTGAATATTGTCTGGAGGTATCTCTTACGCTCGTCATTAGCCAGCGATATTTCCCAAGTAAAGCACTCGCCACATAACTAGTTTTTGATTTATGATTCTTAATGTGATGCTATGTGTGTCAGAAAGCCTCGTGAACCATAGTGATTATTACTTACAGCTTCATCGAGAACGACCTAATAATGATGTCAGCATGACTTTCAGTAGTACGATGAGTCTCAGGGAGTTAACTTACTCGGTACCAATTAATCTTATGCAAAACCTCACCACACTGTTCGCGATTGTCATCGATCCAATCTTCGATAGACTGCCGTCCATCCAATGTGCAGCTTTTCACCTTCAACTTTTTTGCTAGGTCTAAGAGCCACCAGGGTGGTGGAAATGGCGAACTCATTCGCATCTGATCATAAGAAGTTACAACCAGATCACTTTTGATGAGTGTGTTCTTGGAAAGCTTTTGGCTTTTTGCATAAAGAATCACATTTAAGCCGCGATCAGCAAGATGTTTGCCTATTTCCGAGACCCATTGTGCGGACTGCTAAGCATTAGTATCTGGAACAGCCTTCTGCATTTGAACTTACAATACTGGAGGGAACCACGATAAGAGTGGGGCCTATCTCTGATATCTCTGCGCCTTCAGGACGAGGGCTACCGACAATAGTCTGCCACCTATCAATAAAAGATTAAGAATACGAAGTTTTATTACATACGGCAAGCATCTCCAATGTTTTACCAAGACCCATCACATCGCAGTTGAAACCTCCCGATGGACCGTCGGGATCATACTCCCGGCCCAACATCCAGCTAGCACAGAGGAGTTGATGATGATATAGAGCTGCAAACACATGTGTCAAATCGTGCAAAGCATGGTAGAGTGGTCGGGATATTTACCTGTCTTTACCCCTTTCAAACACCATGTATTCTCGTTCCGATACCTCACATTGACCCGGCCAAAACCCTCGCCAGCAATCTTAAGTGCAGTATTATCGCCTCTGCAGTTGTGCATGCGCCCATCGGTTCGAATATTCCTAAGAACCTGATCAAAGTAATCCCTTTTCGAAGATGCTTCGATGTTAGTGATTTGCTCTTCAGCAGGCTTCTCTTTGTGGGCAGTAATAGGGTCGTGGTTCAAAAAATTGTGAATTTTTGAAGCTGCTCCATCATTTGCAAATGTTCTGTGATTTCGTCTCTTCTGAAATTTAACCTTTTTGCGGTGGTAACGAGCGTACCACTCTTCGGAAGTCTTCACGGACTTCTCCAGGGTTCTTCTCTTCTGGGAAGGGAGAGGGCCTGGTGCGACAGAAGGCATAGTTTCATCGTCTTCGATATCGCTGAAGTCACTATTCTCCAAATCACGCTCATATTCGGTTTCTCCATTATGAGGATTTTTATCATCTGGTGTTGGGGTGCGAGCAGATTTTGTCTGGTCCATTAACTCTGCAGCATGTCGAAACTCAGGAGAAGTTGTGCGATGAGGCACTCTCCTATCAAAGGGAATGCTCTTGCCCCAAAAAGATTTTCTACGCTTTGAAACGCTCCGCCTTTCGTCTGAGGATGAAGAGTCTGAAGACTCGATTTTCAGTTGAACATCGTTTCCTTCCAATTTAACCCCGGACACGGACACAGACACAGAATGTGATCTCGGGCGCTTGCGTGGCGTTTGTGCTGCAGATCCCGCACGTGAGGAAGACCAAACTGTTGCATCAATTTCTTCTAGCTCACTATCTTCAGCCTTGACTTCCGTTTGCCCTAATCCTTTCTCGGTAGACTTAGATCTTGGATAGGGAGTCCATACGACAGCATCAATTTCTTCCAGCTCACTATCTTCAGCCTTGATGGGAGTTTGAGCTGTACCATTGAAGCTAGACCTTAGCTTTGGTGTCTTAGCAGACATGCTTGCTGATTTCAATTGAGATTCTGAGCTCAGAATGAGGTCTGCATCAGAAGACAATGCAAGCTTTGTCGGTGGACTGCTGTCTGGCGGAGTTTGATTCATTATTCCTGTGTGTTTGATGGCATAGAAGAATGACTGCGGAGAATAAGAATTGACCATGAGATTTTTAATGGTGGAAGGGCCCGTATGTATCAACTTCGGGATGAAGCTCAGAAGAGAAAGGTTAGATATTAATAATCAAAAAGATCACCTAGGCAAATTATGAGGCTAAGATAGTAGATGATAGATCGAAGAAGGTTGTCCCTTCAAATTGGTGGTAATTTCGTGTTGAAGAGCTAGAATCAGCTGGTTAAGCCCAGCAGTTGAGGAATTAGTAGAGATTTTGTATCAAAAAGACAGAATTGAAGATATTGCAGATTAAAGATTGGAGATCAGAAGTGTGAGATTGGAGATTGGAGGTTGCTGGTCTAAGGTTGAAAGCTCAGGTTGAAGGTTTGAGGTTGTAGGTTGAAGGTTAAAAGACATCAAACCCGAAGACTTTCGAAAGAGAAACCTTAGCTTCAAAAGCCTGTCTTCTCGTCCCTATCAGATCCGTAACAGTGAATATCGACATGAAAAAATCGAAGATGAAGCTTTCTTATTCCTCGGGTAGCTGCTTTCAAGCCACTTTCATCATCCCGCTTAGATGCAGAATAAACGGTGAATCGCTTTCGCAACTTACATAGCTTAGACAGAGAACTAGAGGTCCGTGCTCGGTTTACCCGCCTCACACCCAACATAAAACTTACCTCGCTCGATCGAAGTCTTTTTGCTTGCTCATACTCTATCACATTTCCAAAAAGATGCATTTCGTATTTCACTAGGTAAACTTCTAAGGATTTTTCCACTTCTCCATCAATCAGTAAGTCCCGTTTGATTAGTCAGATAAACCATGCAAACGCAAATCCCTAACTTTCTCCAATTAATGCTGTCGCTTCCCGCTAGCTATATGCATCAGATTTGAATATATTTTGTAGAGAAAAGCAATTCAAGATCATCATCAACTGGAGTCAACTAGCAATTATACCCCAGTCCCGTTGTAGAAATCGTGATGCACACTTCCGTGATCTCAAAAGCAAAGAAATTTATCCCTCCTTTCCTTTCCATCCCATCGTCTCACTCTGAATTTCACCATAATTTCATACCAAATTTCACCTCTCTACTATGAATGCTAGTCCTCCCCTATAATCCTTCCTCACGAAACCTGATATAAATTCAACCTCAAACTTCCCCCGCAATACTCCGTCCCATTTCCCCTACACACCACACTACATCCCGTGGCACTCGGTGTCGTACCAACCTGTAATGTCGAGCCTGTATTGATCGCATTGCCGCAATAACATTCATCACCTGTATTGCACGTTTAACATTAGCACCATTCTGCTTTAATCCTATTATCAATCCAGGCCCGACTAAAAACTCCTCCTTCTACGTGCGGCTAAGAGATCCAAACTCACCATACTCAACTCCAAAATAATTCCAGGCCGCACAAGCAGCGGAACAAGCCTCTACGCTATTATTCACACCCGGAATTGGATTTTCTAGACCACTCAATGCACGACCGGTTGTAGATTCATTGTAGCAACCCAGGTAACTCCATCCTGTTAAATTTGTGACTGTAATAGGTCCTGTGGGGGCTGGTGTTGGTGTCGAAACAGTGCCGTTGAGTTGGTACATATTGAGTCTAGAACTACCTGTTTCAGATGGATTAGCATGTTTAATTTTGTGGGACTGAGCAGGAGAGGATAGGTAGACAAACCTCCGCAGTATTCACTTGCGTTACCAGCACATAACATATCACATCCATTTACAGCGGGTATTGTGCTAGCCTGAAGAACAGATCCTGCGTTTATGGTGGCACCACAATAGCATCTAAATCGGGTCAGTGATGACATAAACAAGAGGGAACTGGGCTGGCTAACTCATTAGAATATTCCATTCCGAAGTATTCAAACCCGGAACAAATCTTTTGGCAAGACTCGATTGTGAAACCACCAACTGGAGGGGCGGGCTGTAGACCAGAGAGAGCACGACCTGTGGTTGCTTCGCTGTAGCATCCTAGATAATCATAACCGGGGACATTTGTCACTGTGATGGGGCCAGTGGGTGTGGGAATAGCTGATGTTGACGAAATCGATGAGGAAGTTGAGACTGTAGATGATGTTGAGGATGACGAAGTAGGTGTGGAGGTAGATGTGATTTGCGTCGTAGAAGTTGATGAAGTAGTACTCGAGCTTGTTATAGATGTAGTTGAACTAGTTGATGTCGTAGATTGAGGCGGAGAGCTCGCGGTGTTTAGCATATATACATCGAGCCTTCCCGGTCCTCCGCAATATTCTTTTGCATTGCCCTTGCAAAGCATAGAGCAACCATTGACACTTGGATTACCGCTAGTCTGATTGACCGAACCGACACCTATCAAATTACCGCAGTAACATTCATTGGCATACTCCATACCAAAGTATGTGAATCCTTTACAGCCAGCTGCACATAACTCGATCGTGAACCCTGTAGGTGGTGCTTGGGGACTCGAACCAGCCAAGGCACGACCATTTGTCCCTTCACTGTAACATCCGAGATAATTGTAGTTACCAACACTGCTGACTGTCTTAGGACCATACAGTGCTGGGTCAGTTCCAGCAACATATTCTGTAGGATTATAGAAGACTGAAATATAACCAGTCCCACCGCAAGCATCATTAGGATCGCCGGGGCAAGCAAAATTGCACAACGCATCAGTAACATCTTGTGCCGCTAGTGGTGGTGGAGTATTTCCACACCAACATTGGCTCGTGTATTCGGTACCAGCAAAGCTGTACTGTGCCAGTCCGTAACATGCTTCTTGGCACATATCATTATCATTAACGGTTACATTAGGAGTGTAACCTTGATTCGGAAGTAGACGTGGTCCCGTCGTGGATTCTTGAAAACATCCGAGGTAATTATAAATTGTTTGTCCAGTCGTAGAATTTATCGGGCCAACTTTTTTCGAGATGACGGTGCCAGTAATTTCGACAACGTGAACTCCCCAGTTAACATCATCTGTATTCAACGTCCAAGTGTTATTTAGCAGCAGGTCTGGCTTATTGTATTCTTCCACGTTTGCGGAGAAAATAACGGTTCCATATGCACAATCATTGACAGCTATCTGTTGTGATTCGTGCAGTTCAGTGGGGTCACTGATATGAAATACACCATTTGGTGGTTTGCTTTTGCTAATTTCTAGCGAGGAACCTCCAACATTACAGATTCGTATCTGCTGCGAAGACGAACTTCCAGGTGCTACTTTTCCGAAGTCCATAAAAAGATTAGCTTGGGGAAGCCATCCGCCTTCACCATTACTAATTGAAAAATTCGTTATCGGGGCCGTGGAGGCAATACCCTCAAGAATGATATTGACTGAACCTCCATCTGACCAGACTTGCCAGTAAGAGTTGTACGATCCAGTTCCATTGGTCGGGTCAAAAGAGGATTGTATAGATAGCTGCGAACTTGGGGCTACCTGACTTCCTATCGCTGGAAGGCCTACTGCAGTGAAGTATCCAAACCCCAGGTCCCATGTCCCGTTTATCACGGTGCTGTTGATGAAGACTGGATTATCATCCAACTCATCCGCAGTGTATGCATACCCCGTAATTGTCATGGACATTAATCCTTTATTCGATATCGTGAAAATAGCAGACTGAGGATTGATATTACTAGTACTCGTGATGATAATTCCGCCGTAGTCCACGGTGGTAGGAGCAATTGCCAGGAATGGTTTTGAGGACACCTCAGTACCAGTCAAACTTATTGGGTAAAGAGTAGCATAGCCAGCTACTGCATTTGTCGTTAAAATTGTCAAGGGGGTGCTTTTGATTCCAGGAGATACATTTCCAAAAGAAGTGTTTGCCGTGGCTCCCACTTGAACATTCGTCAAATCCCAAGTGACGGGAAATATGAATGTGGCACCCGCGTTCAAGGGTCCGGTTGGCAAGGTTGAATTATTGACTGAGAAGTATCCATTCCCAACAGTTGCACCATTTATTGAAGTAATGGCAATAATCGCAGTACAACTAATATTCTGAACCGACTTACTTCCAAGGGCTACAACCCCGAAATCAACTGGAGAAGTGCAATTTACTACATATTGAGTTAGCATATGTTATCCCAGATTCTCGACAATCAGACAAAAGATTTTGATGATGTGAAAACATAACATCACTCACAAGGAAGGTTAACAGGTGCTCCGAGACAATAAAGAACGCCATTTGAATCTGTTGTATATACTCGACCGTTTCCGAAAGCCGGGCGCTGGAATTTGTTCGCACCTCCAATTTGCGGTATCTTTATTTTCTGTAAAACACCATTTTGAGGAACAGCATACCATGCACGGAGCCCAGCATCAGGATCTGTCATCCAAAGGATGGCCGTGCCAATTTGATTATTGAAGCTAGTAATGGTTGGAATTCCCACACCAACGCGACCTGCAGATATCTCATTAGTTTGACCAATCTTAGAGAATTGGGGGATACCGCTAGACGTGAATGTGAGCTGATAGACTGATGTTGCTAAGCCGACAGGGGTACAGTAAATGAAACCACCCTCGAGAGGATAAGAGCCGCAGGCACCAAAAACGGCTGCGTTTGTGACAATAGTTTGCAAGATATTGTCAGTCTGCCCTGGGCCTAGCTTGTATCCGCCAAGATTATTCGCATTGAGAATGTAGATTTTCCCATTTTTGCCAGCAGTGACGGCCATTTTATCCACACCTGTGCCTTTGAAAACTGTCCGATCAAGCAGAACAATGCCTCCACTACCAAAGTCTTGATCACCAGCATCCATGTTTTGATAGTCATAAGGTTGAAAATAATCCGACACAGAAATTACCCCGGTGTTATCCAAGGCTAGATTGATAGTTGCTTCCCCTAAAGTTTGACACCCACTCGAACCAGAAGCTGGAGTCCCTTGATTTTGATGGGCCTAGAATCGTCAGTCTTTGCACAGTACTGACATACTATCTCGAGAACAGAGGATACTTACACCACCATTCCCGGTTACAAGAAAAATCCTAGCTCCATCAGTCGCCAATCCCATTCCACTCATCCATATCCCACCTTCTCCACCTCCTCCTCCTTGAAGTAAAACATTTGTTTGCGGAACTAATGGTCCACTTTCAACTGCCCAGTTGGTGATGATCTTGGCTTTATTGATGTCGATGCCCATCACAAGACCAGTGTAATTGAAGAGATCACAATGGCCCCCGAAAGAGCCATATACCACACTGCCAACCTGTGTCAATGAAGGACGTTGTAGAATCACTCCCCCAATGAAATACTTTTGGGGGGCATTATCCGCAATTGCACCGTCGATAAGTATTGGTGGAAATACGTCAAGTAAAGTACTAATATTGACCGCATGAAAGTAGTAGACGCCATTTGCCGTCCCAGTGTTACCTGGAACTCTATAATTTGGTATGTAAGTTTTGGCGAAGAAATATGCTATATCAGTGGCGGGGTCAATGATAGGTGTGCCTTTAGTTTGATTAGCCAAGTGAAAGGTAGATAAATATCTCTCTCTTAATTACCTATAATACCGATGAAATTGGGAATGTCTCGCAAGCGGTCAGCTTGGTGATATCTAGCTTTTGTTTCACATCAAAACATACCTGTACATCCTATATCAGATTGTAAGAACGGGGTATGAACTTGTCTTGAGTTTATGAGCACTCCCGTTTCGGCATTGAGAGTTCTGATATAGTTTTGGCTGGATGCAAGGAATAACAACTGAGGGCCTCCCGTAAGTGGTGTATAAGTTAATGGTTTAGCATAGAACTGAATTCATTAGCAATCACTCATGCCATGTGCAAAGTGACCCCATGCCAGATAGTACACTCGCACAACATAAATGCAGGGGCTCAAACAAGCAAATCTCAATGTTTGAACGAATGATACAATAAACCACAGTATTTGGTTCGTTCATGTAGGATTACAGAATGTAACAAACTTCGCATGATGAAATCGGAAGAAATAGCTGTAATCGGAATGAAAACATGTTGATATTACTAACTTGTTCTTGGAAATTGAAAGCAACTTTCCACAGTTGCCCGAATGATGAGCTGTCAATGATTCCCGGGTCCATGTTATGATTAGATCTGGCTATTACTCAGTGTTTTCTTCTTTATATGAAAAAGGAAAGTACTCACAGGTATCCTGTTTGCTGCAGATCTGCATCTCTGTATTCGTCGGTAGATGAAAGACCGTGAACTAAAACATTAACAAAAATCTCGGCAAGAAGCACGAATATATACGGAGGAGAAAATAGCATATTGATGGGTTATTTCTGAAGGTTCTCCTGAATTGAAGATACTTTAAGCCTTGCGATCTGCGAGGAAATAGAAGAATATGCCTTTTCTCTGATTAAATGGTCATTTGATGGCAGCAAAAGAGGTATATGGTAGTAGAATTAAAAGCACTTTAATGGTACGGAAAGAAATGTTATGATGATATCGCAGAGAGAGTTGAGGCTTGGTCTCTTCTCTCGATCAAACTGTAAGTTATTGCTTAAAGAGATGAAAGAGATGCCGTGCAGATAAGATTCAGTTTTGACCATCCTCAATCAAGAGACTTGTTGCGAGATAAAAATGCAACTTCCAAGTCAAGGAAGCAGCGAGCAATGCAGGCCGAATTGGAAGGTACGCCGAACGCCTATCATGTCTTTAAAATTTCCATTGCGAAAGGCTATCTGCATCGGCTTCCGTAGGATTTAAAGCACGATCAAAGCAAAATTTCGAACTCTGCATGATTTCATGAAATACAGTGAGTGCAGATCCTCAAAGTTGAGCATTGCTAAGAGAAATATCGAGAACTATCCCAACAACAAAACATCCCATTCTGAGCAGATTTGCTCCACACGATTCCTTGGGGGACGGTTTAGCAAGGCGGTAAATTTCTTGATGTCAAATCTCTTAAGACTTCCTCTTTTTCTGTTAAACGGTAGGGTGCTATGTACATTCAAAAATTCCGCAAAGTAAGGTTACCACATCGAAGTAAATATTCCATGGTGTAAAATGGGATTTCAAGCTTCGGGTATTCGGAGGCGCGAGGAATCAAGCTTTTTGCCAAGCTATCAAAATGCGATATAATACAGACTATTACATTAGAGTTAGTTATTGCAGAACATCGAGTTTGAGAGGCGACATATATATATATGAGCGAGCAAAAGAGAGCAGGAGTTTGGGCTGGAGGAGACTCTGCGGAAGGACTTCGGGTGTCTTTGACCAGCCAAGCCCAATCCAATGTGAATGCAGCACGGTCCACCTGGTGTTTGGATCATTAATCCGACTGCGTATCTTGTATCTTGACTTACTTCTTTCTACCTCAAGATCATCTACCTACCTAGGTCAATCTCAATCAATGACTGCAAACCGTCAAGTGAGATTTAAGGTATTGCTTACAAATTACTCTACTCAGATCTGGCCACCGCCATGAGTTTATATATCCTTCACTTGAATGCGCTAACCCTCCAGGACTCGAACTATACTACTTCTTCATGGAGCTTTCTCTCTCCTCTTTACATGAGCGGACTTTTGCATAAGCTCCGGGAAGGTTTCTTCTTTCCATATCTCTGTAACCGATCTATCTTCATCTCACGGCGCGATCCACTTCTTCCTCCCCGCCCATCCCAGACATGGGCGCCTCCTCGTAGATCCCATCAGCAAGCACGCGGAAAAAAACCGTGGGAACAGGCATGGCATATCTTTAGGGCGAAACATAGTAATATATCTTACAACAGACATCCAGATGGTTTATGTTGGGGGGCAGTGTTCTACGAATAGTGCTACGAGAGATCTTGCGGCAGTCTTCAGCGGTTGGTGCAATTAGAGCGCGGGGTTATTTATGTTTCCCGAGCATGGCTAGCTATTCATGAATTTGCTACACCATTGATCAAGTAGATTCGTGATAGGCCTGAAACGATAACATCAGAGACAACAAAGGCGAACATAACGGCGGCTACTCCATTCATACTAGGAAAGGCAACCGCGCAAAGTCTTGGCAAAAGCCTCGAATCCAAATGTAGGGGAGACCGGAAGTCGACGGGGCTGACATGCCGGACATGTCGGAGATGTCGGACATGAATCGTTGCGGTGATCATGGAAAATGAAGAGCAGGGCTGTATCGATAGCATATCAACTGAGGACAACCAATTCCGAAAACAAGGCTTTATCGTGAAAGGGCAATGGCATGCTCCGAGCTTTTAAAAGGAGTTGTTTGCAAATACTATACACTGGTGGATGGACATGAAGACATCCCTTCTGAGCTAGCAATAGCTTATCAATGGAACTAGAAAATCATCTCCAACTAGAACTTTTAGTGGATTTTTACTATCTATCAGAGATCGTCGGCCGCACATCAATAGTTTGCGGCTTAAAGGCAGTAACCAAATTCAACATCCAATCGCTTGTCTTAGTTACTTAGGTCCTATCTACTCATTAACGAATACAGACTTAGCACACGAAACAACGTGCTTGCTTGCTTCTGGAGTCATCGGTTCGAGCTTCACATTTTCGTTTGCTCAATATTTTTTGTTGCATGTCTTCCGGAAGACTTTTCAGCCGAAGGAATCTAGCGGGCGAATTTTCACCCGGAGGCATTTTCGAGGTCTTGGCGGATCTGACTGATGCACAAACTGGCTTGATGATCGGGCAGTTCTTATGAACAGGCCATTGTCCGTATTTATCCATGTCACAACAGAGTTAATTGGCCTAAGATCTCTCAAGCTGCGGGTAACTGCAGCCGATTAACGTTCTCGTTCTTGTAAGACTGTACCACGAAGTCCTGCCATTCATTTTCATACCAACTATGTCACATCAAAGAGATGTTTTACCATCTAGTCGTACGACTCGCCGGCCCAGCTTTTTTCCACAGTCCTCTATTGGCTTAAGAGTTACGTTGCGAGTTGGGCTTCATGCAGTCGAATATTTCCTTCATCGTGTGGTATTGTGTGCACTGAGGGGGGTAGTTGGTGGTCTCCAAATATGATGATTGCATACGGGCTAGGAAGAGTTCTGGTCGCCGCATGATGTTTGCATTCCCTCAAGTGATCATGGAGTTTTTAAATCCCGCTTAAATCCTCTGGAGTAGTTTCGAAGTCCTGCATGTGCATCCACGACTGTAATGCTTTGATTTTCTCTTGTACATAGCGGTACCAGCTCCGTTACTTCTTTCTATGTATAAAGATGCTCACAGCTGGTAGCTACACTCGTCAGTACTATTAGATGCTCAAATACAAAAGTAATTTGCCCAAAAAAAATTGATACCTAGTCATTGATCATCTACCTTGTACTAAATCCCTCCATGTTTATACTTGACCAATCCGTCTTATTCTACCCAAATTTCCACGATCCATTCTCTAGCCCTGAACTTTTGAGGTATCTATTCCACCCTTTTCAGAATTCAATCCCCAGATTTACGACCACGCAACTGTTCTTCATGACTTCAATCGCAGCTCCTTCTTCAATCTTCATGATGCGTATATAGATTCTAGTGTATGCTCAACTATTCCAAAGTCCTTCCTTCCGCTTACAATTTTCAAAAACATGCAAAGGTCGACGACGCGTTGTGAATCTCGACGTCTGATGGAGACGGTATAGAGGGGTTTGAGGAAGCCACAATGATGATGGTGAAAGATTGATGGTGTACCTCCGCCATGGAATATTTTTGTAATTACTTGGGAATCCTCTCGGCATAATCAACTATGATCGGAAATTGGGTGAGGTAAGAATCTCACGCCATTCCCCCTTCGCTATGTCAATGCGGAAAAGATCCGGTGCCATCATATGATTCATTTGCATACTGGAAATGCTGGATGCAAATTGCAATGGTGCAAATTTGGAGGCGTAAAGTGCCGTGCACTACACCCAGAGCCCCTGCGTTGAATGTCAACTCTATGAATTGGTGGAGTCTGGCGGGGGGGAACAATTGATATATTTGCGTACGCAGCTCAAGAGGGTTTAATTCTAACAATCTTACGAATATATTCTATCTATGATGACGCTCAAGTGGCGGCCACGGAGATGTGAGATATATAGAAGTTCTCTCCTGGTTTTTCGGCGCATTCACAGATCGAGAAAGAGTTAATCAAAATCGAATTTATTCTGCGCTTCATCTATCGTCTTGAAGCTTCGAGTTGTAAAATCAGGCGGGGTGGATGAGGTCGCAGTATTTAACTCGGCGATTGTTACTTGTAATTTTGTTTCCAAACAGACAAAGATAGGAAGAAAATCTTCCTTTTGCAAGGAGTTATCCTTAGATCATCCACACATCGTGCCCTCTCAAACTTTCAAACAAGAATCTTTACACCCTTAGCTGTGTGGTTTAAAGAATTCCTGTCACGGCCCTAAGATTATCAGATCCAGAGATGACTATGCACATCATGACGAAGGTATCCATGTGCAAATTCAAACTTAGATCGTTTGGATCGACTATTATTGGAATAGCCTTCCAATGATGGGTCAAGATATAATTCGAATCGGATCGGATGCACGAGCATCTTTCGAATACCCTAAACCCTCATAAAGAGCTCCCAAATCTATAACAGCATTAAGGATAGCTGATCGGGCATGTATCGTCTGTAGTAAAACAGAAGACCAAAGATCCGTACCAAAAAACCCGCTAACTCCGTCACCGTTCGAAGCCGAAAGAAAGAAGTCAAAGCATGTCTAACGTGACATAGGGCGGAAGATTTGGTATGTAGGCAGCAGTGGAAGATGAATACACGAGGAGTTTGAGGAGGATGTTTTTGGAAGAGGTTACAGACGGTGAGAGTGCATATTCTTCATAGGTTCGCGTGGCTTTAAGATATTTGCGACATCCAGGCATGCTTTTTTCACGCTTCATGCTTTGTGCCTTGACCTCTATATAGTAAGTTTGATAAAGGCAGGGTTTCTGCCGATAATATAGCTCAAGCGAATTATGCTACCACCTTGTCGCGCGAAATTGTAATACTGGAGTTTGTTTCTGTTTGGTGGATAGGGCATGGGAGGTTGAGGATTCCTTGGTTTGGGTGTTAGAAGATACCTTCGAGCCCCATTGTGGATCCCCACCTCTTAGAACCAAAACTATTCAATCATGGTCGAGTAGGCTCAGAACTAATCCCTGCCCCTATTCCCAGCTATTCTGGCTATCCGTCCGCTTAAGTCGGCGCGAAATCTGCACCACAAACCAACCCCCGGTCTGAGAAGGCATGTCATCATATATAAAGAAATTTAAGCGCACACAGTTGAAATCCGATAGCTTGAAGCGAGCACTTTGTGTCTAATCTAGCAGCAAGTCTGGAAAAGGCAGCATGTCTATAGAACAGTGAAAATATATCGGTGGAGGAATAGATGATCAAAACGGCGAGTTCTAATGGATATGTAAGATCTTACATTTTGGGAAGACGACACCACACCATTTAATTGGTTCAAAAGTAAAGTTACAGCTGTGGAATCATGGCTACCTGTATCAGTGTAACTTTATACGAAAACTTCGATTTGCGGCATTTCGAACGATGAATTTCGGTGACCGGTCCACATTTTAAACTTTCTCTCCTGAGCTAATAAGCGATATCTTTTTCCGCTCGCCTTACTTCATGCATTTTAATTCACTCAGACCTTCTTTTTTAATATTACCTATTTGTTTGTTCTCAGTACTAATTCATCATTAACTTCAATTATAGCCATAGTATTAGGAAACACAATTCACCTCCGTCTCCACACTTTCTGCATTCCCACCACACGAGTATAAATACATCTCCAAATTCCCAAAAACAAAAATCTCAAATCAGCACTGTATTTTATTTACTGCTAACTTGGAATGTGGGAGTTTTGCACCTAATATCAATGATAGTGAGGAGAGCTCGTGGTGAACGAATTATTGTATATTACTTACGTATACGGTTGTGTTATGCTGAGATGGAAAAAGATGGTAAGATTATGAGATAAATAGGATGGGATGTTTTATATTATCGTCGTTTATGTGGTCTTGCTGTTATTTTTGGGTAATAAGGGAAACGATGATACGGGACTGCGGAGGGAAAATACACAGAATTGCGGGGAATATATGGAAGACACAGCTTTTGTCGAGAATATCTGGAGACAAAAAGCCTAAGAGGGTTAAGAAACCAGCTTTTTTTTGTGATATTATGGATAAACATGGACTAAGGAAGTCTTATATACCTACCTTCATCCTATCACTTGGTTCCTTATGATTACTTTGCAACTGAACTTCCCGCTCCAGCTGGCTTCGGGTCTCTAAGTGGGTGGTCCACAGAATGACAGACACTGGGGTATTAACCCAATATCCTCTCCCCATCTTCTACTAAAGCGTATCATGGTCAATACTCTACAATATAAACTCTTTTATTCTCTGCCTATTAGTTTACTGGGAATTTGAATCACTGCAGAACAACAGGATCCAACCGCTTGGCAGAAATACTGAAACCCGGTGCTTATCTTGTTTGAAGATATGGCTTTATGATAATGATAATAATGACAATAATAGCAATAAGAAATGGAAACAGCAACAATGGAAAAATATATTAGATGATAATGTTAATGAATTTAAATCAAGAGCAATATCCATACTTCTTTCATTTTATCCATCTGTTCCAGCTCCCAAGGAACATCAAAATTATTCCTGTCAGACTGACACTGTATATCACTCTCTTCTTACACCCCATCCAATGCCAATTAGTAACACGATTTTTGTTGTATAGAGCTATAATTGGAGAGTCGTAATGTTAGTATAACCATGCCATCACCCTTATTTTTACATTTTTTTCCTCACCTGATCTATCCCATGTTATCTCGAATCTCAGTCTTGCAATTTCATGCCGAATAGCCTCCATATATTCACATTCTCGCTATCAAGTACATCCCAGGCTCGTAAGGTATAAATACTTCTTTCGCCTAAACGCCTCTTCTTCCCCTAATAGAAGACTGAATGCAAGGCGGGCGATGTGACATCAAGTCAGAGGAAAACCGACTATTATTTCTCCTGGTTTTTGTGATTTCCCCCTTAATTTTTCAATGTCTATGATGTCAAATGCCAAAGCCGGTGCTGCTGGAGGGATGTGTGTGGTAATGATAGTGCAGTGAGCTATATTTGACGGTAATAATTGATTAGAATGATAGAAGTTCATTTGACAGTAAGGGGATTAAAAGAAAAATGCTCTCAGACATCTTATTTTCCTACGCCGGTACTTCTAGTACATCTTATTCTCCTCATAAGTCACAATATCCGATGTAGTTGTCAACTCCGCACAACTAGTGGTCTGCTCACGCATCACGATTCATGAAGCCTCATTCCTGTTCCTTCATTGCGTTTTGTTGTAGGATATTGAAATGAAACAGCTCACACAACAAATTTCGAAGGAAACTTTTTCTTCGAAATACGACCCTTTCGCGATCGATCTAGATCATAGCTATTAAACCAAATTGATTGCAACTGCCCCCAAGTGATTCTGACCAGTAGTTGTTGTGATACTGTCGTCGGCGCTCCAAACACGAAACTCGCACGAAAATTCGCGTAAAATTTTCACCTCAAACTATCAGAATAAGATCCTCAATATGAATAACTTCAACAATCCATCAATACTCAAGGATACAGCTATGATGGAGGCTTCTCCCGAAGCCTCCATCATACCAAACACGTATCCTACTGTTATTCTAGGTACCCCAATACCCTCAAGCCCTCCCCCGCCCTCTGAAAACCCTCAATTCGAAATCTCTAGCCCTAGTCTACCAACCAATCAGCCAACCAGTTCTGGAAGAAGAGTTGAAGACTTCAATCTACTTAGTGACCCCTTTATTACTCAAGATACAACCAATACTACCTATATATTTAATCAGAATAAGAAACGTGGCCCTACAATGCCCCTTAGCAATCAGAATAAACAACCCAGAATAAAAAACAATCCAACTACACCTAAGGAAGCTATCTTAAAAGCAAGAGATCTTATAGTATTAGCGTCAACTCTTTCTCAATCATGTGATGAGCAATCGAAGCTATTAGATCTCCTAGAGATCTTTAGAGAATATACCGAAAAAGGAAAGCTCACCACCGCCTCCAATATCATCACCTCCCAAATCACTCATCTAGAATCCGCTACACGGAAAATCGAAACTCAAGCTAAAGCCCTAACCAAAGCTCCCTTGCCAATCAATACACCAACCACTAAATCGACATATGCAGCAATAACAAAAGAAGGAGAATGGAACCTAGTAGGCAAGGGAAAAACTATTAGATCCTCCCCAATAGATAAGAAGATCGAAATCACACAAAGACGCTTAATCCTGATCAAACCAGAGATCACGAACATTACCTCCTTTTCACCTATATCAATTCGAAACCAAATAAACGAAGCATTCCAGAAAACTGGAATTAAAGGCCCGGTTATAGCAGGAGTAACTCTATCGCTGAATAGAAATATAATAATTACTACAAATGCACCTTTCACATCACAACTTCTATTAGAAAAAAAGGCAATCTGGAGTAATCTCATCAAATTCGAAAGAATTCAAAAGGATCAAGAATGGCATAAGGTCATTATTCATAAAATCCCTATAAAAGAATTTTCTGGAACAAGAGGAATGGACCTCATTCTTGAGGAAATCAAAACCTTCAATCCAGAATTCAAGCCCATAGGAACCCCTTTTTGGCTTACACCATCATCAAAAAGAGCTCATCAACGGGAAGGAGCAATAGTGATTGCTTTTGCAACAAAATCAGAAGCAGAGCTAGCCATTCGGAAACGACTATATATCGCTGGCACTAGTACAAGAGTAGAAAAGTTCTACGAATCCAAACCAACTACACAATGCCAAAAATGCCAAGGATTCGGACATCAGGATACACATTGCAGAAGGGATCCCTCTTGTGGACTATGTGGAGGCAAACATATCACATCAGTACATCTATGTGTAGTCTGCAATATCAGAGGAAAGTTCTGCCAACATCTCGCTGCTAAATGCTCGAACTGCCAAGGAAAGCATACAGCAAATTCAAGAACCTGCGAAATCTATCAAGCAATCCAACAAAAAGCAAATAACACCAACTTATGAGTTACACTAATATTCGAATTCTTCAAATAAATCTTAATAAGAGCTCACAAGCTACAGAGAACGTTCTACAGCTTGCAATAGAACTCAATATCGATCTTATTATGATTCAAGAACCTTGGATTATCAAAAATGGAATCGATTACTCAAATTCAAGATCTATTATACACTCTAATTTCATACAAACACTACCAAGATTCGATTCTAACTTTCGACCTCGTACATTACTATACACTTCAAAAACTCTTCCAAGCCACAATCAACCTAGCTCCCGATTCCCCAATAGATCCTGATATACAAATCTTTAATTGTCAAAATGGAGATAAAACCTTTCAAATTATCAATATATACAACGAGGCTGATCAAGCTAAAGAGAAAGGTTTCACAATTGAAAGATGTTTATATGATATATCTATCACACAAGAAACTATCCTCCTTGGCGACTTCAATGCCCACCACCCATGGTGGGATCCTTTTTCAAAGAAAAGCGGAAACGCTGATCAATTAGCAGAATGGTTTGAAGATCAGAATCTCATTCTTCTAAACGAGCCCGGAATCAGCACTTTCTATCGAACTAATCTCCTTAATCCAAGTGTCCTTGATCTAACACTAGCGTCAGAAGGAATCTCTCCCCAAATTCACAACTGGCAAACTCTTTCAGATACAGGATCCGACCATGCAGGAATACTATTCGAACTGAAAGGAAAAGAAGACTTAAACGCCCTCAATTCAGAATCAATAACTAGATTCAATACAAAGCTAGCCAACTGGGAAAATTTTGAATCAATACTAAAATTGGAATCCCTGTATTCCCCTACTTTTTCTATTTTAGACTCAATAACTTCTACGGAAGAGGACTCACTAAACTTCTTGAAAGAAAGAGACAATTCCCATTCAATTCTAGATCAAGCAGCAAGCGAACTTACAAGGATTATCCAAAAAGCAACAGAAAGGTGTATACCCAAAGTTGTTTCAATCAAAAGAGCTAAACCATGGTGGTCACCCGAGTTGAAAAATCTTCGAAAAGAGCTAGGAAAAGCAAAGCAATCAATCGAATCAAATCGAGAGAACCCTAATCTTAAGGAAGAATATCGAATTGCTAGAAACAAATACTTTCAAGCTATTAAAACAGCAAAAAAGGATCATTGGAATGATTTCCTAGAAAAGGAGGATACACAGACAGTTTTCAAAGCAATGACCTATACCAAAGACTTCCAAGATCAAAGGATACCGGATATTTCATCAGAAAGCTCTTTTGAAGGAAAATGCTCTGCTTTCAGATCGACTTTATTCCCTCCCCCTCCTACTACTCTAAAACCACAATGGGTAGGGTATAAACAATCCAAGAAATGGGAATGGCCCAATCTCTCTCAAATCGAATTAAGTAATGCCTGCTCAGCTAAGATACAAGGAAAGACCTCTAATCCAGATGGGATCACTCAAGAAATCATTACAAAGGCCTACAAAGCAATCCCACAGATCTTTTTTACTCTTTTTAGCAAACTTCTCAATCTCGGATATCACCCTAAATGCTGGAAACAAGCTATTGGAGCTATTCTAAAGAAAGCCTCAAAACCTGATTACTCATTTCCAAAAGCATATAGAGTGATTGCATTCTTAAACTATCTGAGAAAAATTAATGAAAGGATTCTAACTCAACGATTAGGATATTTAGCGGAAACTACCCATCTTCTATACAAGAGTCAAATAGAAGGCCGCTAAAAGAAATTAGCAATCGATATTGCACTTCTATTAACAATAGAAATCGAAAGAAACAAGCAAGCTAACAAGAAGACCTCAATATTATTTATAGATATAAAGGGAGCATTCGATCACATTTCAAAAAATCGACTACTGGATATCTGCAAGAAGTTAAGACTACCAACGAATCTCATCTTCTGGATAGCTTCATTTCTTCAACAAAAATAACTAAAACTATCCTTTAATAACCAAATCGAATCTTTCAAGCCAATTTCGACCGGAATACCACAAGGCAGTCCAATTTCTCCAATTCTCTTCCTTATATACATTAGGGACCTCTTTTTATCCAATTCGATCAAATTTCTTTCCTATATTGATGATATTGCCCTAATCACCAATTCATCTACATGGAAAAAGAATATCAAATCTCTAGAGAGAGCTACAAAACAAATCTACGAACTCAATTCAAAGAATACTATTCAATTCGATCTAGCAAAAACAGAGCTAATGCACTTTTCATCATCCAAATTGACGAAAAACTACTCAATCAAACTACCCAATTCGGAAATAATTATACTTCAATCTCTAATTAGATGATTGGGAATATAGTTCGACCCAAGCCTCAAATTCAATCAACATGTTAATATTCGAATCACATAAGCAAAAGGAGTCTTCCATCGAATGGCCCGATTAGCTAATATCGAAAAGGGCCTCAGTCCGAAAGCTCTTAGACAGTTATATATAGCATGTATAACCAGTATAGCCGATTATGTATCAGTGATTTGGTGGAGAGGCCAAGCCCATTTCAAGGATATGATACAATCACTTCAAAATCTAGCTTTTCGAAAGATATTAGGAGTATTCAAAATTGCTCCAATTCCTTCAATGGAAGTAGAAGCAGGCTTAAAACCCTCAAAAATTCGATTAGACTCGAATATTAGGCAATATATATTCCATTTAGCTAAACTTTCACCAAATCATTCAATCAATATCGAAAAAGCATCACTAATCCAATATCAAGCCAATTTGGATGCGATCTCTACCCCTCGAAGAAAACGATATAAATCTACTCAACTGGATAAAATCAAAGAATCGATAAACCAGGACTTCAACCCTTCCTCACTCAAAAAGATCATTCATTTTAACTTCCCCTTATAGAAAAGAGAAACCTTTTTCCGAGTTAATATTAACAATTCGTCAAAAGAAGATGCTGCTATTCTTCATAATATTGTTTTCAAACATAGGAATAAAGATACCACCTATATTTACACTGATGCTTCCTCTATTGAAAAGGGAATAAATATTGAAGTAAGTATAGTAGCTATACAATCAAATAATCGAATTCTATATCAAAAGCGAAGCAATATTAGTACTAATCAATTGGTATATAATAAAGAGCTTTTTGGAGTTATAAGAGCTATTGAATACACTAGCTCAATCGCTTATACTGGTCAAAAGTTCAAAATCTACTCGGATAATCAAACTAGTTTATACCGCTTAAAAACTCCTTCAAATCACCCAGGACAAGCCAATCAGATAAGAGCGATCAAAGCAACAGAAGTTATCAAAGCAAAAGGAGCCGAAATCTCCTTAAATTGGGTTCCTGGTCATACCTCAATTGAAGGAAATGAGCTAGCAGATAAACTAGCCAAGGAAGCAACCACAATATAACCTACCTCGAACGAAACAAGCTTTGGACTACTAGGTATGACTATCAAAGAATATGCCTCAGATCAATGACTTGATACTTTCAAACAATACAAACTCAGATCAAACCAATCCCTATCAACTTACTCGAAGCTATTTCCATAGAAAATAGGTTCCAAAATCAAGCTACCAAGTGGAACTACTTGAAATACTGCTAATATATTCTTTCAACTCAAATTAGATTATGGATATATCAAATCCTATTTATATCGTTTCAAACTCATCAATAACAAATGTATATACAGTAATATTGAGGCACTACAACACCTTCTTATTAGTTGTCCTATATATAAAACAAAAAGAAAAGAGATCTTTAAGAAGATATCATTATCCAAAAATACTATACAATTCCTATTGTATACAAAAATAGGTATCGAATTAGCTATCAAATTTATCAATATCACTAAAATCGCTACAAGGGTATAGCATCTAGCAAAGACTCTTGAACAAGAAGTAATAGAGGAAGGAGTAGTAGTGGAAGAGAAGAGAGGAGAAGAGAATGAAGAAGAAGCAGTTGAGGAAATAAGAGAGGGGTTTGACCTCCTCACAATTTCTTGATTTTCAAAATCTTTTTATTATATGCAATGCGTATAATAAGCGGGCACTGTTCCCTAGCATTTGTTTTCACTTCCCCAATTAGATTATATCCAATATTGTAAATTAAAAAGTTACCCGTTAGGCCCTTAGGGCCTAGCCGTCCTATATAGTCTTGGACTGAAGATGGACGTTAATTAAATCAATCAATCAATCGATAAACATCTCCCAATTTTTAAGTTCAATCCAAAACTCCAATGAAACTGCAGAACCTACTGACCGGGAAGTCTCAGCTCAGTCATCATGTTCTATCTCTTTCTGTGTAATAATGATGCAGAAATGAGATTTGAGATCTTACATGACTACTTCATCCTCTTTCTCATATCATCGCTTTTTAACTTTTCCCATCTGGGACCTTGGACTACCAATTTCCACACCGACTTTTTATTTTGTCGACAACATTCCACCCTCCCTCCCCTTGCTGAATATCCAATCATAAACTATCTTTCAATTTCTGAATACATAAGACTCATTTGCATCTTGTTCTTGTACCCGTGACTACTGAAGAATAGTTTCGAATGATGAATCCAGGATTCGGGAAAGTTGTAAATATTCATCCAAACACCCAGGAGCTTGAGGATCGTGCGGAATGTCGGAAGAGGAGGCCGCAATCTTAGCTGAGGGGATATGGTCCATGAATAGGGATGAGGACGGTTGACAGTAATAGTGGCAATTATTGCAAAAGATTAAAAATGATAAAAATAAGAGGAGTGATAATAAATTTCGATTCATCTTCACTGCACACAATCCACCAAACTTCTCATCGGAGACCATAAATCGTATAATAAATTAGCATTTTAACCATAACTCCAACCATCAACCGAAGGAATTGTCTCTTTTTTTTCTTTCTCTAATTGGTCCTTCAAGGGTGTTGAAAGAAGGACTCTAACCCGTTCCCATTCGTAGTAAACTTCAAATTTGAATAGGAATACACCAACTGTCGTGCGAATAATTAGTTTCCACTTTTTTCTCTCGTACCGGTTACTTCTCATCTCCTGAATATATATTAAACGCTCATCATCATTTTCTTCTCTTCATTCCTATCAACACAACCTTTGTAAAACTCGCTTTATACTCGGGAGGTTCACCTTGATGCGAAGAATAGGGATTTCTGAACTAATAATCTTTATTCAAAGACTAGATACTTGGTTAGAGGGATGACAATGGTAATGATGATATGAAGTCAAAAACAGCGAGTACAAAAACGATAGGAGGGGACAGCAATATTCTACTTTCTTTTATTTTCTACGTTTCATGTTCTCCATTCTATCAATCCGACAGTTCAAGAATTTCAACTCCAATTTTTAAGGCTCAACTGTCACGTAGCCGAAAAATAACGGTCGTTTCTGTACATGTCCATTTCCGACAGTACTGTAGGATAGAAGATTCTTGGAGCTTATATAGCTCATCCACCAGCTTCCTTGACTTCTGCTCCTTCCTTTTTACTTCTTATTTTCCAATTCAGCAGCCATTAAATTCTCGTGGTAAGCGATTCATCGAGATTCACTATCCTTTCGACCATACTACTCCTACCACCAATATATCCCCATTACACATTATTATACATACTAATATCCACCCACAATTTTAACTGCCCTTCCTAAGACAGTAAAATATCCATACCCAACCATGTATATAAAAGCAAGAATATCGTCCTCTCGTTTCTCCTTTAAGCCAATGAGTAAACTTCATAGAAAATGGCCTAGGAAGAAGTTACAGCGTGAAAGAAACAAGCTTATTTCTTATATTTTGAGTTTTTTCAAGCGGAAGAAGAAGGAAGAAAGGGGGTGGTGAGAGGTAGTGATGGAAACAGTAATAAACGATACTGATGGTAATCACCGGGAAGGATGACAAAAAAGTCTGAGTTGACAACAATAATACAAAAGCAAGAGAAGTGACAATAATACTCACACTAGCTCTCTTTCCATTTCTTTAGTACTCTGAATCTCAACAACCCTCATGATCCACTACTCAAAAGCTGTAATAACAATAACCAAGACTCCAAACTATTAGTTTTACGGAAATACTGCAGTACTCATACTATACCATTGTACTTGATACTCTTTTTCAATGTTATCTTATGAAGATATGATGAAGGAAAAGAAATATCAAGCTAAGGTGTCGAGTTTATATAGGTAACCTAATTTCTCCTTTCCCCTCTTTTAAGCCTAGCTCAAACGCTGAACCTGTGATTCCGTCTTAAGCCAACCAATTCACTCCTCAACAAAGATCTTACACATCCACCATCCACCATCCACCATCCACCATCCATCATCCCTCAATCCTCATCCCTTATACAAACCCACAATCCAAACTCCGCAGCCCACAAAAGATTTCCCAATTATATACATTATATCAATCTATAAACCTGCATTATCCATCTACTTCACCCTATCCCTCCCACCCTTTCATTTTAGATCTATTTCCTCACTTCTACTCATACATCCCCTCCTCCTCCATATCCAAAATCGCTAAACGCCAAATATATAAAGCACTATCAAAACTCCTCGGGTACAGTATGCAGCATGCAGCGGCGGGTATAAATGAAAAATCCCATTAAAAATAAACTTGTGATATATATATATCCGGAGATACATATAGAGATTTTATAATTGGGATTTTTTTTTTGAGTAGTTATTATAAAGATAAAGATGTAATATAAATAAAATCCTATATAATGATAATAATATCAAAATACCAATAAACTTACTAATAAACAAATAAATTCAACAATACAATATCCACACTAACTCTATATATCTATCAAACTTTACCACAACTACATACAAACACCCACTGTGACCAAAAGGGTGTTTATAGACCAGCAATTGTATTTAACTTAGAATCTACAGGTGAAGAGCACCTGTAGATGGGGATAGCTACTCTATATATACACAAATGAATGGCCTAGCCGCAATGGCTAGGCAAAAAGAAGTCATATTTATTCCTCCAATGATCTTACTTTACCGATAACCATTGATACCTAGTACTTGTCCGGATCTGATCCTCAGGTCACCTAAATCACATACTAATCTCGAGTAATCGTATCATGTGTGGACATGGTTAATGTACCTGAGGTTTCTTATATAATAAAGGTGGGAGGAAAGCAGGGATTTCCGTCACACCCACACAAAGATTTCTTTCTCTTAACTCTCTAACACTAGAAAACTCGACCTTTACATCTTCTAGAAACCCTTGATTCTCTAATCCGTTTTTTCAAAATTCTATTTAAAGATGTTTAAAAGAATATTATAAGATTTATATACTTTATTCAATTTATGTATTTATAAGTCTAATACTCTCTTTTTGAACCACCCCTCTTTTAGATCATTTTTTTACATCAAAAATCATAATTTTCATTTATTAATAATTTTACAACCGATTAATAAAATCCAATAAAATTTAAATTATAAATTTATTATATAATTATAATTCAATTTTGAAAATTTTAGATTTTTTGAAATTAATTTCATTGAGATTTATAATCTTAAATTTTTTGATTTTCAATTTGTATAGAATTTACATACAAATTTGAAATAATTTTTCAACAAAAATTACCAAAAATAAATTCTAAACTTTTTTAAGATTTTTGAATCAAATATAATATAATAAATTGGAATTTTGAATTTTAAATTATATAGAAAACCTTTTATTGATATTTTTAGATTTTAAGGATTAAAAATCAGAACATTTTGATTGATAGGATTTTTGTAAATTGTTTTTTAAAATAAACTAATCTATTCGATCAATTATAATATAAATATTTGAAAAAAATTTATAGCTTATTTTTAATAATTTTTGCTGAAAAGTTATTAAAGGTTTTCAAGATTTTCAAGTTTGTATATAAATCCTATACAAATTGAAAATCAAAATTTCAACTTTCAATTTCTCGATTAATAAAATCGCAAAAAAACTGAAATTTTCAGAATCTATTATCGTATAAGTAATAAATATATGATTTAAATTTTATTAAATTATATCAATAAATAAGAAAGTTATAAAAGTCGATTTTCGTTATTTTTGGTGAGGAAAAGTGGCCGGAATTAGGGGTGGCCGGAAAGTAGGGTACTAGACTTATGTCATTTTATCGGCTCGGCAATCAAAAAAAACTATAATTGAAAGCCCGTAGCCGAACCAGGAAGGAGAGAGGATACATGCATTTGCATGAATTCAATGCATGAGCCTTGTGGTTATGGGCATGATGGTGCTGATTTTTTTTGGACTAAGTGTGTGGATCCGTATGTATGTATTTGATTTGTATATTGAAAGGTCGAAGGGTCGAAAGATTAAAAATTAGATTGAAGTGAAGGAGAATATTACAGTAACAAGTAATGATAGATGATTGATAATTGAGAATCAAAACATAACTTTCCCTGAAGAGCCCTTTAAAACTTTTTTCAGAAAAAAAGAGTAAACAAATGGAAGAAAAAAATACAATTGCAAAATTACAAGACCAACGAACTTCCCCTCCAAAAGCTCAGATTCCCATGTGCACACCTCTCAAAAAACTAAACAAATGTGGAGGTAAACCCAGCCCTGTTCATCCTGTCCTGTATATGAGAAGCCAACCCACCAGCCAGCGCGCAACCAAAACACACCATAACCTTTGGCCCAAGCACGCAGCACGCACCAGGAAGAAAATTCAAAAAAAAATCAGAGCGAGCTTACCGCTTTACCGCTCTTTGTCCACTTGCTGTTTTGAGATGCTTACAGGGCAGGAGTACAGGCTTTGGATGGAGTTGGAACTTGAGATGCGCTTTGGACAGGGCTAGATGTACACTTGTACAGGGCTTGTACGGGCCTGTTACAGGACAAGGCTGGTGTGGTACGGAGTATACAGGGCTGGTGTACAGGGTGAGAGGAATAAAAAGGGCAGACGATGATCTGAGAGACAAGCTCTCCCTCATGGTTACATTACCGGTATTACTGGCTTTTTGGCCTGTGTTCTTTGGGGGAGTTTTTTTTCTTCGACCGAGTAATCAAATGATTGTGTGTGCTGATACCGATATTTCCCCTCCATTTCATTTGTATGTGCAGATTTGATGGTATCTGCGAGTAGTAAATAGAAAGATGAATGATGCAAATGCAATTGAGGCATATAAACATAAATACAAATACAAAAAAAGCATACAAACAGCAAAGGAAAAGTGAAATCTAAAAAAGCGTTACCACATCTGAATCAAGCTGCAGGGCTACGAATCGTACTGCAGATTTCGACGTACCATGAACCAGATACATCATACATGCACCAATCTCCAACACCGATTTGATTCGCTATGCAGACAGGGCAATTGATTGCCAGAAAAGAGCAAGAGAGAAAGAGAAAAAAAAATAGTTGTACAACGAACGGTGCGTGGGTAGGTGCATTACTGCATACAGAGAGTACAACATCGCAACTGGATTTGTGCTTGTAGTTCGTACGTACGGAGTATAGAACTACGGAGTATGAATTGATCTGGACCTGATCTGGATCTGTCTGTGTACGGAGTTGAAGCGGAGAATTAAAGGTTAAAGATTGATGCGATAGATGAAAGGATGGATGGATGGATAGATATAGATAGGTACTCTGCGCAAGGAGATACACAGTTTAATTCATGCCAAAAAAATCTCAAGTTCATATTTCAATGTTCTCAAGAATCTTATGACTAGAAGAAGAAGAAGAGGATAAAAATATTCTGCCACCAATATCTAAGCGGTGAAGAGATGATTTTAATTATCTATAATGATTGGCTAGAAAGAAAACACCACATCACGTAAGCGCCGGAAAATGAAGTGAATACCTAGAAAATAATAAATTGAATAAATTGAATAATTGTTAGCATGCATATTTAATGCAATCAAAATGTATTAATGCAAGAGATATGTATACATATATCACATTACATACAGCATCTGCACCAATTCGTCAATGCATAATTATCCCATATAGAAATATGGCTATTGGTCAAATCCATGGATCGATCCATCCAACCATCCATCCATCCAATCCAATTTCCATGATGACCCTACCTACAACCTACGTGAAGGATTCGATCCAGGGGATAAAAGACCGCGTAATGATTATCGCGGAGGAATCAAGACCGTTCGTTAATAATTTTGTAAGATCATTAATTTTTTATTTATTTTTGCTGCGTGCGTGATGTGATTGATATATTGTGAATGACAGCAATACAAATCACACCATAAAGGATGGGAAAATGGGGGAGATGATCAAGAGATGATCTATGGGACGGACGTGGGGATATTGTGTTGATCTGCAGACTGTGAGATGTACAGAGGTAGAGAAATGATGTAGATATGAGATCAGAGGATTAGTAGAGTACGCGTTCAGTCTAATAAGTTTGGGGATGTGGTAGGGAAGGGAAGGGATGGGAGAGGGGAAGCTCGGTTCGCGATCATGTATGTATATGTATGTATGGATGTAGAATCGTAGATGGAATGGATAGATGCTTCGATCCCCTGCATCTAGGACTGGAGGATCTAATGGAGGGGAATATATTGTGAAAGGGAGATAAGGTGATATAGAGATAGAGATAGAGATGAAGATGGTTAAGATTCAACTTGCAACTGGGGAAGCTTCTCTATTTTCTAGAAAATCAACCCAAGAATTCTACAGTACTTATAAAATTCGCAATCCTAATTATTACACACGCGTAAAGCAAAATCACGATTAAAAAAGCAAAGTGTAACCGATCCGAACCAGCGGGAAAAATAAACTTCAAAGTTCAAACTCTGTCCGTGAGAAGGGAATTGTATATCTTGACTGTCCACTGTCCAGTGTCCACCCACACTCATCATCCATTTCGATTCGAGCGGGGGAAGGCTATCAAATACCAGGGCCATAGAAGAGAAAGGCTAGATAGACATTGGACAATGAGAAATTTACTTTATGTCTAGTGTGATGTGAAGAAATGCATAATGACAGCCTTGTCCAAGCGTAAGTTTTTTTTTTTCTGCCAGCCAGATAGATGCACAGAGTAAAATAAATATATATCCCTTGTGCGCACACTCCCTTGTATGCGGCCGATCATTTTGGGAATGGGATGTTGAGAACGAGAGGGTGTGGTGTGGGGAATTATGCATGTAGAGCTGTGTCACTGTACAGATTTAATATGGTCGGCTCGATCGATATTGGAATGGGGAATGGTTCGTGGACGTTGATAGGTATATTTGTGCGAATGGAGGGTTTGTATTTGATGCAATTGGGTATTTTCTCGTCTGACACATTACTCGTGTTGACCAATGATTTTGGTATTTTGACATAGGGAAGGATTGTCGTCTCATCCAAATCTGATCAAGGGGAATTATTGAAAATGAAAATATCCGAATCCGTACCGAAAAAATGGATACTTGTGAATAATAGATTGAAGATAAGAGGAGACTTAAAGGACCCCGAAATTTCAATATCAACCAAACACGCTATCCTTGAATGAGATCGAAACTCCCTCATCTACTTTCGTCCTCCCCCTTTGAAAAGAAATTCTAGAAGAAAAAAAATCGAAGTTAGCTGCACCTAAAGACGATATACCGGGATAATGTATCACCGTAGGACCGCAGGCGCTGAAAATGCTGTGGTCCATTCGGAGTCGTTCGTGCGAAGCTAATTATAATCTAGACCGAAATAACAGATTTTGAAGTTTTTCAATGGGCAAAACGTCTGGAATTTCATTGGATTGTTTGAAAATGGTGGAGCGAGAGTTTCAAGGTTGACGAGACGACGAGTTAACAACAGCTCGGGCTCTAGGGGAGACCTTGCGATGAGACATGGATCTAGCTTTAGGTTATGGAATTTGACGTTATGGAAATAAATCTCTGTACGAATTGTTTCTACGGAGTAAAGGGCAAATTTGATGATTTTGATGGTTGGATCGGTGTGTTAGGTGTGGAAGAGTATGTATCTAGATGAAGTTCTTGTGCTCTTTGGGTTTGGATGACAAGAAGTCGAAATAATAGTATTGCTTATGGTTACTCGTTCCTCCGTCCAATCTGTACTCGAGTTAATAAATAGGCAGCTCTGGAATGATATCGTCATCTAGTGAGGAGTTGGTAGCTACCTACTCGAGTAGCATGAAAAGGATGTCCAATGATTTACCGGTAGTCAAGTAGTGTTCATGACACTGACTTTCACACGTATTTGAAGTGAGCTAATGTTCTCAATGTTGGTTTCGGTGAGATCCAAAAGAGATAGATCCAAAGGAGATCAACCTGTTGGGGGCTAATCCAACGAAAGTTTGAACTTTGATGTGGGTTTGCGGGGCAATTTTGCAAGTCTCTCTTTTCGCTCAAGGAAAATCCCCTCTTTACTCGGTAGCTAGCTCCTCTATTATCAAATTGACTTCCTAGCCACGAGCCATGTACCCGTAAATAATATACATCGACTAGCGACTCATGTGGATTCTGCTCATACCTATTGACCTCTCATACGTCTGCTTTGATTCTTTCCTGAGGTTATTTCGAGATTTCCTCTCCACCAAGACCCTGCATTGAAATTCGGTAACTGTTAGTTACAGCACAATCCTTGATGAAAGATGGAAGTTTCCGGCAAGTTTTTCTTTTCTATTCCAACTTTTCCCGAATCCAAACAGATGAAGTGGTTAACCGTTAATCTCATTTGTGATTTCGATGATCCTTAAAATTGAGGTGACAAGATCATTGAGGTTTTTAACTTTATCGAAAGATTATCATTTGTCGTTTGAATGGATAGAATTTGAACATTATTTCCCCTCATGTTTCTAGTTCTGAACCTTAAGAACTGGCCATCTGGAAGCTCTTCAAAGTGCCACTCTGAGGCTCTGAGAGATGTGACTTCTCCCGATTTAGCTAAAAAACGGCAATATTTAGCTTAGCCCCTGTATTCGTTACATTTAGCTTCAAATATGATATCAACTTATCAATTTATCATCTTTTTCTTGAAATAATGAGCTGTTCCCTGGAATCCTAGATTGATTTAAATTCCATTGGGTAAATTGGATTTCATAATTTCACTCAACTAGTTGCCATAGTGCTCTCCTTTATAGGAGTACAGGAGTACTAGATCAAAGTATCGAGTTTCTGCTTTTCTACTGTCGGAAATGATCAGTTTCTAAATCATCATGATGATGAAGATAGAGAGCTTCAAGTTGGAAATTAGAATAGCAAATGTATCTAGTATCCTTCTATCATTATTGACTCTACGGTAATCTACTCTCCCTCTCTATAAGTATACCTATAGAATAAGTCATTTCATCTCTTCCTTTCTCTTCTCTTTTCGATTTCGTATCCATCATATATATTTATCATCTATCACAATATCAACATCATCCATCACCCACCTGTAAATTTACAATTTTGAAACAACCCTCGGACTTTCCCATTTATCCATTATCGAATTTCCAAAATATCCGTCGCGCAGGTAACGATACACAACCAACCAACCGTTTTCCATTACTCTTAGCTGAGGCAGTGGAAATCTACACCAACGATTTATCCACTCCCGTTTCGATAAATTCCAACAAATTGATCTCATAAAGATCTTCTTCTCGATTCTGAGGCAATAACTATCTAGCGGTTATTCTTGAAATAGATAATAGGACTTATTTTGGAGGTTAGTATATCATGATATAATTAATTGCATATACTCTATTGGTATGTACTCATTCCTTCATACTTCATTCATATATATCCTAAATCGCCTCCCTTACCGCCTTTAATTTTAGTTCAACGATTTTTTTTGATCCCGTTTTCAGCCACTATCAAATAGTGGAACAAAGGAAGGAAAAAAAAATAATAATACAGTAGTACATACATGAAAAAAAAAAAAGATTCGAAAAAAATAGCAAAACCAAGAACCCTGGTAAATCCCCAGTCTTTTTCTTGTGTCACCGCACCACGCCATCTGCTGCATTCCGAAAGTCCCTGTATCCAATTACAATCGATTCAATCAATTGAGTTGAATTAACCCGTCGCTACGAAGATCATATTGCAGGAACAACAAACTTTAGACCTTAGACTTAGAGACCTTAGACCCCTTCTTGTCTGTTTCCCGCGTCGCAAACTAAATGTTCCTTTGCCATTCCCATCTTTGCTTTAACTAAATTCAAATTTCACTTATTACTTTACCTGGGCAACAACAAACTTACTTTACTAGAAGGTCATACCACAAAGATTTCAACATCAACATCATCATCGTCGTTCTTCCTTAAACTAAACTACCATTTCAAAACAATAAACACCTTTAAAATTATACTTTTGTAAATCAGCAACCATGGGTTACGATACTCGTCGAAAGCAAGTGAATTGGGTAGCTCTAGGAATAGAGTTACCACAAACTCATGCTGAGAAAGCGGCCGCACGACTTTCACCGCCTTCAATAGCGACGTCGACATCAGAACAGCATATTTCGAAAAAGTCAAAACGAGCGCGCCGAGATTCTTGTTCATTATCACCGCCACCCAAACGTATTTATACCGCACCGAAAGATATAAGTACCCCGCCACTTTCACCACCAGCAGAAATTCATGAATTCGAAAATTACCACGACGAGGACATGAAAGAGAAGGAATTCAAACGTGAGAAATTGGAAGAGAGAAAAGTGAAACGTGAGGAGGGGAACGATGAGAATGTCATAATGCAAGAAATTGATTTGGCGGAAGTAAAGGATGAAATTGTTGAAGGAGTGATCATTCAATTACAGAAAACTGCCAATAGACCTCATTTGGTTAAGGAACTTGCAGCCATTTTGTCCCCAACCGTTCGAATCGTGGAACAGTAAGTGCAAAACTATTCCCAGTTAGCCCCGTTGACTATATAAGTATGAAACTAACGGAAAATTAGATCTGCCAATCCATGCGCAATCATTTCTTCCCGATTATCCAACTATTTAAAACGATCATGGACTGCGTCATCGCCTTGTCCTGTGGGAAAAGAGTTGGAAACTGTACATCCAAGGAGAACATACTTTTATTTGACGACTTACCCACACCAACCGATTCCTGATCCATCACAATTACCTCAGCGTACGATTATCACTCCTTCCATATCAAGTGCAGACTCGGTAGCCGATGAAGCAGATCGAAGTCGATGTGATTCGCCTGAAGTTGACCTATCCTCTGAGGAATACGATGATGACGATTCAATTATACCTCCAACCTCCACTGGTTCGTTTTCCGGTCGATTCGAACGTCCCGTGAGGAATAATCGTGCTTCATCTGTGGGTCTCGAAAAGGATGAGAAAGAATTCACTCAAACAGCTCGCGGAATGCAAAAACGAAGATTCAGTGGCGAGCCACCATCAAAACCATTTGATATGACCGATATGCCATCAAATATTTCAAACACTCCCATGAAATCCATAGAATCAGACCCATTTTTCGGAGAAAGTCGAGGATTAACGGTATCGAACACGGCGGGTTTTATGAACAGCCCCGCTATGAAACCTGTTTTCGCGTCGAAAAAATCTTGGGATTCTACTCTCGAAACTTCTCATACGAATTGGACGCCAGCGAAGATTGAAACGTTAGATTGGGATACAAGAAATCCGGAAAATGTGGAGTTGGACGAATTAGATGGCATGCTTGATGGATATTAGATTCCTTTCAGCCTTTCATATTTACGATTATACGCACACGAAAAGATTCTACTAATGTTAGAATCAGGAATCTTTTGATTCCATTGTATAAATAGTTTTCTTTTTCCTACTCTTCGAGATTTCTATTAGGGGAGTTGTACGATTTATTTTACTAGAAGAAATGGAAAGATGGATGAATGAAATGGAAAAACACGAGACAAAAGGGAATAAGATAAAAGAAATGTGATCCTGGGGATCATGGGATGTTTTTGGAGGTACTCTCGTTTTACCCATACGTCATTGCCAAGTCTGATATTTTTCTGCGATGGTGTTTGGGATGGTGATGGTGATGATGGAGTTTTTATTTTTATTTTTACGCGTCACGTCTTTTTTTTTGTTCTTACACATAACTTTCATGACTTCAGATGGATGGATGATGGGAGATGGGAGATGGATTCGGAATATTTTCCCATAGCTGAGGGAGTCAAGAGTCTATAAATAAATAGCTTTCTATAAGATAGATTGGGATAGGAGACAATGGGGTTTAAGGTTTCGAAGATTAGAATTGTGGAATGTGGAGTGTGGAATGATGATTATAAGTTACACATGTTATGTATATGACTTATATTGATGAGATGCTTGCTTGGTTGCTTGCTTGCTTGGTTGACTAGGTACTTAGTTTTTCTCCGTGTGAATTCGAGATAGAGAGAGCTACCTAGGTGCCTATATACCTACCTGGTGGTGAACTTGAATCTCAATAAATAAGATAGGTAATCTGAAAAATACATCCTACTTGTTACGTGACGGTTGTTACCCACTAGTGGCTCACGCGCACTAGCCCTGTATATAAAGACCTTCTTACTTAGAATCTTCTTAGTTCTTTAGTTTTAGATTCTAAGTGATTAAATTGACTCCGTTTACGACTTTTCCGTCACAGTTATAAACCACCTCGAGAGCCTAGAGCACTTCTACGTGATCTAGACGGCACACTTTGTAACATTAAATTAAGTAAAAGAAGAAGAAAAAAAAGAAGAAGAAAAAAGAAGAAAAAAAAAGAATAATATAAAAAGAATAAAAAATAAAAAATAAAAATAAAAAATAAAAAAATAAAAAAAAATAAAAAAGAGAAGAGGGAGTAACATATATATTAATTTTAATATTTTATTAATAAAGAAGTTTATATCTCTTTAAACAAGTTTTTTTTAAGATTTTTTTATAGAACTTGTGACCAAAAGGGTGTTCATAGACCAGCAATTGTATTTAACTTAGAATCTACAGGTGAAGAGCACCTGTAGATAGGAATAGCTACTCTATATATAAACAAATGAATGGTCTAGCTATAATGGTTAAACAAAAAGAAATCATATTTATTCCTTCAATAATCTTACTTTACCGATAACCATTGATACATAGTACTTGTTCAGATCTGATCCTCAGACCACTTAAATCGTATACTAATCCCGAGTAATCGTATCATGTGTGAACATGGTTAATGTACCTGAGGTTTCTTATATAATAAGGGTGGGAGGAAAGCAGGGGTTTCCGTCACAATTATATTTATTAATTGAAAAATTATTAATAAATAAAAATCACGATTTTTGGTATAAAAGGGTGGTTGAGATTAGGGGTGGCCGAGAAGTGGGGTACTAGACTTAAAAGACTGTTTGGATCTCATTCTTACGTCAGTACTATGTTCAAATTTGGACAAATCAGTGCCTTGAAGGAGCCGTGTCGAGGTTTTGGCAGAAACATAAAATGAGTTAATAGTTTAATTTGATCAATGCTTTGATAAATTGGTGGGCAAGGTTGACAAGTTACATGAGATGATGGCAGTGAGTAAAAAAAATTGTAGTGGTATTCATGGGCTATTAGATAAATCCTGTCAACCACCATTGGCCATATTAATGATTAGCGGAGAAGTAGACGTATTAGTTTATCTTCAACAAGTATTCTTACTACTAGGATTTCAACTACTCCTTTCATTATCACTACTATTGCCATCATCGTTATCATATCATTCAATCATGCTATTAACAGAAACCCCATCTAATACGTCCAATCCACGGTACATCGTTCAACTTCCCCAGTTTCGAGGCCCAAATAATGGACAGGCTCTGGAGTTTTCCTGTCTGTGACAGGAATTGCCATTATGATTTACCTAGTATTAAATTGCCAACTAAAATTAGTTTATATACTCAATGTGCCGTAAACGGAGATAAGAAGTTAAATCGAATTGGAAGTCGATATTTACCAACTACTTACACTCTCAAGCATGGTTGAGCATTTTAATTTAAACCTCTCTTCTCCTTCCTCCCAAGCCCTTCTCAATCCGCTCTATACCTAATTACAACACTCCCTTCTCCTCTCTTCTAAGCTTATAATCAAAGCTTACTATAAAACTCACATGCTATCCTTCAATCAATACCATAACCACAATAAAACCCATGGAAAAACAGTGTATAGGCTTGAATTCACTGCCATTAGCTTCAATAAGTATACAAAGTTCCACTCAAGAGCTCTGCGGGGTGTAATGCAAAAGTGACTATTTTGTCGATTTTACCCTTGATTTCTTTATTCTCGTTATCTTTCTATTTACTTTCATTCCCATCATCAAAATGCTATTGCCGAAATGGACTTTAGCACCTTTATTCCTTATGAGCTTGCAAGTTTAAATTCTATTCTCTGGATTATTGGTAGTAAGTTTTGACTGTATTCTTGAAGATTTGTGAGGGGTCTTGGGGCTCGTCCGGCCACTAAAATGTGCTCCATGTTTTCGACGATAGTAAATGACGGTTTATGGGGTGAGACTCTGGGGTTTTATATTCAGTTCCTGTTTGTTTCATGGGGCTTAGTGTATAATGGAGCGAAAGGGAAATGGTTGAAAAGAAGAGGGCGTAAGAGAAGGATACGTCATCCTGATTCATCGCATTTTAACAATGTGCTTCTGTATCTGTGAAAAAACTTTCCGGATCTACAACAACATCTTTCTGTTATAGGTCTGTGGTTGATCGAGTATTTTGGTTTACTTGAGTGATGGCCATGAGTCAGACAGGACATGGTTGGATTTGTGTGGAGATATACAAGTAGCTTCTCTCTTACTTGGTAAGAGTTCTTGGGTAAAAGCCATAGGTTGTAAAGTACTTGCCACTGTCATTTGATGCGTAATTTTAACGTTAGTTATCTTTGAATCTCATTAGCTTTTCCTATATTTAAACACCGCTCCTGCGCATTCTCAACTACCAGACAAGATTTCCGTTATGTCAATTTCCCGCCTAACTTTAATTTTCCAACTCAAAATGAACTGCTAGCAACCTAAAAGCCAACACAAAAAATCACTGATGAAGTAGGTTAGGATACAGCTCTGTGTTTCTTGGTGAGACGTAGCAGGTTTATTTAAGGAGTCTCAGGTCTAAAAGTCTTGGCGCAGGAGAGAATGATCGATTTACTGGGACGTGATTAGGGATGAAATTTTTGTAATTGTCTAAAGCATGAAAATCTAGCTCAATATTATTTGATAATAATCTAGTGTTGGGTTTCTTGAGACTAGAAAGAGCATCAGATTGAATTGATTGATTCTCTAGCTAAGAAGTTAAGCTGCGAGCATATATTCAAAAAATGAAGGAATAGGTTGGGTATTCGGCCTTCGGAATTAAAGTGCTTTGAAATCAAAATATTGAAAGCAAACAAACAGTATACCAAAAAGGAAAGAATGAATTAAAAGTTGAGTTTTGTTTGCTCCTTATATGCATATGCACTATATATGCATATGCTGCCAAGATCCCAGGAGGTCAACATCTAGCTTCCTTTATTATAATAAAAACTTTTAGTATCTTTTTTGAGGGCAAGAGGGAGGAATCGATTGAAGTAAATGAACAGATCAAAAAGGAATTTTTTCTTGAGGTGAATATTAAATCACCAAATGTATTTATTGGTTATACATGATAACTAATTCCTTTAAAAACTAAAGTACATAATAATAAAGTAATATCATTATTAAAGTTTATTGCAATCTACCTCTGTTTTACATATAACCCCATCCCTAGACGTAATATGAGATCCAGCCCTAATGAACCCCAATGGTAAAACTTTTGTAATTTCGTGGTCAATATCCGAAACTATTATATTGATGGCTTTTCTTGCCAACGTCGTTTCGTCCATTGTCATTATCATTTTCAGTAGTCACTGTTAGTAGCAGTCGAGAGATATTATCTTCGATTATAGTTTTTATCCTATGTTATTATTCTCTTTCACTGCCACAGTTTTGGTAACTTTAGGTTTCAATTTATTGCCCCAATTATCACAATTTTTCATCGTTTCTGCTTAATATATACCCAAACACAAAGCCGGAATGCTTCAGTTGTCGAAAAAAAGTTCACGAAAGTATTCTATCTTCAGGTTAATCTTCTATAAATTAGACATTCTTTTAATCTTTTCCTAAACTTTTTCTCCATTTTCAAGGAATTGAAATTTATTTGATGAGTTGAGAGATGTATATCAACGGTTTATATACCGTGGTTGAGAACTTCTGCTAGTATGGTGGTAGTATACAGTAGAGTAGTATGGATATTTAGTTGTGAGTGAATAATTGAAGTATATATAAATATTAATATATCCACTAATTCCAATCAAAGGGAGATTCAATTCATAGAGATTGAGAGACTAGTTTAAAAAGCTGCCTCAATTCCGCCATTATTAGCAATAAACAAAGTACAACCTCGATAGATAAAATAGATGTTCTGTTCTTATAAACTAATGGCCGCATAGGAAATTCTTGACTCAGGTTCCGACTAGACAAATACAGAGCATACACAACCTTTCTTATCTTAATTACTTTGATGAGAATTATTTTATAAATCAAGAAAAGTGAAACGACAACAAGTATAAAATCTACGATAAGATGTTTCCTCTCCGGTGGTGGATCTTTCCATCGCACTTTTAATACTCATCACTGGATACTTCCAATAATGAAAATTTACCATCTCTAAATAGTCTTCCTTGGTATCAGTCTCCAGCTACAAAAGTAAAGCTTTCGGGGATATTATAGAATAGTTTGTACCTATCACAAAAATTCAGTATAAGCTTCAATGGGTATGATAATATTACAGGATATTTTTATAGATGGGTTTGAATTATACAGATACCGCAGGAGCAAGCACGGTAGGCAATGCTATTCGGTCTCGCTAGAGTAAGGTGCTGATTCAAACGTATTCTATGATGTATATAAGATATAAAAGCTTGTTTCCCTGAATCCTCTTCCTTTCCAAGTTTATCAAAGATGAGGAAAAATAGAACATTATATTTCAGAATGTGCCCATCGCATCAGTGAAATAGCAATACTGTGCAAAGCTCGGTTGCATTCATATTCTGATAGGTCTACTATCTCAGCAACTGAGGCAAGTTACAGTGCGGAAGGACAATTCGGCAGTAACTACCAAACTTCTCATAAACTATGGAAATAGCATCATTTTACTGTCATTGGTAATTTATTGTTGGTCACTTCATTAATCTATCTTCCTTTCCTATTCCCTGTTGGACGGACCCTCAGACCTACCCAGTATACTTCTCACATTTTGACCTCAAGTCGCTACAGCCACTGCTTATCTTCTAGTGCCACATCCATTATATAGGACAAATCCTGATTTATCTTTGATATGAGTCTGTTAGCCAGTACTCCGGGTTTTATACTGAGATTCTAAACATCCGCTTAACTTAGGATTTTGGGTTGTGTATGATTGGCTAGAGTAGGACATTGTTGCAAAAAAGTATACGCATTTTTCAAGTTCTGCATACTCCCAGGTTGAATCACTAGTACACTTAAAGCTCGAGATAAATACTGAAAAGATGACCACATAGACGCCACTATCAAGCCTTCTTCCAAAATTTGCAGATATATATCGCAGGGTTTTAATGCGTGTGTCTTTTCTCATACACTTGACAGATCATTCTTTCCATGGGCTCTAATGGGCACGAATGAGCTGCAGTACTTGGTGAATATACCCAAATATTGAAGTGATGGCAAAAATACAAAGACTTCAACAATAATTATTCACCTATATAGTATTCATCGTCGTTTAATCACACCCATCATATTTCGAGAACATTTATTTGATAACACATCGCTAGCCACTACCCTTTTCATTGTACAATTGAGTGATAATTTATGATGTTGAATGATACTTGGATCTTGAGGTGTAAACCGCAATGCACGTCTCTTTCATTATGCGAAATGTTTCAACATACAGATCACATCATTGTCCAGCAAGAAACCCATACGTCAGCCCTAATCTACCTAAAAACTTAAGAACTTCCAAGCTATTTATATCCACTAACAGCAGCACTATCAAATAATTGAAAACAATATAAAAAATCATCTGATCACATAATATTTCGCTGCCATTAATCAGACTTGATAACATCCGAAGAGAATCTCCATCCCCTTAGACGAGACCACCTAACAAAAATTTTGCTTTAGAACATATCTATTTCCTCTCATGCCCCAAAATCCCATACACATGCATTTCCAGGAAGAGCAGACAGAAATAGGGCACTTGAATTTCTATTTCCGATACGTAAATTGCGCCATCTACTTAATTGTCTATTCTATTCCTTTCATCGAGTATCTTAAATAATAGCCAAAGTTCAAACCATAACGCCCCGCGCTCATCGAATCATTACCCCGCTTTGGGTATCTGGTGAATGTATATGCGAAACGGAATGGTCTTACTACTGGTGAGTATAGATTTATTGAATTAATATCAATATGGAGCCATATGACATATGATAAAACTTCGCCCGGGATTACTTCACTCATTCTCTACAATTTCTACCAACCCACCATCAAAAGCCCTTGCACTTCCAATTCGTCTGTCCAATTCTCTCTTTCTATTGCTGTTACACTGAGCAACCATATGAACATTCCCTCATCTCATTTCCTGTAAATCGTGATTTTGGACATATTTCGCAACATGTCTTCCCAAGAAAGTAACCTGTACTTATTACCCATAATCATACAGAATTTCCCGATAAATCAGGTGAATTTTAGCTTCAAAGCGGAGTTAGGATGTGAATAAGAGGGTAAGGGAGGAGAAGAGAAATCAAATACATAAAAAGAAGAAGATGTGAGAGCATCTAGAAATAAGTATGAATAAACGAAAGAAATGGTCCTATCAGTCATTTATATAACATGGAAAGTCGAGCAGAAACGAGAATACAAAGAGAAAGAAATCTTTGCCAGAGACGAACTCGATAGCTTATAGAAAATAACATGTTAAAGTACCTATACATAGCAATCCCAGACGACAGCGCTATACACATACACCAGCGAGAAAAATAACAAACCCTAATTACCGCACAACAGCAAAGCAACATTCTAACCGCTAATTAACCCTTATATGCAGAAACGACAAAAATACTAGAGAAAAACCTGTGTGAAGGCCACCTCGAGCCTTATGATCACAAGTTCTATAAGTTCCGAAGCTCAATTAATATAATAACTAGTAAATTGGAAAAAATCCACAATGAATAATAAAAAATCCATAATCTAATCTAAATCAAAAGAAAATGACAGCGACGAGAAGCAAAAGTCAACAACAAAAAATAAAATATCCAAGAACTGCACAAATGATTATCAATAAAAACCCATAATTCCTTTAACTCACCGGGTCGGTTCTCTACTTCAAGACAAAGAAGAAAAAAAAAAAAAAAAAAGAACAAGAGAGATATCTTTCCCAACCTCCACAATCACAACCACAAACCTCCCCTATCCCATCCTATCCTATTTTCTCTAGAATTGCACTAGGATAATATTTATTCATTACAATTTCTAACTTTGTGGTATATATATACATATATATATACATACATACTTCACATCTTCAATATTATATTATACCATACTATACTATACCACAAAAACACCCGCAGAAAATCAAAAAAATATATATTAAACTTCATTGTACCTACTAAGTAAATATCCTTCACTTCCAAACCACAGTATAAAACGTCAAAAATTGAATACATAATCAAGAGAAAGAGAAAGAGAAAGAGAAAGGAAGAACGAATAAATAACTTGAAGTAAACTGATAAATCAAATCAAACTATTCATTAATTAATGAATACTTAAAGTAGTTCATAAGCAATTATTGGCTGGAAGTGATAGTTTCGGGATATTATATACCAAGTGGGTTGTTATTTAGTAATGACTAGTGTATTGTCACGTAGTAGATATTATCATCATTATTATACACTGATGTCCCAACACCGCTTATGAAGGATGTGCATGGAAGATACCGAAGAGGGTCAAATTTTATTGATTCCTACATCTCAATTCTCGAATATAGAATATGATTGTGTGAAGCTTTTTGCCGCTCATATGACAATTCATTATTAAGACTTTGATCGGACTTAAAGTTGGTTGCTCGGCGCAGCACCCTCGAAGGTTTTACGTTTAGGTGTAGTTCTGCATTTGGAGAGGAGGTGAATTTTTCTCATTCGAGCAAATCTGCGTTTCCTCCTCCTCATTACCTACCTACGCAGGAAGTCCCACTATTGAAGGACTGAAATATGCCCAAGATATAAAATAAGAAAAGAGTCCACGCTCCTGGCGGTTTTTTTCAGCTCCCCCTCTTTACTGGGGCGGCGCGGAATCTCTGTAGTCCTTATTAGTGGTATCCCTGACTTTGGAGGGATCAAATGCTCCTCACAAAGATACCACCTGCACCTCGAGTTATGTCTGGCCGTTAAGCCAGGTTGTCGATTGTCAATAACAACATTTAAGGAGGGAAGTGGTGGTGTTTGAGACTATATCGGTAAGCGAGGATGCGTCGACATGGTCAAAATAATGAAGTTGCATCTGAGGCCCACTGGTAAACATGAGATCTTTTAGTAGTATTCCATACGTAAAACAAGGAACACATGAGACGGCAAGGACCAGTAAAGGACGGCTATGATTATTTGAATATGGATTTCAACATGGAGTCGAGGAAGTATGGAAAACACTCAAGAGGCAAAGGTATTCTTGTCGCGGATATCAGTGCTTTCCAAGACATGTTGCGCCATCAGCTTTAATATCGTAGCCTCACTTGAGGTATATCGAATCATTCTACATTTTCCGCAAAACCATCAACCATAAAGAAGACAAGAGCACTTAATTTTCTAAACCTCTGATCATAGATACAACTGCAGACTTCTGTATACCAAAAATAGTGGTTCAAGTTAACACTGAGCGACTCTTCCTGGACTAGCAGAATTTCAAGATGTCATGGAACATTCGAAGGCATGAGCGTCGCAAATGATTTCTGGAAAGCACTGGCTTATGGCAGGGCATCTAAGTAACGTGATAATATCAAGTAATACGAGAAATGTCAAAGGGAAAAGCAAAAGTGCATTCTAGAATCTAGAGAAGACTCCTCGACAGTTTGACTATCGGAAACACAGTATTCTGCAGTACCGTAGATGTGTCAAGACCCAACCACTCCGATTTGAAAATGATACGCCGTGAAAACCGGCTGGATGGCCGTCAATACGCTAGACAGAGATTTTTCAAATCGCCCGTCGGCCGAGTCGCCCCTAATCCGAAAGTAGTGATTTACTGCTCCTAAATAACCTTAGACCATGTCATGTCAATAGTAGAAACTCCAATAATTGGTTCATCGAAGATCTAGTACATAGTACATATTAGGTAGTTCACCAAATATTGACGACCGAATCAAGTGAAGGCAAACAAAATTCGCAGGCTCCTCGGAACCACCGATATTGCTAAGCCTAAATGAGAGAAGTACGTAAAATCACGTGACAATGATGTCGAGATTAATTGTGGCTATTTCGTCATTTATTGTGGATCTTCCTGTCATCTTACAAGTTCCCAGCCAACCAGAGTTTCTATACCTACAGAGTACTCGAAAGATGGGCTTTTTTTTTTTTCAAATACTGTTCCCGCCTGTTCTAGGATTGTGAGAAGGATTTATTAGGGTTGCTTATCAGGTTGAATTGTGATTGAAAAAAATCCATTTCTTTTACTTGAAGGTTTCTCGGAAATGTCTTTTATTTTCTCCGGGAGAGATAGCTAAGAAAGCCATCTGAGCTTATCTCATTTTTTGGAGACTAATAATGCGGGGCATCTGATATCGTACTGCAATCGCGAATCATAATGCACCGTGCAGATGAACTGCTCCACAAAAAAGGCTGTTTAACATATCACCATAAAAATCATGTCGAACGAACGACGTCTAAATATCATGGTAATGACTCGAGATAGTCAGTGGGATGGAAGAGATGGAGTTGAGTTTGGGAGATAAGGTTACAGGATGGAAAACCATTCGCACGGGATTTGAACTAGTAATCCTGAAAACGGGGAATAATGGAAGGATTACCAGGTAATACTCGAATATGCAAGTCAGATATCCGCAAACGCACCTCTCGCTCTTCATCCAATCCCCCCTATCCCATTCCAAGATTCTAATCCCTGAACTCAATCTTTGGCTGCACGCTAAAGTAAGTAGTGGCTAAAGTAGAGCCCCAGGCGGGGAATGGATCTAGTACTGTAACTCGATAAGTTATCTAAGTAGAAAGTTTCCTCACTACTCTCGAGCTATAAAAAACGGTTTCTCTTAGTTTCTCGCACACTTGAGGGCAGTGATTTTTTATTTTTTTAATATAATATAAGAGGAATTCCTTACTCCTTCATTCACACAACCAAACATCACAACTTCAATACTCAATAATCTGCACACGAGAAAGAAGTCCATATTGCGCACTTCTATCTGATCAATACAACCTAAAACCAGTCAATACCGCCATTCATGAGGATTGTGCGCATTATTACAATTCACCCAATTCACTATTTACCAATAGTTCAGTAAGTCCTCATTTCAAATCATTGCGCAATACTTACCTGGGAAATTGTGCAACTATTGCGCCATGTTCCTCCTTTTGTGTTGAATATTTTGTTATTAATTCTTAAGAGATATGATTCTGACCCAATTGCACAGCTTCCCATCGCGAAAATGGCGATAGATCAAGAATCTCCCGTTATGTCTTCAGGAAACAACTCCAAAAACGATGTCAACGACAAATCTAGACAAGAAGATAGCCTCGAAGACCAGAGTCCTAGATCCGAATATAAAAAACTCAGTTGGCTCAGTACATGGGGATTTGGTCCTGTAAAAGTTGGTCCAAGAGTCGGTCCAGTTTTGCCACATCTTCGTATGGATGCCGATGCTTCAAGTATCAATAGTGATAGTGGAAATGAACTTTTGAAAAAGCAAATTCAAGCTGAGGAGGGTTCTGCCATCAAATATCGTAGTTGCAGTTGGCAAAAGGTCATACACAACATTTTTATTCTTCGTATGACTGCTAACTCTTAATAGACTGCTGCTCTTCTATTTTCAGAATATATCTGTTTGGCAATTATGTCATTTCCATGGTCTTACTCTGTTTTGGGACTCGTACCAGGTCTTATTTTAACTGCTGTTGTTGCATTTTTGGTCCTATACACATCTCTCGTTTTATGGGAGTTTTGTTTGCGCCATCCTGAACTTAGAGATGTTTGTGATGTGGGACAAATGCTCTTTGGTGGAAGATGGGCATGGCATGCTACTGCTGCCATGTTTCTTTTGAACAATACCTTTATTCAGGTATGAATTATCATATTAACTTTTTTACAACTACTAATCAAATCAGGGACTTCACGTTTTGACTACTGCAAAATACTTGAATACCGTCACCAATCACAGTCAATGTACAGTAGTATTCGCCGTTATTGCAGCTGTCATTTGCTGGGTTTGTTCTGTCCCAAGAACCTTCAGTGCTCTATCCTGGTTAGCAACCATGTCTGCATTCTTCACCTTCATCTCCGTTATGCTCGCCACTATCTTCGCGGGAATCGAAGGTCACCCTCTCGGGTACAATCCCGATCCTACCTCCATCATCCCAGCTACAGGTCTATTCGGAGGCGCCCCAACTGTCACCGCAATCCCAGTCAAAGGCGTAACATTCGTAAATGGTTTCAATGCCTTCCTCAACATCTCCTACACATTCATCGGACAAATCACCATCCCATCATTCATGTCGGAGATGAAAAATCCCGTCGATTTCCCCAAAGCCCTCTGGGCCGTCACCATCGCCGAAGTCATCGTCTTCAGTCTCGTCGGAGCAATCATCTACGCCTTCACCGGAAACCAATACATGACCGCCCCAGCCTTCGGCTCCTTAGGAAAAAAACTCTACGTAGATATATCCTTCTCCTTCATGGTGCCAACCCTCATTTTCCTCGGCGTCCTCTACGCCTCCGTCTCCGGCCGCTTCATCCTCCTCCGCGTCTTCCACAAAAACAAACGTCATCTCACCGAGCACACTCTCACCGGCTGGTCCATCTGGATACTCATCTTGGCAATAACCTGGATAGGCGCCTTCATCATCGCCGAAGTAATCCCCTTCTTTTCCGATCTCCTCTCTCTCATGTCATCACTCTTTGATTCCTTTTTCGGATTTATTTTCTGGGGTGTGGCGTATATTAAAATGCGACGTGTAGATTATGGAGCAGGTTGGATGCATAAAACGAGTAAACTCGGTTTGGGGTTTAATGTCTTAATTATTCTTATTGGGTTGTTGTTTTTGAGTGCGGGTACGTATACCAGTGTGCAGAGTATTGTGGATGGCTATAATAATGGGAGTTTTGGGGGTGCGTTTACGTGTGCTAGTAATGGGATTTAGAGGGCTGTAGGGTAGAGTACAGTAAAATAGTGTATATGGGATGGGATGAATTGTGATATAAAGGAGAGAAAGAGAATATATTGAGAAAATTGAGATTTAATCCCATTCTGTTGGATTCGCTTGGATTTTTTGACTAGTTTATTTTGATGTAGGTACACCAGTAGTGGGATATAATATAATTATTGAAAAATATAATATAATATAACATAAAAACACAAATAAGTCTTACAAATACAAATATCAATCAATACCTTTATAAAAACTCCAGAGAAAAAGATAGAGAGAGGATAAATATATCCAATAGGTACCTACCTAGTTAGAAGATAGGAAAGAAAGAAAGTACAAGGGCTCATGCGTGATAGATAGATAGTCTTCCAAATCCTTTTTTTTTCGCTTGGGATGGGATGGAATGCAGGGTGATGAGGTGAGATGCGGGGTCTAAGGGTGAAGTACGGAGGTATGGAGGGGTACAGTAAGTGGATCGAACTCGATCTGCTGGGCATATTATCCAAAAGGGAGAAATCGCCTAAGCTCTTTGAAACATTGAAGATTCACAAAAACGATATTTATTCATGTTCATGTATTGTTCGTGAAACATAAGAGCCCTATTCTGATAACCATTAAAAGATACCTAGAGTGGGAAAGGGATATCTCATTTTTTTGGCCTTTCCTTGTAATCATAGAGTCATAGAACTTCGCCATTGCAAGCGATCAAAACAAGTGATATCTTACAGGCAAAAAATAATGAAATTGGGAATCGAATCATCTTTAGCCATAAAGACCTCAATTTTCGCATTCCTATTTCGTACAAAAAAAATCGACTCCGTATTGTTGACGTGAGTTGTTCCAACAACAACTCAATGGCACATGGTTTAAACCATACATTGGTAGTCAAGAAGGAAAACTAAGGTGGATGGGAAAAACCAAAGTGTGAAGAACTAGAAATGTTTATGCTTCGGCTTTAGCAACGCGAGCTTTGGCTGGCTCATGCTTGTAAACTGTCTTGTACTCTTGGATGTATCGCTCGTCATCAGCTGCAGAGGCATCCTGAAGAGGCTATCGATGTGTTAGGGGCATAATCTAATAGAACTGGAAGATCAATGTTATGACTTACCTTGAGCTGGGCAGGCGACAACTCTCTGAACTCTTGTGCAATACGTTTCACGGCCTCGGTGACCTTGATACCAGCAAAATCGCCAGACTCAAATCGCTCTCTCACGAACATCATCATAGGTCTCACAGGTCGCTTCACCGTTCGATCATCTTTGATGAGTCTTGGAGAGGAAGTTTTGTTGGTCAATCTTCGAATGTGTAGACGTGCAAGATTTGCTAGACGAATCTCATCTGGAGTATGACTTTCAACCCAATTCTTGTAGATAATAGCATTGGCAGCTTTGTTCTCATTTGCGATGCGATTGAGTCTCTGTAATGTGATTAGCATGGTCTTACGAGAAGGAAAAGTGTGTTTATTACCTCCAAGTCTGCCGTCGACGCTGATTTATATTTCGTGGCCGCCTCCTTCGATGCCGCAGTGATATCATTACTACCAATAGCCAACTCAAGATTCAATACTCTATAGGCACTCTGGGGCTTCTCTTTTGGATGTTCTGAAATTAACGCAGTAACCTTCAATTCCCGCAGCTTCTTTCTCAACAATTGTGAATCGGTCAATGGCGTCTTTGCCTTTTTGGCTTTCTTCGGCTTAGCCTTGAGAGTCTTCTTTGCTGGCTTCTTGGCTAACTTCTTGGCTGCTGGCTTCTTCGCAGCTTTTTTGACGGGCTTTTTGGCAGCAGTTTTCTTTGCAGCAGGTTCCTTAGCAGTGGATTTCTTCGCAGGTTCCTTCTTCGTAGCTGGTTTCTTCGCAGTGGTAGTTTTAGTTTGGGTAGCTTTGGTGGCAGTAGCATACGATCGGCGCGCCGGGAAAGATGCCGAGGAAGCTTTCAAGACTGATTCGCCATTTTGTTGACCTTCAACGCGTTGCAATTGCCAAAAGGTAGCAAGAAATCGGTTTGTTGATCCGTGAGATCCTCCGATTCTCTTGGTAGCTGCGCGACCAATGTTGGACAGCATGATGATTGTTGAAGCCTGGTAATTTTGCAGTTACCAGACGTCTCTCGAGCGAGGAGGATTGAAATTTAGAGGTTGAGGATGATGGCACAAACGGAGAGTTTGCGATTGAAGTCATCTTTTTCGTCTAAATGTTCCAAAATCACGCTAGGGCCCGTGAAGCTTTGAAAGGTCCGTGCGCGTCATAACTACCGTAGCAAACCGGAAGGTAAGACTTACATAAATATCTGCAAGGCAAGCTCACCAGCTGTAACAACATCAGACTTGGAAGAAGTACCTAGTAACCACGACCATTCTACAAACAATACATATTGAACTCGTATCATCGACCTTATACCTTCTTGATCTGCTCATTTTGAAGTTATAGACCGTAATCTGGAGAGGATAATTTTGTTTCCTGTCATTTTGATTGTTGCCTGAAAGTATTTCTACCCACCGAAATACCATAACTTGGGCAAAAAATGGCTCGGCACAGGGACTCTCGCTCACCATCGCCAACAGGAAGCCACCACTCGTCGAGACGAACCCGAAGAGATGATAATGGCAGACGCGATCGAGATCGAAGAGATGATGTTAGAGGACAGAGACATCGCAGTCGTTCTCGAAGTCCCGACGTGAGAACTCTTACCTTTAAACCCCACGTTCATCAGGTACAAATTACTAATGATCTCCAGCGTCGCGAACGTGATCATGATATACCTCGCAGAAGAGATCGTTCAGTAGGGAGATTAAATGATGATTACCATAGATCTGGTCGTCGAGATAGATCTCGAGATCGCAGAAGCTATGCTGATAGGGAACGATCACTGGATAGGAGAAGACGCAGAAGTCGAGAACGAGATTACCGTGATAGGCGAGACGACTCTTATGATGATAGGGCTCGAAGACGCCGCGAGGATTCTACTGACTCATGGTCTCGTAGCAGAGGAGACGAAAATCGCGGACAGACACCCAGATCAGATAGTGGCGCAAAAGTTCATGATGTGAGTTATCTATGTTCTGATCAAGACAGATCAATTACTCATGCAGGATCACAGGCTCCAAAAGCATCAGCACCCGCTGCGCAAACCGAGGAACAAAAGAAAGCAGAACGTCTAGCAAAATTAGAAGCGTGGAAGAAGAAGATGGCCGAAGATAAAGAGCGTAAGGAGAAAGAGCTGGCTGCGGGTGGGACTCGGAAATTACTCGATGATATAGATCAAAAGGCCAATGGTTCCTCTTCCCAACCCTCACCCAACACTCCTACAACTCCTTCAACTTCTGCGATATCAGGCGATCTCGCACCAACAAATTATGCTGGGAAATTTGATCCAAAGGCGATAGCTAAAAAGGCAGTGGCTAGCTCGAGCAGTGCGCATGCTCTTGGAAGGGATTTACCATTAAAGGAATTGTCTAAAACGTCCGCCACCTTAACTTCTACGGTCAAAGGATTACAAGCTGACAAAAAGCCAACAGCTTTCAACAGCACCTCGAAAGGTAAGCAAAATGCTACTCCTCTATGTATGATCATTTGGCTAATCAGTTCGATTATAGTATCTGCGTTACCTAAAACGAGAGGGAACCTTAGTGTTTTCGGGCTCGGCGCGAAGGTTACCGACAATGAAAAGACATACCAGAAACGTGCTCTAGATTTCGATGAAGATGAAGGATCAAGAAAGAAACTAGAAAAGCTACCAACCCTACCAATGGCAAACTCCAAGGAAGATGATGCTGCGCTCGCTAACGGTATTGAGGGACAAGATGATGACGATGATGCTGAACTGGAAGCTGCCGGCACGGAAGAAGAGGCCGCAGCTGCAGCCAGAGCAGCCGCAGAGAAGCGCGAAGAAAGGTTGCAAGAAGCTGAATCTCAACCACACACAAATGGCGATGTCCACATGGAAGATGCTCCTCAAGCTGATTCGACTGCCATGGATGAAGATGAAGAAATCGACCCACTGGATGCTTTTATGGAAGAAATGGGAGACCCTTTCTCCTTACCGAAATCCAACACAACATTTGTCAAGAATAATACCAAGAGTCAACCACAAGAACCGGAAGCTTTATTCGGTGATGATGATGTGGACCTGAAAGCCTTGGACGCGGACCCGGATGAAATCCTTGCGATCGCAAATAAAGCCAGAAAAAAGAAGGATATTCCAACCATCAATTATGCAAATTTAAATCTTCCGCCATTCCGCAAGAACTTTTATACCGAACCAGCGGAGCTTGTGGATATGACTGAAGCTGAAATAAACGACTTACGACTTGAGCTTGATGGTATTAAAGTAGCCGGTAAGGATGTTCCCAAGCCCGTACAAAAGTGGTCTCAATGTGGTCTTGATGTGAAATCCCTGGACGTTATAAAGAAACTAGGATATGACAAGCCCACCTCCATTCAGATGCAAGCTATTCCGGCAATAATGTCTGGCCGAGATGTTATTGGAGTAGCTAAGACAGGATCGGGTAAAACCATCGCCTTCTTGCTACCCATGTTTCGTCATATTCGAGATCAACGCCCATTGAAAAATTCTGATGGACCTATCGGTTTGATCATGACTCCTACGCGAGAATTGGCAACACAGATTCATAAAGAGTGTAAGCCTTTCTTGAAGGCAATGGGACTCCGTGCGGTCTGCGCATATGGGGGTGCCATTATCAAAGACCAAATTGCCGATCTCAAAAGGGGCGCAGAAATAATCGTTTGCACTCCTGGAAGAATGATTGAATTATTGGCGGCCAATTCTGGTAGAGTTACAAATCTTCAACGTGTCACATATGTTGTTCTAGATGAAGCTGACCGTATGTTTGATATGGGATTTGAGCCCCAAGTCATGAAGGTTTTCAATAATATTCGACCTAACAGACAAACTATTCTTTTCTCAGCTACCATGCCTCGAATCATGGATGCACTAGCTAAGAAGACGCTGCAGTCACCAGTAGAAATTGTTGTTGGTGGAAGAAGTGTTGTTGCGCCCGAAATCACACAAATTGTTGAAGTCCGAGAGGAGAAAGAAAAGTTTCACAGACTTTTGGAGCTTCTTGGAGAGCTCTACAATGCTGATGAAGATGCTCGAACACTCATCTTTGTTGATCGTCAAGAAAAAGCTGATGACTTACTGAAGGACCTAATGAGAAAAGGTTACCCATGTATGTCTATTCATGGAGGAAAGGATCAAGTTGATCGTGATTCCACCATTGATGATTTCAAAGCCGGCGTGGTTCCTATTATGATTGCTACCTCAGTAGCTGCCAGAGGCCTTGATGTCAAGCAGCTTAAGCTCGTTGTTAATTTCGATGCACCTAATCATCTAGAAGACTACGTTCACAGGGCTGGACGAACTGGCAGAGCTGGTAATACTGGTACTGCTGTCACTTTTATAACAGAAGAGCAAGAACAATATTCGGTAGGTATTGCGAAAGCCCTTGAACAATCTGGACAAGAAGTACCAGAAAGGCTTAATGAGATGAGGAAGTCATACAAAGATAAGGTCAAAAGTGGTGCTAAAAAAGAGAGTTCAGGTTTTGGTGGAAAGGGTCTGGAACGTTTTGATGCTGAGCGCGAAGCTACCAAAGCTCGCGAACGCAAGATACACAAGCTTAATGGCGATGACGATGAAGAGGAGAAAGAAGAGAAAGATGATGACGTTCTTCTCAAAGCTGCATCCGTGGTTCAACCCGCCTCTGCTTCTACTGCTCCACCTAAACTGCTTGGTGTACCTAAAGGTATTGATCTCGATGGAGATATTAAAGTCCATCGCACCGAAACTGCAGCCAGCTCTAGCGGATCCAAAAATCCGCTCGATAAAGTCACGTCGGCCATCGACGCCATCAATGCCCGTCTCAATAAAACAGGACAACTCCGCTCTGGTGTCCCGATTGATAACAAAGGACCTGACGCAGGTGCTTTCCACGCCACGTTGGAAATCAACGATTTCCCACAGAAAGCTAGATGGGCTGTTACGAATCGCACGAATGTGGCCAAAATTCTAGAAGCGACGGGTACGAGTATTACTACCAAAGGTAGTTTTTACCCGGCTGGAAAAGAGGTCCAGGCTGGTGGAGATCCTAAACTGTATATTTTGGTCGAGGGTGATACTGAGGTCGTGGTTACGAATGCTATGAGAGAGTTGATGAGGTTGTTGAAGGAGGGAACGATGGCGGCTGCTGATGCGGAGGGAAGGGCTCCGGCCAGTGGGAGGTATACTGTTACTTAGGTGGGATGGTGGGGCTTGGTGGATAGGTGGGGGAATATATATATGAGAAGACGAATGAAACGGTAGCCATGTGAAATAGTAGTAGGAACAGGAATATTATAACTATTCTATCATACACATATACATTTATGCATAGTCCCAATCTTCATAAATAAATACATACTAGGTAGGCAGGTAATCTTAGATATTTGAAGTATTCGATTTCCATTTCTCATTTTGTATTTCTTTCTTCACTGTATACATAAATATCCTATCCTATCCTATCCTAAAATCTACCTCGGAAGTAGAATGAATAAGCAAGCCGTCAGGAATTCAATCCAATCTATTCTAAAACTCCATATCTTTTCACCAAAAAAAAGAAAAGAAGTATACTCCCGATTATAGATTATCTATCCAATGTACCCCTCAAAAAAGAGAAAAGGCAAGGAAAAAGGAGAAAGAGAAAAGATACAGAAAAATAAAGATGGATATATCCCAATACACCGTCCCGTTTCCTTTCCTTTGTCCCCTAATGGTAATGGTAACTCCTCTGATTTAAATTGTACCAGGCAATATTAACGTTTCTCCGTCATATTGTCATTTCCGTCCGTTCTGATGGGTTTTTCTATGCTTCTTTCTGCTGCTGCTTCATCTCATTTTCGCAGTCATCGATTAATTATAAGCCCTAGTGTTTGCTGCCGCATCTGCATCTCTCGTTTGTCTTTCCATTGCACTTGCGTTTTTGCGTGTTGCCTCTAAGGTTTGGGATTGTTCTCCTGCGAGCTTTTTGCCTAGTGTTCCTTTGGGTTTTTTGGAGTTGAGGCGCGCCTGTTTGGGGGAAGGGGTGTTAGCATTTGGTCATTTGATTGCTTGTAGTTCTGGTTGGAGGCTCGATAGTGAGAGGAGACAAGGAATTTGTTTATAGGGGTATGGAAGAGGGCGTGAGTTTGGGAGGGGAGTGTCAAGAGAAAGGGATTAAAGAGAGATTAATACCTCGGCAGCTTCAGCAGCTTTCCTCCTAGCATCTTCTTGTGCATTTGATCCGCCCCCACTAGAACCAGAACCGACTGTCCGTGGTGGACCACCGACGGTACGCGGCACGCTGGATTTTGGGGCTGCAGGAGGAGGGTTAGGTTTTGGAGGTGCCGAGGAGAGTGTTCGGCCTGGTTGGTCGAAGGGAGAGGGATCGGAACTACTGAAGCAGTTACCCATTTTAGGGACGGGGAGGGTGAGGCTGAGCGAGAGGCGAGGAGGAAGGGTCTGGGTGATTGTAGGGCCTGGTGGGCTGAGGCTCCCGTGAGAGGGGCGGAAGATGAGGTCTTAAAAATCCTAAACTTGCGCGATCGCGATGAAGAAGTGGGTGATTGAAGCGGTGTTCTGAATAATCTCGCGATTCAAGCTTGTAATTGGGATCTAACAGTCGCGCAGGATAGTATCGCAATCATACAATTTTCCCTCGTAGTTGTAATTTGTTGATTGTTGCTCTCTTGCTCTATCGAAAACAGTCACCACGGCACCCCAAACCAGTATTAATGTCGAAACGTGAAGATGGAAATCTAGTAGCAGGGATTTGTTTGCGCAAAGTGGATTGGGACGAGAGAAAATATTCTGTCGTTTGTGATATTGGTAGGTAGCTATTGTATGTTTCGTAGTTAAGGGATTTGGTATTGTAGAAAATTGAATCGAGGAGTGATGTTGAAGAAGTGAAGTTCAAAGGTGATGCATGCTATGATACCACGCAGGCCAAGAATGAGGCTGTGTTCTCATTGGATGAGATGGGGGGATTTAGTGATCGGTTTGGTTTGTCGAGATTGACGAATTAACTGCTAGGTAATTGACTAGGGTGTAGTATGATGTTACTTTTTTACAGAGTACGGACCAGTATGATTTCAGAGTTTGGGAGGGAAGCAATGTAGATATTTCTCTGAGTTTGAGGGGTTTTGAGATATGAAAGGATTATGATTATAATCATATTATGTAAGAGTAAAGAATACCATGTTTTAGAAGCGTCATAATGGTTTTCCTTGGACATTTGTTTTATCGTTTCGTGATAGGTACCTAGTAAGTCTTACTTCTCTTCAGCTTTCTCTTTCAGCCATTTCTTCAGGACTCGACTCGATGTCAAAGTCTTATCGATAAGAAAGGGGGAGAGACATAAATAAGGTGGGGAAATTTCAATCCACTTAAGGCTCGTCATTGGTCAGCAAGAATCTTTCATGAAATACCTACCTATTGTACCTACCTAGGTAAAGAATGAATGGAAAAGGATTATTTCATCTTTGGCGGTCAATAAAATAAATAATATCTGCGGAGCTGAGTAGTTTACGGAGTATAATTTTTCTATCTTTATATTAAAATAACTCATCTCTTCTCTTCATCTCTTTAACCTTTCCAATAAATTATATCCTCTATATAATAAATCATAATTCCTAAAGTCTAACAAACCCTTTCAGTTGAAGTTCTTTCAAAAAACACCTTGTTGGATACTTTTCACCTTAGCTAATCCATTCCATCCATACACACTCCTCACCTGCTTCACCTCCAAACTCACCTTTTTGTGCATCAACACGTTTTTACCCCACGGCAAACCCTTCCAATCTATCAAAGATCCAACTTTGTCAAACATTGGATAAGATCACAAGTTGGCTCAAACTCAGCTCGGAAACTTCTCATTCGACCATATTCTTCCATCTATCTTGTATCTATCGTTGCTCACTTGGCGACACGACAACTGACTCCTCTCTTTCTTTCTCCGTCGCGACCCACCACATGCAAGCCAAAAGCAAGCAACCGTCTGGTGAAACTTTGCGACCATGGAGCAACCCCTTCTCGATCAAGAGGATACTCTAAAGCAATTCCAACGTATGTCGTATGACGAGTACGATCAACCATATTACCCTATGCGACAACCTGGTGCGACGATCTTTCCTTCCAATCCGCTTTACTCTGCTCAATATAAGTTTCCAAATATGTACCCTCAAAATCAAGCATATAATGGAGAAATATCTCAAGAAGACCCTTTCAAAGCTCAGGTCTTTTCGCAGCAGTTAAATCTACAATCACAATCTTATCAACCATATGTCTATCGTCAAACAATGGATCTTTCGCAACAATTTCCCACTCAGCAAAACATGAACCAAGAATATTCGAATATGAGAGCTGTCGCAGACCCAACTCCAAATTACTCAGAGAAATCACCCAGAAAGCGACAAAGAGTTAATGAACCCAATGGACCTACTACAAAACGATTTATGCCTACAGTAACCCAACCAGCTGAGACCGACACAACCAGCGAATGTTGTAGTTCTTGTCCAAGTGGTTCATTATGCGCCGAGTCGGATTGTGATGGAAATGATGTCGTTGTTGCTTGCACCTCCCCAGAGTGCGAACAACCCGTTTGCACCTCTCCAGAATGTGAACAACCCGTTTGCACCTCTCCAGAATGTGAACAACCTGCCTATACGGAACCTTGTGTTAGGGATGGTGCTCTTAGCAGACGATGTTCAGTTGTTGGAGACAATCAAACATCTGACAAAATGTTTCCAACTTGGGATAATTATCTCGCAATGTCGCGAGTAGAGCAACAACGACCTTCGACATTTCACACTTTTGCGCCTGGATTACGAGACAACCAAGCTCAAGAAGAAATATCCCCTTCTCCTGTTCCAACAACACCATCATTGGTCTTGAATATGGAAACACCTTATTCAGATATTGCAGTCTCACAAGCTCCAGGACCTCCTATGCAGCAATTGACAAACAATATGTCTGTGTCCTCACTTTCTGGTACTGGAATGCGTTTCGGTGATGGATTGGAGATGTTCAATTGTAATTGGTTGGACTGTGGACAGCCAATGCATGATCAATATGAATGGCATAAACATTTTCATCAGGAACATATCGATCCACAATTTACCTTCAATTGTCCAATGCCTTCAGGATCTTGTCATACACCACTCAACTCGAATCCTTTAGATCATTTGCAGATGAATCATGGCTTTACCTTTGATGAAAATCTCAATGGATTTCCTTGTCCTGCTCCTGGATGTCTTGCGGATGAGATGTATTGTGATCCTTCAATGCTTCACAATCATATGGATCAAATGCATGCTATACCTCTGCAAGGGCAGTTACAGTGTCAAATTGATTCTTGTAATACCTCATATCAAGATCCAAATCAATTCTTCAATCATTTAAATCATGATCACAATTTACCAATTCCAATGACACCTGTTGAGGAAATTGATCTTTCTAATATACCAATGCCAGAAGCAAAGGCATCGGAAGAGGTAAAAGAGATCGCTCCATTGGCGAAGAACGAAAGATCAGAATCGCATAATCATCTATCTTGCAAATGGTTAACCAACAACCATCTTTGCGGTCAGGTACTTACATCAGAAAGTGATCTTCAAACTCATGTCAAAGATTTTCATTTGTCTGTTTTGAACAAAACTTCAGGTTATTTTTGTAAATGGCAAGGTTGTTCTCGAAAGCATAAAATGGGTGATAAGGAAGGATTTTCTCAAAGAGGAAAACTCGAAAGACATATGGCGAGTCATACAGGGTGTAAGTTTCATTCCTTTTGATAGGTTTACAAGACTGACAAGTTTTAAATAGTCAAGGAATGTACGTGTGACTATCCTGGTTGTGGAAAAACATTCGCGGCGGCTCAGTCTTTAAAACAACATTACCGTCTCCATACTGGTGAAAAACCATGGAAATGCAAATACTGCCCAAAATCTTTCCCTCAGCAAAGTGCATGCACAGTTCATGAACGCATACACACTCAGGAAAAACCTCTGGTTTGCAATATCTGTGGAAAGACTTTTAGCGAATCGTCAAATTTAGCAAAACATAGAAAGACTCATGGGGAGAGAGGTCATTATGAATGTCCAGAGTGTCCAAAGACATTTCATAGGTTGGATCAATTAAAAAGACATGGGGAGATGCATGAGAGGAGAAAGAAGAGAGCTATTAATGGTGAGGGCGAAGAGGGAAAGAGTGAGATTACAGAAAGTATCGCGACGGAAAGTGTGATTGATGGGGTTAGTGTGAGAGGTGGTGATGAGAATGGGAGGTGATGACTCATGGTGATTGGGGTGATGGGAATTGGAACGAAGATTATTGTAATAATTCTAACGAAAGACAAAGCTTATGATTTACGATTCATGTCTTATGAATCAGGGGAGAGGGTATGGTGTGGGTGGAATTTTACTAGCGAGGTATTGCGATGCATTACTATATTTGCGAGGCGAGGCAATTTGATACATGGCGCGAAGAGATTAAAAGTTTCCTTATTAGAGGTCAAGATGAAGTAGAGAAATACGAGTCGATGGCTGGAAATGATTTGAATATATGGATAAATGGTTGGTTGGTTGGTTGGTGGATCGGTATTGATGGATTAAGAATGGGATGGGTCAGAGGGATGTGGGGAAAAGTTTAAAAGTACCTAGTTAGTGAGATACCTATTTGGTAGTTTGGTAGTTGGTGATTGATTGATTGGTTGATTGAGTAATTGATAACTTTAGATTTGAATTTGAATTTGAATTTGAATGGAGGGTGGGATGTGATTGTGTGTGCTTGGCGAGGGTAAATGTCACACTCAAGAATACTGAGTAAAGTATCTTGTATTAGAAAATACTAAGCTAAGGAGAAAAGAAGAAGGAAAACAAGAGTAGAGAGTTTTTCTGTGATTAAATACAAACGGGGCATGCCACGTGACCCGGAGGTGTGAGGCGTCACAGTAAAGGAGGAGGAGAGGAGTTGAACGGGAGTTGGGATATGGGATGTGAATGAGAGGTATGATTTGAGATTTGGATTTTGAAATGATGATGGGTTTAAGAAGAGGGGTTTAAGAAGAGGGGTTTGAGAAGAAGGGTTTGAGAAGAAGGGTTTGAGAAGAAGGGTTTGAGAGTATACATAAATATATAGATATATATGTTACGAAGGTGACAGTCAACCTGTCCGTATAAGCTTCGACCCTATGGAAAAGCAAGGAAATTTACATACAAAACTGTATGACAACTTCCTCACGAGATCTCCCCACCCTTAGCAAGCTTGGACATATAGTCTGATCCAAGTCACGTGATGGATCCTGCATATTCAGGGATACAAATCGTAGGTCCATACGAATCGAAGGGCCATAAACTCTCAGGATCCAAGAGATCCAATGAAGGACGAAGGTCTATATAATCAGGATGGTTTCCTTTGTGTAGAGCTTCGTGCTCAAGATCAATCATTTAGTATACTCTACTATTAGTTACGAATTGCATTATTGTCATTACTTTAAGTCCCTGCTTGACGCCTAGTTATAAACCACCTCGAGAGCCTAGAGCACTTCCACGTGATCTAGACGGCAAACCTCGTAACAAGGACAGGACAGAATACAGAACACAAGCAAGAACAAAGTACAGGAGCAAACAAATAATCAATCATCAACAAACCCGAGAAATCACAAGAAATTATAAAATGCATAGTAACAATAGAAGTAAAAATGGAAGTGGAAGTGTATAAACGTTGGAAAATAGACTTGAATAGAATAAAATAAAAAAACTCGAAAAATCGAAAGAATAAAACAGAACTGAACAGAAAATACAAAACTATGTATAAATTTGTGCTTGGGTATTTGGATATTCATTTATGTATGTATATAATATACATCTATCTTTCTTTCTATATATATATGACGATGACGGATAAGTAAAGTAAAATAAAGTAAAGCAAAGTAGTCTGGGGATAGAGAGGGAGAGTATGAGGATTAAGGGGAATGAGAGGGAAGAAGATGTAAAAGAGAGCTGAGATTGGAAGGTTTTGAAATACATCGCGGTGTTCCGGTTCCTGTGAACGTGGGTTCTGAGGCATAAAATATGGATGGGTATAATGTGCTTGCCTGCTTAGGGGGGAGAATGAGTGTATGAAGTTAGCAATGGGCTGTAAAGGATCATTAGGGTATGCGGAATGTAAGGATTCGTTCGGAATATTGCGATATACAATGATTACCTAGGATAAAATATCAACCATGTATAGAGTCAGCAGCCGTTCATCTCACAAGAATTTTGGTGTAAGTGCAGAAATAAAATTGACAAGGGTTCATTTGCATTTGGAGGTCTGGAAATAATAAGAAAATAGATGGCATGGCATAATCTTGTCCATTAACTTCATGAAGATCACCAGAATGCGGTGAAAGGTACCAGCAGAACCAAATTCACAAACATAAGCCACATCAAATTGTGAAGGATAACAGCTTGCTCAAAATCACTGTTGCAATTGTGCATGTCCTTCCAATGTCGATGGTCGCAAGTTCCTGGGTATAATAGCCATAGATTCTGGAACCCTCCTTCGACTTCAAACTCCTGCCTAGCCGTTCGCACAATATATCACACCAAATCGAAAGGAACCTTTTGGTTTGTTTTTGCTCAATTCGTTTGATTTATTGGAAAGGCTTTTTTACCAGCCATGCTATTTTCGATGATACACCGTGACCCGTGCGAAAACAAACCAGGCAAAAGGCACCATGCCAGCCATCCTCACAATCATAAACACCTACTTCCAGAAAATCTAAGCTTCCGCCTATTACAATGTTAGCACTGATTCGAAAATCCTTCACCAATACCCTTCCACCATCTCAATGTCCTCCGGAAAGAATGTTGACCCTTAAGTCGGCGGAATCGCATACCTTGACGGCGAATTTTCTTTGTGGGAAGTGCATCGATCTCTTCTTGGTCTTCTCCAACTGCAACTCCTTCTCGTGCTTGCTAAGGCGTCTACGGATAGCACGAGTTTGCTTTGATCGGAGATCGAGAGGAAGGTATTTCTTTCCCTTGTAGAAGAGACGGAGTTGTGCGCGTTGGTTGGCGTTAATGACTGTGAGGACCTTGGCAATTGACTTTCGGACGTCGTGGCTGTAATTAAATTTTATTAGTATACATTTTATTGATCCCGTATTTCAAAAATCCCCTCTCGACTACGCCAGGTCGAAGACAGTAACTATCGTTGAAGTACGCACATCTTGGTGAGCTTAGCAGCAGATCCTCCAGCAATCTTCTGAGTTCTCAATTGACCGAGCTCAGTCTTCAACTCTCCGAGTTGCTTTGCGAGGTCCGCCTTGTTCTTGGACCAAAGTTGGCCAGTCTTTACTTTTCCGGACGACTAATCGCGATGATCCGTTAGCCATCTTTCTCCCTCAATTTCAAACAACAACATCTCTCCAAAGAATTTGTCGCATACCATTTTGAATAAGGGTCGGGTGGTTGTCGATTGTGGTTGTCGGGCGTCTCGTCGTCGTGAAAATGTTGAAGTTGCTTCAAAGGAAACTTTTGGTTAGGGTTAACCGAAGCCCACAAACGAATTTTCGAAATATGATTTTTGGACCAATCATGGGGGAAGTTGTCAATTAGCGTGATATCACATGACTCTGGCGTTTTGAGTGCTTAGAAAGGCTGAACTTAAACTGTAAAGTCAACAGTGTACAGAATATAAAATCACTCGCATCTGAATGAAGGAATTTTCCTAATGATCCGAAGTTTGGGGATATCATTACTTCGAGAATATTCATTACTTGACCTCAAATTTTGAAGAAGTCATTCCTTTAACGGACTCTCCAATATCTCGGCGCAAAATTCCAGTTCCTGAACTCCAGTTACTGCAAGGTCATCAGGTCTTCTTGCATGCTGGTCCAATAAGTTTAACAGAACCTTAGGTAGGTACCGACTCGTAAGTACTATTCAAATTGTCGAAGAGTTTCACACTTTACTTTAGAGCAGTAGATATCTTCAAAAGCTTGAATTAGAATCATACAGTGTTTCATGCTCCTCATAGATTTTACTGTACAGCACAATGAGCCTTTGGGCTGCACATAATTCTATCACACGTTACTATCACGTAGCGGAACAACCTCTTTCTCGAAAGACACGACATACTGAGCGACTGGGACCCCATTATTACGACTGAAGCAACTCCTACATCCATCACGATACTTTAAATACACGGGAAATTCGTGGATATCTTTTAAGAAGGCAATCGCTTCTAGTGTTGATATGATGCGATCATGAAATGAGAAAGGTGTCGCAATCTTTCGTGATGGACGCTCTCGCTATGGGCAGGCGATATCAACAGGCTTCGGCAGCGCTGATTGGGCATACACACGGGGATATTGCGATGGCAATTGTAGTAATGAAGGCGGGTTGGTTCGAGTGGGACGAAAGTCTACTGTATTCAAAATCACAAATTGTTCATCAGAGATCATTCTCAATGACCGGAACCAGAAATGCGATGATGCTGACGTTCATCCATTATAGCTATGCTAGCTTAATCCCTCACTCCATTCACAATAACCTCAAAGTCTCGATCCATAAAAGATAACTATCCGCCTAATCGTATATGCCGAAGAAAATAAGCCTAAAGAAACTAGCCCATGCCAAGTCCATCACTCAAACTCCATCACTCTCGCCCTGTCCGTTGTACCATCATCCAACCGTATCATTAAGATGTTACACCATATTACTCAATTATGCGATAGCTTCGTATGAACCACTTCCAGAGTTGTGTGCTTGTCTGTTCGAGAACAACCAATAGATAATCAATCCGAGAATGGGGAAGAGGAAGACGACCAAGCACCAGAGGAGTTTGTGTGAAGGAGGGCGGTTTGATTTGAGGACCTCAACTGCAGACAAGGTTAGACTTATTCAATAATGAAGAGTGGGTGCTACATACTGAAGACGATGATATCAAGAATTAAAACGATGAATCCGATAACCCCGCCACCGGAACCATATTTCCAAGCATTACCATGTCCAGCGATCTCAACTGGTGCAGCGAACGCTAAGGCGAAGAAGAAGAATTGAAGGAGGAAGGCGAGGGTATTCTGGAACATGTTTGCTGATTTGGTTCGTTTTGATTTGATTTGTACTTTGGAAATATCTTTCAAAGTTGATGAAAATTAGTAAATTGTGGTTGATGTTGAGGTTATAAGTTGTTGACCGGTTGTTTGCAGGATTGTGAGTCTAGAATAGCGTTATTTATTGACGTCATATTTTACTTCAGTTTATGACAACCAAGGAAGCTGATAATGCGGGGGAAGCCAAGGGGAACGCGCGTTTGTCCAATTAAATTCTTGCATTAACCCTAGACATACAAAGAATGACTAAGGATGCGAAACACACCAATATGATCTATTCCGAATTGAATTCATGGAAATGCAATACGATAACGGTCGACCTCAGTTGAATTATTCGAGCAATGAAGCGATGTGACTACGTTTGTATGGTAGGCGAAAATAATCCATTCCGCCCTTGCCGCAGCAGTACTGATAGTTTGAACATGTAAAATCATCTCTCTCGGTTCTTAACTGCACTCATTCTCACCATGGTGTACCATGGACATGGTTCAAGCGATGCTTAGCGTTAGTTCACTCCACGTATTTCCTGGCTTCTCTCTCTAATGGCATAAGTGTTCGATAAACATTACAAGAACACCAAGGCCAACTGAAACTTTAGCACCAGCAAGAAGCTTTTGTTGTTTATTTCGTGCTTTTATTGTCTTCAATTTTAAGATACAGCAAACGTATTGTATGAGTCGGGGATTGACAGTGCTTATGATACAGATTCGCCCAACCTCTGTGCTGGTAGATTCATCTTACTATACCTGCGTCCTAAGAGCCAAAAGGTAGGGGTAGAAAAGTGCAGCGCATCTCCGGATTTACTAGAGTCACCTTGTCAACTTCAGTTTTCAGAGTGATGGTTAACAATAATTTTGATATATTTATTATATACATACCAATATTCAATTTCAATCGTGACAGAGGTTTGCGGTTTATCTTGCTAACCGAATACTCGAAGCGAGTATATACACGAGTCTCATCGACTTAACTTGCTCTAGCAATCTCCGAACCACAATTCCGAAAACCTTCAGGAGTCTCGTTCAATTGTCTCCTGACTTGACTTCTCCGGAAAACGATATGAAAAGTCGCTGCTTCGTTGATGGCTTCAATATTTTGGTTTTTCTTTCCTTTGAGCTAGCCTCATCAATGGCAATTCACCGCAAGCGAAGTAGCTGCTGTCGCTCAATCTAATTATTGGATATAAGTTCTACTGTCACCTAATTTATCTCCTTGGAGAGGACGCTCGCATTTGTCAGACCAAAGTTTGTAGTCGGTGAGGCACACATAGAACAAACACTCATATATGGCAGTGGCACTTTGCAAGCCTTCATTTTTCTACATAGTTTTCCAATAAGTAGTCCTACTAGCACATAGTACCAGGGGGTGGTAGCTTTTATACTTCGTGGTCCGTCCCTAATGACCTATTCCATGAATTCTTGCACACCATATAGAGAAAACGAGTATATCAGGATCAAAAAAGAATTAGCAGAGCTTTACACGTGCATTCTCATTTGTTTCATGAGCATGAGGTATAAAAATACCTCTGCCATGAAAGTGCAGATAGTAAGAAGCCCGGCTAGAGGCCGCTAAAACTCTTACTTGTGCGAAGAATAACTCGGAGTGAACCGTGTTTTAATGGAAGAAATTACTCCTCGCCAGTTCAAGCTCTCTCTGAACGATCTAAGATTCGGAGTGAATCACTCCGAATGATTTTGAGGACATCACTGTCGATTCTCTTTTTCTAATATCGATTTGCACCGAGTTTCTACTGTTCGGAGCTGAAAAATGCCAGGAGCAATGGGAATGGACCCCCTAAACCGTCTCTCTCTCTCCAAAAACTTTCTTGTTTCAGCATAGGAGAGTGCTATGATGCGGCCTTGAACCTGATTTCTATTGAATGAAGAGACTTCTCCAAAATCAAAGGCCAGTTAAATACCTCTCTCGAGATCAACATACCAAAATCGTGGTCTGGTTGAGCCTCAAATAAAACCCCTCTCGATTCTTCAATGATAGTATATCCTCGAATTGTACTAATATGGAGAACATTGGCACTCTCAATTCCATCACTGTCTTCCAGAACAGATACCATATCTACCCCACTGTCCCCTACGCATTCACTCAAAACAGCCATCCTCACTCTACAGCGACTTAGCAATATCCAATCCCGCCAAAACTCACCACAATCCACTCCCCAAAGATTCGCTTCTCAATCCCTCAACCAATGATATTCATTCTGAACGCGCTTGAGAAGTTTTGTTGCATATCTTAAAATCAGGGGACTTCTAGAAACCAGTGTTTTCCTCTTTATAATTCAAAATATTAGTCACCATCTGTTGACTGGTTAAGAAAAAGCGCCTGAGACATTTATTCCCACTAGATATTTTTGAAATATTGGTTTGAATATCCATCTCGTCCCATTGTTGCAGTGTCAAATCTCATACTTCACTCTCTCGACCAATAAAAATCATCTTTTAAAAAATTTGTTGCATATCTCAGAATCCGACGTGCTTGGGGTCAGTGTTCCCTTCCATCTTCCACCTTCCCGCTTCCCACCTTCCACCTTCCACCTTCCACCTTCCACGACTTATTAGTAATTTCAACACTTTACATTAATTGGAACAAGAGCTCTTTCCCGATTAATTATTGTTCCCACAAAGTACTTAGTTGTGGAAAGTTGGTAGAACTTAGATGTATTTGTGTAGCTTCCAGTTTCGAAGTTTACTTCGGGACTGATGGTTTTGGTAAGATCTTATATTGATGAATTCGATTTTGAATTGAAGTGATGTGTTTGATGATGTTTTTTGGGGGGGGGATTTGCTCGGTTTCTGGACTTGTTTGCGTTTGGGAAGGTTGAGGGTTGATGGTTGGTGCTTGATGTGCTTGAAGGAGGAGTTAGGATTATTTTATGAACTATTTATCTATATTACAATCCCGCAATTAATCGGGACGTTGGTTCATAATTCCAGGATCAGAGCGGGAATATCGGTGAATCATGTTATCTTGATTCTAATTTGAGAAGCAAAGATATGTCTATACTGCTCTGGCGTCCTCGGCAGGGAGGAAAAGGTGGAAGCCAGGACTGCTGAAAGTTATACTTATGCATAATCACATGATTCTTCCTCTAGCCTTCATTTTCTCGTCTCAATTTTATTATCGAGTCACTCTGATATCTTGTATAATGTTTTTATTTTGATTGTTGCTGTCCTTTCCCAGAAGATCGAAATTATTGAATCATAGGTATTGCAGATTTTGTTAAGGTCATACATTTCATACTTGGGCTGCGCGAGTGAGCAACTTCCCAAGATATATTACCGAATGGGCTGGAATCCTCCCAAAACTACCTCACGGAATCCGCACCACGGTAGCAAAGCTATACCGACCATTCATTTAAGTATTCCAATCCGGCAAATTTATTCCCAGATGCGTAGACTGTGGAACGCGATATGGCTCCGACTTATTTACTTCGGGTGAATACATTCAGTCTCGAGCTATGGAGCAACAAATGCCCACATTTTGCTTGGAAGCCCCTCAACCTTCGAAAAATAGGGCACTTAACTTAAATAGCCTAGCACAAAGCTTGATGCGTAGCCGACAGCAGGTTCATACTTGAATGGTCAAATGGCTGCACCCGATTTGGTAAGGATTCGGAGTGAGTATTTTGAAATATCCTCCATAATTATTGCTTCCTGCCCAGTTTCATCCGAAAGAATTTGGTACATATTCCATGATTCTAAGACCTTGATAGTGAGTTCTGATTCACTTTCGCCTGAAACTGGCAGAGGATCGGTAGCAGAGCTCCCAGTTATACATGACCTAATATGAATATTTGTTGTCGTCCAATCTGGTAACCTTGCTGTCCTTTTTTGGACTATATTCAAAACATCAGATGGGATAGATCTTCCTCACAATATTAGATAGGTATCAAATATACCCCAACGACCACGCTATCTATTCGATCTCAAATGATAGCGAGTGTGAAGGCTTTTATCTAAGTTCCTTATTTCAGAATTGAGAACAGGATCATATTATTATTAACAAATCATCACTTTCATCTCGAGATGTCCACCGTAAGCATCATCAAAGTCGAGGATCTTACTGTCATTCTATTTTCTTCTGTCGTTCTACCTTTTAACTCTTCACCTAGAGAATAATATCTAGTTTTCTAGGAAAGATATTACTGACTTTCAACCTGGCTTAACCTCACGCAAATATCATGTCTGTCTTGATGGTTTAGATCTTTACATGAGCAAGATTCATCACTGGTAGAATCTTTATATATAACCTAGCTTAACCATTTTAGCGCCCCTTTGGTGGAGTGAATATTAAAAATGCTATTAGCCATTGTAGGCCAATAGAAAACCGTAAATATTAAAGATTACGAGTGGCTAGTGATATATGCACATGAATGGTTATGAACTTCCCACTCACTTCGCTTCACCCCTTTCGGATTCACCACACTAGCGAGTTTCTACACCCCCAGCAAATTCTTCTCTTAATCTAGATTCATCATATCTTCCCAGGTATATAAACCAAGCTGAGAACCACTTCTGAAAGAACAAGTTTCATCTAGGTTTGTCAATAGATGGAGTGGATGGTCGTTGGTGATATTCAACATTTCTTGCGATGAGGTTCGAATTTTGCAGATATTCGACTTTTAACTACTCTCTTTTAAGTCATATAACAAATATATTATTCCGCTGGAACAGACTTTTTTTCATTGGTGAGATGGATGGTTGTTGTCGATTTAATATATATATATATATGCGAAGGAGAGGATAGAACGATAGTACTCATAATTCATCCTCCCTGCTTTTTCGCTCACATAAATATGAGTGTGCTGTTATATATTGTGTGATGCAGTAATTAATCTTACCTGAAAAAGGAAGGTGGAAGAACAGGTAAATGAGGATGGTATGTTGATGTTGGGGTGTTAGAAAGAAGAGAGTAAAGAATTATGGGTTCTCTACAAGGACACCAGGAGGGAGCGGCGAAGTGATAGGAGATTAGATATTGTTGTCCTTTGAATGATATGTATTGGATTTGGTTGTATATTGCTGGTTAAGTAAAATATAACCATGATGTTTTCAAAGCATGATGTTAATATCATCTAATTCTTCCTTTTCGTCATCCTATCTGTTATATTATTCGAACATCAGATGGCATCAATTTCCAGCTAATCCTATACCAAAAAACTCAACTAAAAGCCCCAGGACATGTAAAACCTACCAGGTATTTCACAAGGGGATTGCTCAGATTCTGCAGTTAGGGTGTTTGTTTTTGAGTTTGGTTCGTCTATTATGGGACTGATTAATCTGCTAAGACAAGGTATCTGTTGGTACGAGAAGGATACGGAAGACGTAGCACCCACGGATTACGTAGGTCCTGTATGTCTAATTGTATTCTGTCTAAAGAGCTAGCTACATATTGAAAGTAGTAAGTCTTATATAGACTTACTAAAAGAGCTAGTCTCTTTCGCGTTCGCTTAGTTCTTTATTACAGTAGTAATTGAATTGAAGTCATTCACTTCGTTCACACAATAAATATCCAGCTTACAGCTCCAGCTCTCTTGCACAAAAATATCGCTCTCTGTAGGACGACCATTGATCAGAAAGCGGTCTCACTGAAGATATTTCCAGGGATTTCTGGACATTCCGCACTGAGCGAGCTGGTAATATTGGAATATCCATGAGTATTTATAAAGAAAACTTGATCATGAGGTGGAAACTAGATTTTATGCCTACTTATTCAGCTAAGGTTCCTCTCCTTTAGATATCAGAAGTTGCTGAGTATACAAGTCAGTCTGTATATCTTGACTGAGAAAATCTCTTACCCAATCCAATTTCTTACTCAGTAACGCAAGAAAAGTAACCAAAAGGGAAAGATTTGAACTCCCTGGCTAATTTTAAGCTAGCACCATGTCCGCATGCGCATTCATCTCATCCAATTATGGTATCTAAACTCTGGATTCATCTTCATTCTTACCTGATATGTTTTGCCGAAAGCAGTTATTACCACCACCAACAAATCTGTTCTTACCTACCTACCTTCTGTAGCTACTTCCTTCCATGAAAAAATCAAACTATATATAGCACACGCCTCTCACGAGAAACCATAGATTAGGGGGTACATAAACGGTAAACCGAACCTTATACTTTAAACTAAAGGCATCACAACAGAAGCAAGCTCCAAGTCCTTTCGATTATTTGTGAGGGAGATTAATTGAATAGTTATAAAAAAAATAATATTACTATACTATATTATTTATTATATAGTACCTAATGGAAGATCTAGGTTCTTTTGAACTTAGGCAAACGATAAAAAGCTGAGCAGCAAAATGTGCTTGTCAGTTGGGAGTGAATATCTCGTCGGGGACTATGTGTATGGTATGTACTGTCTTTAGAGTGGTTAGAATGCAAGACAAGATGCTATATTGAATTGCATCAGTCGGTTGACTAATTAACTGGTCAGCCTCTCGGAAACATAGCTTAAATAATCACTAATCAGTGTACCGCGACAAATTCACCGCGAGATCGGGTATGGAATCATTAGCTGTCAATGATGGATGTATTCTGATACTATACAGACGAGAAAAGTGATACATTTTGACTCCTCCAATTCCCTTTCACTTCCCCCCTCTATTCCTTAATAGTTTCCCCCACCTCGCCTACAAGTACGCCTCACACCTTCCCCCCACGTCTTGGTCTCTCATAGAAGAAATACTCAATCTCAGGTCTATCCTCCCTCCCCCTCCACTTCCCCGGTACCTCAACTTGAATATACCTATCCGGCACAGCCCTAAACCCATGACTCTCATACAAATGTTTCGCAATGGCCGTCCCCTCGATAAATGCCGGTAAATTGAGGGAATCGGCTATTGCGGTACCGTATTGCATGAGGAGGGTACCGGCGCCAAGACGTTGGTATGAGGGGTGTGTTGATATCATATCGAGGACTGTGGGGATGTTAGAGAGTTAAGATGTGAGGTGGAGATGGAAAGGATGAGAGGGAAAGGGGATTTGGAAGGAACCTGAAAGTAATAATACGTACTAACGCATGGTTCACCCTTTGTTCGACTGATCTGATGTTGATGAATCCAATTGATAAGATACTCTGCCCATTCATTTGAATCTTGATCAGGGTGCCAATCCACACTAATGTGCTCTTTTTTCTGTTCCTCGCTCAAAGGTTCTGTATTTATGAGCCATTTCGCTGCACTTATGAGAGTTCCTTCATACACCATTAGTATCTTTCCTCAAATTCACGTGTGTTGGTCACTGCCATGCCATAACGAACCACTCCACAGCTCACAATCAAGGGATTCGAAGGGAAAAAACTAAAAATACCTTCGTCATTGACAACCTTAACATACCTCGCCTTCTCATCCCCTAGCCAATTATTAACCAATCTCCTAACTGCCTTTTCCTTCTCCTCAGTTTCAGGGAATAAAACGAAGACGAATGGTTCTCGTGGGTCACTGAAAGCTGCAGTATGTTGAGCAAGGAGAGCTGGACCATCTAACTTTGGATCGCAGGGGAGGACGCGGAGATTGGACGTGGGCTTAGAATTTGGTGTGGAGATGAGGATTGGACTGGACATGGCGGTGGAAGAATTCAGTGTTAAATGAGATGTCATGATGTTGGGTGGTACGGTGTAGTTTGTGGGAGGTAGTGAAAGCAGAATTGGATTAGGTCGATGATGCCGGTAGAAATGCACAGCACTTAAACTGCCATTATGACAAGATAGGAACTATGCCCCGTACCGCTACCTCCACTTTTCACACTTCTTTTCCTTCCGCGTGCCGTTAGCCACGGAGCCAGCCGCTCAGCCGCCACCTGCATAATCTCAATCCCGTCCCCCTCTCCTTTCCTTTTCACACATCCTTAAACTTAAGCATACATTAAAACACGCATTTCAAAACAGAACCAACAATGCACTTGCACCGAATCAACAAGCCACTAGGTTACAACCCGCAAATCGGACTATCGGATACAACTGTGATCGGTTCCGTGGCTTTTATAGGCTAGGTCTCTTGGGCTTGTGAGGAAAAAAAAAGCCGGAAATGCATCAAGCCCCTGTTTTTGAAAAGAAAAAGTGACAGCGCATGTTAGAAGGGGTCGTTAGAAAAAATTCCTAAACCCATCGTAGTCTGGACATTCAGCCATGACAACCAATAAAATGAAGAGAAAGCAAAGATAAAACAGCGAGAGCACTTAAACCAAAAAGAAATTAGCAATGGCAAAGAAAGGATAAGCATAACCTTAAGCGGAACAATCAACAAGCTTGTTCGTTCGGATAATCCGCCGTTGAACTAGGACCAGGCCAAGAATATGATGATCCTTGTGGAAAATGCTCGTGAAAGAGGGGAGTAAATGAGAGCGGGTCATGTATGGATATGCTACCGTTTATGCTACTTATGCTAATATCTAACGAATGTGTGACGGCGAGTTTGATGCGAATCATACGGTTTTGGATAATTGAATGACTTGTGTGTAGAAGAGGTTTTAATTGTCCGAGCAAGACGGTTGATTCTGAATCATAGAAAGCTCTGATCAATGAGGTTTTACCCTCTAATGCTTTGTAAGAGCTCTGGTCCCGACAGTTTGGAACCCAATCAACAATTGGCGATAAAAAAACAAAAATTGGGCCTAGTGGGTCACTAAACATATGATTCGTAAGTGTCAGTGGTAGCTTCCTTTTAGTGTCCTTGGTCCCATACTTTTTAGATATTTTGCGTTCTTCGAAATGTACAACGATAGACTTCGAGAATGATGTGGCGTGCTGTCAAAAATGGCTTGCATAAATTTACACGACTTACTCGATCAAAAATATGAAATGTGACAGAATCCTATTAATGCTTTCCGATTGTGACGAACTTTTTTCATTGTCTATTGAGAATCACTTAAATGAAGCTCTATGATCTAATCCAAATGACCAGGCAACGATTCATAAAATCGTTCAACTAAAAACAATACTTTATACTATATACCGACAAATTTGATATTGCCAAAAACCCATCATGTAGCAGATCTACTGCTGCCTTCTTATAGGATCGACTATTGGCCACTTGTAAGAGTGTTTACCCCAAATCATGTAGAACACCACGCTGTAAATGATAGCAGCAGCAAAAATAACACAGGACCAATTCATGGTAACTGGAGTAACGACTTGTGTATTTGGCCAGAAGCTGAAAAACATGGTGATCATCGAATAAATCAATCCGGCAACATTGACAATTGGACCAAGAATTGGACCCATTCTCCACGGTCCCCAATGTATCTTATCTTTTATTGGATCTCTGCGAAGACGTTTTTTGAGGATCAGGACGATAGGTATCATGTAGGAGGTAAAGAATGCCGCAACATTAACGGAGACGATCGAGTTGAATGCGGCAGTGCTTCCAATATTTATGAGTGCCAATAAGAGTGAAATAATGGCACTGACTAGAATAGAGTATAATGGTAGTGCTGTTGGTTCGTGCACCTGTAGTGGAGAGTCAGACGGGAACAACAAAGGGGTTTGGGTATCTACTTACACGAGACAGATATGCGCTACCTGGTACTCCATGGTCTCTCGCGAAAGCCCACAATAAACGTGAGGCAGTTGCCATAATACCAATAGCCGCGGCAAACATGATTATCACAATGATACATGTCATTCCAGTTGCAGCAGAGTTACTATTAGTGGCTTGCCTAAATATCTCAATGAACGGGAAGCCGGTAGGAGAAGTAAGAGCGTCATTGATATCTCCGAGACAGAAGAGAAGGGCTATAAGCAGTGCGAAACCTAAAGCACCATTCAAAAGAATCGTGGTGATCATTGCCCAAGGCACGACGGTAGAGGCATTGTGAATTTCTTCACTCATATGGCAAGCAGAATCGGCTCCTGAGACTGGAATTAGCTCTACTCTTGGCAACGAGCATTACAGGGAGGAAGTAAACGGTCAGCCTTACCAAGAAAGGAGAAAACACTTGTAATTAGGCCAATAAAGAATGATATTCCATCTGTGGACCAACCGCCACCGTTGACAAACGTAGCAAAGACATCACTTGCCTTTCCATGAGATGCAAGGTAGACTAGAGGAATAAGAACACCAAAGAACCCAAGTATATGGATGCAAAGAACCAATCCTTCAATCTTTGGCAACCAGCGAGCCAAATACGTATTGACAAACAAAACAACAGCTAGAACCGCGTAGAATATTAAAGTTGCCTGCCATCGCTCAGGGACGTATGTTGGATGATTTAATATCACCAAAGCCTGGACTAAAGTTGCGCAGAGGAAAGCAACACTTGCTTGGCCTGCTTGCCAGCCAATGACCGTAAGCCAGCCTGTCATGTATGAGAGGAACTTTGCGTGGGACTTAGGGGCGAGAATCGACACCCAGTGATATTGGCCGCCGCTCAAGGGCATCCTTATTGCTGCTATCAGATCTATGCGCTGGCAAGGGAATGGCTATACGAACATGGAGGACATCTCTGCCAAACTGGCGACCGTACATAATGTACCAAAGAAACAGAAGATGTAGCCGTACTGGACATCGAGGGTTAGTATATTCCAACAACATATGGGTTTAGGTAGAACTACGACGAATAACTTACAACTAATCCTGCCGGTCCACCGTTTTGGAATCCGTAAAGGAAGACCGCGAACATTCCTTCCCATGTCGAAAGCAAACTGCAGACGAAACCCGCAATCGACAAGAAGCCAAAATTACGCTATGTCACTTCAGCCTTGTCAATGATACTTGTACTTGGCGCATACCTTCAATTGCTGGCGTTTTCCAAAATATGCCATTTCTCGATCATCTCTGCTCGTATTGCCTTTCGACCCGGCATGAGGTATCTCATCAGAAGACGACGACCTAGCGATCACGCCCAGTTCTACATTCTTGTCGTCCATGGTTGAAGTAAAAAAGTGCTATACGGGAAAAAACTAATCGCCGAACAAGCTCATGAACAACGGACAATTGCGACCAAAATGAAGAGAGATAAAGCAAAAGAAAATCACAACGGGGACGGAGAGCTATCTGCCCTTCTTGAAGATACACTGCAGACATTATGGACACTGCAGAAATAAGAACCTTGCATGGGGGGTCACCGAGTCGAAGATAGGAAAAGAAGAAATCCCTGACACCACCTACAGGATAAGCTGTCTCATTACACCTTTTTGATAAATACCCGATGCATAAAATGGAGCGAGATGCATTTAATATGGTGTGTATATTATGATACGTTGCTGGTGTAAGGAATAAATACGAATATCCATCTTTTCCTCAGAGAATGGCTGAATGGCTGTGGTTGGATGTTGGATGTTGGATGGTTCGATTGGGTTCGGAGGTAAAAGCTGCAAGGCTTGAGCAAGGGTACAATGACAGCGGGGGAAGCCTTTCCTGTTCAAGTTTAGGTTGAACACGTGATCACGGCAAATGCTAGTTCAATGTAAGACTACATAATTTGATAAACGCCTCATCGCCGCTGTAAGACTTATTATATATATCTACCATTGCGGCCCCTGTTGAGCTACGAAGCTACAACTGTGCCTCTCCACTTCTAATATCAGTACCACTTGACTATTGAATTGTCTCTCATCTCTCCATTATAAATTTCCAATTGTCTGGAAATTATCATGCCTCCTTGTCGGCTTGTCCGATCACGAAACCGGGCCACATACGACAGTGATCGAAGGTCCTCCAGACATTGGACGAGCGGTATGCCCTCAAGTCTTGTGTGTGTAAGTAAGATCAAGGCGACAATCTCGTGTAACCTGACGAGCGCGTTTGTCTCCGTTGGAAAGAACCCCTAATCGTTTCATACGAGGGAGACTCAACATTTGTTTGGATCCCCCAATCCCATCGTGCATGATCACCATATTGTGGCACGACTTGGATAAAACTGTGTGTTGATGTCTGGGATCAAGGAGCGAGAATGGTTCATGGGGATTTTATTGCAGTTGCGACGTCCCAAGAAAGCCCAAAGATAGGTCTTACGGAGCTCCGGATGATCGTTACCAATTCCTGAATGAAGTTCAATCCAGTGGTTGAACTATTGTTCATTATCTTTTTCATCAATACATACTCACAAATGCCACTGCTATGGGCACAATTCTATTTCCAACAATTGGGAAAGGTCCGGAGCAAGTACCAAAAAGTCAGGAGTACAGAAGTTCTTTTTTCTTAAGAGTTGCATAATGTACGACAAAGATGTGCTCCCTTGCATCGTTTCAACGGTTTTCTTTTTTTCTTTTGGCCCCGTGAAATCATACTTTGATCAGAAATTCCCAAGTTCTTGTTCAAGTGACGAATATATGCAAGAATTAGGATTGGAAAGATGTATATCTCGTTCCAATGCAGATTCCTTCATATTCTTCACTATCTTTAAATCATTCTTACAATGACATCAATACCCCTTCCTTCACGGCAAATCATTATATCAAGCCATAACGAAGGCCCTTTAGTTAATATAGTATCATGGATAGGTTTGAGTACAATGATACTTGGTGTTGGAGCAAGGATTGGAAGTAAATATCTTGTTGTGAGGCGATGTAGTACTGATGATGGTTTGATTATAGTTGCCATGGTCAGTACATCATAGTTTGTTCCAACTTGTAAGCAACACTAACAGTCTAGTGTTTTGGAATCTGCCATAGTGTTTTTCTATCAATGATGGTTAAGAATGGACTTGGTCGGTACCAAGATACTCTCAACAGTAAAGAGCTGGAATACTATCAAAAGGTGCATTCTCTTCGCTTAAAGGCACATCCAAGTGAGCTAACTTACGACGCAGTATGCCTATGCATCTCAGTTGGTTTATATTCCAACGCTTTGTTTCGCAAAATTGAGTACATTGTTCTATTTACGGGCTTTGACACCAGATTCAAATTACGCAATACTCAACCGCGTTACCGAGATATGTGTGATACTATGGGCTTTGTGTGCGGAAGTTTCAGTCGCATTTCAGTGCGATCTGCCGAACCCGTGGGCCGTCCTTTATACCGATGAATGCTTCAATATCGTAAGCTGAGTCAGTTTATCTATCTCGGTACAATCATTAACATATAGAAGGGCGCATTCTGGCAAACTATCGGGGCCCTGGACATTGTGACTGATAGTGGCATTATCTTCATGCCAATTTTTCTCGTTTGGGGATTACAGATGCAATTAAGGCGTAAGGCTCTCGTTTTCATGGCATTTGGGACTAGAATGTTGTAAGTAGCGAATTTGTATACCTAAGAACTGTAGATGATCTAATGATTCGGCAGCATTCTACCCATATCCATAATGCGACTTGTCGTCGTTTCCTCTTCGGGATCTCCCACGCTTCCAAACCAAACACTCGTCTCATATCGAAATTACGTCTGGACATCTGTCCAACTCAACTCAGCAATTTTCTTCGGATGCTTATCATTTCTCAAACCATTCATGGAATCCATGTCGTCTGGTGGTCTCGCAGCGTCGGTAAACCCTATGGATTCATCCTATGGCAACAATCACTCTCAGTCCAACTCAAAATTAAGTACCTTTCTCTCCTCTCGCTCGGGTTGGAAACCCTCTAAAAAGAATCCGCCTCGCATACCACAAGATCTTCGCACCATATCAACTTTTCAAGATTACGACGAAGATGATGAAATATCCACTCCTACAATCTCATCTCCAATTTCCAATTTCAAGAACTCGTCACCTGTGTTTAATTTTCGTTTTAACAATATAAACACGAATGCAAAACTCAGTCATGAAGGGGAGGAACTTTGTACATTAAGGCCTGATGGAGCTATGAATATTGCGCATATTCGACGTTCGACACCAGTGGATAATGCGGATAGGAGTACGGTCGGTAGTGATAAGATGATCATTAGACGTACCACTGAATGGGATGTTAGAGAAGATTTCGAAAATTCCGAGGGAAGAAATACTCGTTCTGGAGATGGAGATGATTATGAGATTCATAAGGCTAGTATGGAGGGAAGAGATGGTGGGGGTTGGGGTGAGAGGGATACACATTATGTTGGGTAGATGGTGATGCTGGACATCTGAAATTTGGGATACGGTATAATCTACTGTAAGGTAGGGAGAGGCATGAGGAACTTAATTAATAGGTTGGCTATAGGATATACTGCAAGGTAGGACAGGCGCCTGATTAAGTAAAAGGCTCGAGGTATTGGACATGGACATGGAAAGGGAAAGGATCGATTAGCCTACGGATGGGATAATCAACACAGCTCGAACATGCTTTATTTCATTTGTACTGGATTATTAGGTAGGTATTTTAAGGGAACAAAAGTTTGAAGGTTTATTATATTATATCATAATCATCTTTACTATGCCATGAAGCCCCTTTCAGCATAATTTTTGCGCCTAAATTCTAATTAGCGACATTATCGACAGTTCGTACGGAGTACGGAATAGTGTAATGTCATCAACCATCATCAACCATTCAATACACAGCTAACAACAAAACAAACATTCAATCGTGTTTAAAAAAAACCCCCCATCTACCCACCCCATCTCCCCATCAAAATTCCCCCAAAACAATAAATCTCACATCCGTCCTTTTATTTCCAATATCTAATAACTTTAATAATAGAATTCACCTGTCTACCTGCTAGCTGCTTACATCACATACATAAAATCCTTCCCAATCCCCCACTAAGCACCAGCCTCCATTTCGGCTACCTACAATTCTAATCTTATACGAGTAATATAAAGAACATAAATTAACATTTAAATGTATATTTCCCGTCAACCTCTCTCTCTCTCTTTCTTCCTCTCAAAATACAGACAAACCCATCTTCTTCCCCACCTCCCCCATTATATTTCCAACACAAACCATCAAACCCCGCGAACCTGCGCTTCCAAACCCCCATCAACGCCCCTCACTTCAAAAATTAAAATCTAATATCAATCAAAACCATGCCAACCCACCTCATCGAAATAAATCTCAGCGGCGATAAAACTCTCTCGGAGAAATTCTATAAACTCGTAGAGAGTTTTTCAAATGCATCTCCTGATTCTGAGTCTGTATCTGGAGAAACTGATTCTGTGGGTATTACTGTTGATGTTACGGGTGAGGAGTTGCGGGGGATTATTGTTGTTCGTTCGTATTTTGTTTCTTTTTCTTTGATTGAATTTTCTTTGGATTTTATTGTTTCTATTTCTATTTCAAAATCAATTTCAATCTATTCTCGCAATGAGTTTTGAAATCCATCGATCGATGATGGGAATAGGAATGAATAATTACCTACTCTACTAATCACAATTAACCCACACCACAACAAACAAAACCAACAACCTCAAATCCCAACCCTACTAACCAAAAAACACAGGCACACACCCTCTCCCCCTCATCCTCCAAATCCTCTCACCACACCTCCCTCATTTCCACCGTAATCCGCCAAAAATATCCCAGACAACTGAACGGGGAATTTATGATGCGTGTCGATATTCTGTGCAGCAGCTTTTGATTTATATTTCTTTGCATTCTTCGGATCAATCAAATCAATCGAATAAATCGAATCATCTAAAGGAAATAGACGAGGATAGAGATGAAGGCAAGGATGAAGATGAAGATAAAATCCAGAAATTGCAAACACTATTCAATGTAATATCTATGCAGCTCTCGCACGAGGGAAAGATAAGTGGAATGAGACAGGGTGAGATTGAGGGGATTTCCGGTTCTTCTATTTCTACTTCTTCTGAACCTTCCTCTATAGAGACAGGGATTCCGTCACCGGAAAAGGAGATGAAAATGGGAATGGAAATGGGAACAGTAATGCGATTTAAGGGCCAAGAATGTAGAGTCTGGAGTGTATGGACTGCGTGGACAGCGGCGAGGGAAAGGTATGATGGGTGTGGGAAGGATGGGGAGAGAGGAGTAGGGGATAATGGGAATGGAGATGAAGATGAAGGGGAAGGAGAGGAGGGAGAAAGTCTTGCGAAGAGGATTGATTGGGGGAAGATGGGTGTGTTGGGGTGGGAAGAGAGGAATTGGGTGTTTATGAGTTTTGGGGAGTTTTTGGAGAGGGGTAAGGAGAAGGGGAGGTGTGTTGTTATGTGATGAGTGTTATCATATAAAGTGATTGTTGTGTTATAAGGAATAGGGAGAATAAAGAAGAGAAGTTTATAATTTTGGTTTTCTAAGGGAAGGATTCACTTCGGAGAAAGACAGGAATTTATAATAGAAAACAAGATAACCCTAACTAATACAAAGAAAATGTGTATGCTACCATATTTTAACTACAAAATAATGAACCAATTCCTACAACCAAAAAAAACAAACCAAATTTTCAATCAGTATGGTATTATAACAATCATATCTTCACCCATCTCTGTACCCCCAAGCATCCTACCTAATACCTTTCGAGCAAATCCTACATCAATATCAAAATTCCTGATCCGAGCTCGTGAAAACACTACCAGTACTAGTCTCCTCATCCTCATAATCATCATAATCCTCAGAATCACTTTCATCGGCAATTGCTACACCATTCTCATTATCATTCATATCGGCCCAGTCGTCATTAAGATCATCGTCGAGAGTATTTCTCGCCAAAGCTCCCTTTGAACCAGATATTCTCCTACGATTAGACTGAGCAAGTTTTGGGTCGGCGCCCGCTTCATTCTTACTAAAAAATGGATGACTTTCTGTAAGAACTTTTCCTTGACACACGTATCCCATGGGAGTGTGAGAAAAGTCCTGCCCTTTGCGTCTTACACTCAACCATTCTTGCAAGAATGTTAGAGGTTTGGACGTAAAACCAACAGACTTTTGTTCTTTGGGGTTGGTGTTCTCGTTAATAAAGCCATCGATAACATGATCTTCCTCCAAGCAATCATCTTGTAACTCTTCCATATTTTTGTCGACCTCAAAACCCAAAAACCCACGTAGGTACTCATACTGAGAGATTTTAAAATAAAGGGCCCCTGAGAAAATACCTAGTTGTACTGACAGCCATATTGGCACAACCCAATCCTTCGGAAGTGCAGGTATAGCATAATATTTGAGATCGCTGAAGTGAGCAAGCATTTTGCGGGTTATAGGGGCTGCATAGGTCAAGAGGAAGCAAACAGGAGCTCGTGCCTCGCGGAGAACTGGGATGAGGAGTTCGGCTTCTTCAGGTATGATAACCAAAGCAGTTTCGGTGACAGGACTCCATAAGACCCAACTCACTTGGCGCTAAAGAAGGCGAGTTAGTAATTGCATAATTATGATACAAATTAGTATGGTGCCGACTTACCAAGAAATTGTCATGTGGTTCGGTGTTTACTTTTACAGAACGCATGAACTCTCTGGAGACAAATAGTCGAGATTGAAGAGCCGTAGCATTAATGCCGAACTTCCTACCAACTCCAGTCTTTCTCAGGGCCACAAAAGCATGTTTACAGCATGCAGAGCCTGCAGGGATTCGGCCAGTTTTCGCAAAGATCAGAATATCTTTGTCAAGACCAGGGAATGTCCAAGCTTGGTAGTGCGTGGGTCTTTGGACTTCTCGCACCGTTTCAACTTCGTACGCGACTTCTCTCTCTTGTTCCACTTCTTGTAAAGCAGTATGGTGAACAGCATCGCCGGTATCTCGAAAGCCTTTCCGCAACGCATTGAGCTCTTTTACATAGCTGTCCGTTTGGGCAGTCAATTTCCCAGAGCCAACTATAGCTTTGGATTTTGTTTTAGCTCCATAAAGTTGCTCTAGACCGAGTTGCTCCTTTTGCCTCAGAGTGTTTAGATACTGCTCCCGCTGGTCGGTGTCCACGAGGAAATCTGCATTATCAGCAGCAGCCTGAATTCTACGGCAATAATCAATGCCTTGAGAATAGTAAAGAGGTTGCATAAGCTCGATACCCACACATGTCTGCTCCAAAAGCCAGCAGATTACGTCATGCGAATCTAAATAATCTCCGTGATTCTTCTTGACACAGTCCAAAATGCTCTGGTTGACTTCAGGTGGTGCAAAGAATATTACGGATTGGGAAGTTGCGAGTTGCCTTAGTCTCATTGCTGCCTGCACGGTATGATCTTTGCTCTGCCCTAGACCTTACTCAAAGTTAGTATCAATGTCACTGACCCATTATCTTTATAAAGGCAGACTCACTTAAGGTTAGAGCCCCGCAAGCATCAGGAGGCATCTTTAAATCAATTCCACGACAATGAGCTTCGTCGAGATAAACAACAACTCCTCTTAAGTCATCGGAATATGGCGAAGCCGATAATGGTACTGGCCGGTATTTCTTGTGGACGACCATTGGCTTTCCGGCTTCATCAAAGTAGACGGCTGCACGTGCCTGTGGGTCAATCTCAAGCCATTCTCTTGCAAGTGATTCATTGCTCAACTCGAGAATCTGCGCTCCCGCATCAATGAGCACTCGGATGCCTAGTTTTGAGATTTTCCGCAGCAAGTTAGTCTCGGAGAGATGTCGGCCACGTTCATCAGCAGCAACTACATATTGTCGATTTCTTTGCTGAAGCAAATAGGTAAGAACCTCAGAGTTGGTATGGGCAAGCCCATCCAAATCTTGCTGCTTGAGATTGAGTGGTAGCAAATTTCGATTATCATTGGTACCACTAAACCCAGTAGTGATGGAATTTTGATTATCGGCTGAGGACAGAGGGATCTCCCAACCACTGGCTTGTAGTTTGAGACTGAAAGATTTGGCGTGTGCCGGGAACACAAAATTGTTACAGTAATAATCGACTATTATTGGAGATAGATTGAAATGCGACCATAGCTCAAGCATCTGTTGTTCATCTTCGAGATTAACATTATTCCAATCCCGCAATGTATCAGGTAGCATGGGACAGCTCATACACCATTGATCATATATCGAGGCCGGATCGTCTGATTTGAGGACGTGCTCCAGGCTTTGATGCAATTGTTTCTTGTTCAGTCCATCGTAATAAAACGCTAGACAAGTAAGAAGGATTGCAACATCTGGGTGGCCCCATTCAGCTTGGTCCGATGGGACACCCTTACCATGAAATGGAACGGCGATGGGGTCTCTCTCGGGATGAAGACCATATTGTACATGCCACCTCTTCTTTAAGGCCAACAATAATATCCGATGTACTAACAGACCGCGGACGTTCAATAGATTCTTTGTCATTGCGGGCTTGTCTGAGAAGATACATTTAACGGCCTTGGATACACTTGTGGTGACCTTGGGTTTGGTTATAAAATCTCTGATAGCTATGCGTTCTGATCTGGAGCAACGAGAAATATCTAAAATAGAAGTCCGCCCATTGCAGATATCAGCAACAAGCCGATTAAGTAACTCCTCTTCAACATCTTTTCGCAGGAAAAATGGCATAGGGTATCCACCATAATCTCTTCGAACAACTTCGATGCTGTGCGGATAAGCTTTCTCGAGATTGTATAGGTGGCCTGATACAAGAGCAAGCAAAGCTTGAGCGACTTCCCAACGATGAGGATAATTATCAACTGATTTTTGAGCCCCACTAGGATATATGAGTTGTGTTCGTAATGAGAGAATTTGATCGCTCTCATCCATAACATCTCGGCAACGAGAGTTTAACCATTGTTGGACTTTCACCATTGTACTTCCTTCATTTATTTGACCATCCGAAAGACGTTGAAGTCCAGATAATCGAAATGACAGTATATGCTCTGGCAAAGCAATAGTAATTCCTGATTTTTGGAGAGCCATCTTGTGCAAGCTGAAATAGGTCTTTACTGCATCTGTGGGGGTTTTTCTCGAAAATGGCACATGGAGGATGTTTCGGCCTAGCAGAGATCCTAGACGTGCTTGCAATAACTGCGCCGTTGGTACTAATAATGGTTTGGGTACGATGATTCGCACAAGGCGCTCCGGATTGGCTAGTTTACAGGCCACCATAGGCACAATGATTGAAGTCTTCCCCTGTCCCATGTTCATTTGCAGAACAGAATTTGATTTGGAACTTGGAGAAATCGTAGCTCTCGCAACGTCGACTTGGTCAGGCCGAATGAGAACGTTTGCCTCGACTTCAATTAAGAGCCAATCAGGCTCGTCGATCGGCTGCCAATTTGAATGTCCTAGGTTATTCTGCTCCTCTATCAAGCGTTGTTGATCACCCTTTGCGAAGGCTTCTTCGATCCTTAGCAGGCGCTGGAGTTCTGTGATATGTAATGCATATTTGATCAAACCCTCTCTCATGCCACTGCCAAATTTGATTACTGGGCTCAAGGTAGACCGAAGATTCTCAAGCAGCGTGATAGTTGAAATACATGGGTACAAGCCTCCTGCTCGTAGCCAAGTAGCACTCGGACTATCAAATGATTGACATATCTCCCTGAAGATTTGTTGTAGTACTCCTCTAGTTTCGAATATGTCATTGGAGAGCTTTAGGGTGTCAACGTGCTTTCTACCATTTTTCGGAATTTGCTCGAATACTTTGAGGGATTCCAGGCTTTGCATCAATCCTTGCCCGTATTTCTGGCGTACCAACGAGGCCTCAGAGCCCATGAAATCTAAAGCTGATATCAGTACAAGACATGTATAGATCATAAAGACTGGGAAGAGAGTAAAGATGTGGAAACCAAGAAAATTACTTACTCTTAACGATGCCCTCGAGAAGACATGCCTCTCGAGATAGATTGCCATCGTGATTCAGGTTTTCAGCTTGTGTATTGAATGAGACAGCCTTGTTAGATACCATCCTAATCTCACATGGCATTCGCATTAAATCCATTGACAACGTGGGTGACTCGCCGCCTCGAACCCTTGATGAATATACTACTTGTGTTTGAATCTCCACATTTGGCAACACGAAATTTGTTCCACTGTAAGCTTTACCAAGCACTATTTGAACCTGTTCGAGATACTTGGAGAGCTCCATATTCTGGAAAAGCCGCTCCCAATCTGGTTGTATAATACTCATAGCCTTGGCGACATCTATGCGTCCTGAAGTCGGAAAGCCGCCAATGGACGGTTTTGGACATGGCCATTGATCAAGCAAAACTTTTGCAAACAGCTCACAATCGGCATCTGTTTGCGTCTCATACTCATGTTCACGGCGTTCTAAATTCTTGCGCTGTTTCGCGTGCAATTTGAATCCACTAAAAGTATCGCGAAAGTCTTGCGGATATGGTATGCGACAAGGCTTCAGCAGTTTTAAGATGTATGTAAGATGCGGAGCTTGGTTCGGACGAAATTGGACGTAATTGAGAGACGCCGGAGGATTCAGCTTTTTCAAGTCCTCTAACACAGAACAAGCAAGCAGTACCCTAATCACATCCATATTGATATCATCTCGAAATGACATCAAAGCAAACTGGAACTGAAGTCGAAACTTGTCATCTGAGGAAGTTTGTTGGCAGAATCGATATAGAGGGCCAAATGATACTCCGAAATCAACATTCAAGTGATCTGACAAGAGAAGCTTTCTAGGTTCTGCGTAGAAGCCTCTCAGATTAGGATATGTTTGCAGAATACTAGCCACCTCTGCCGTGTTATGTATTTTTTGAGGCCACTGAATGATGTGATCGACGCACTCCAGAATGTTCTTGCGCCTTTGACTAGCACAGTACTTGTCTCGTGAATCATACACAGGGTCGGGCGTCATTGCATGATCCTCAAGAAATCCATCTGGGCGCCTGAAAAGTCTCAATCGGGCATAGCTTCGACTCACTAGGTGTTGTTGTCGCTCTGTTTTCAGCTGCGGCAGTTCCAAGCTCTTTTCATGAGAAAACTTTTCCAAATTATCACTTTTTTCGAGTAGATCATGGATTATTGATTCGTAGCCATCATATTGGATTGTAGTTGTCCATTTGTCATTCCAGTTAATCTTCTGCATAGATTTACCTTCTTTTGGGTAATACTCTCTAATGGGGCTAAGCATAGCAATTCTCGACAGACACTGGCGCGATGTCAGTGTTAAAGGTATCCAAGGCTGGTAAAGACCGGATTTTAAACATGCAACGGCTTCCTCCGTTCCAGTACGTTTTGTCAAAATGTCTGGCAGGAGAAAAGATGTAACACCATGCAGTAAAGCTTTAGTGTAAAGTTGCCAAGGCTCAGCTGGACAATCAATTCGCCCTAGAGAATCATTGATGAAAAAACGACCATAAGCTCCATTATTTTCGATATGTACTTGAACGTGTATTCCATGACAGCGGGATCTTATACTGCTGGGATATTCGCCAGGCAACGGAACAAGAATACTACGCACTCGTGGATTAATAGTATCCCTGAGTACGATTTTGCTGCGTAGTCCATACCAAGCCCCACAGTCCTGATCAGCATCTATCTCCGCGTGCAACTGAGATGATTCAAGATACTTCTTGTTGTTAACTATGAAAGACAAAGATAGGCGTTTAATCTCAACGGTGAGGTTGTTTCTCAGCGGCTGATAGACTGTCAGGTAGCCTGGCTCCTCGAAATATTCAAGGATCCTGTGGACGCGTTTGAATGTTGGGCTAAACGGATCGACCAAGCGGGAGTGACGACGATAGGCTGCACGAGTTCGTATATTCAAATGCCAATTGCTATCTTTGAATCTCCATATATGGGGTCTCTGCCGGATTTCGATGATCCCCGTCGTTAGGTTGAGCCAGCTGCAGATTGTCAGTTCTAACAGGTAGTTGTGTACGAATTCAAAAAACTTACTGAACACAATCGAACAATAATGGTATTGGCAAATCATAATTGGACCCAGTGTGAAATACCCGACTGGGTATAAACTCCAGAATGGTATTTCCTAAACAGGCTCGAACAACGACATTTCCATCGCGAGACCCAAGATGAATGGTATGACCGAACTGATCGTTTGTTAACTGGAACTTGGAGCCGGGCAACGATGAAGGAAAGGTGAGAAGGTTGACATCCCCGAAGAGATCTTTCAGAATGGTCGATGCTCTATAATCAGCCGGAAGCATTCCCAGAGGCTGACCATCTATCAAGAGGTAACCGTAGAATAGATGGAAACTCAGTGTTTGTTCCTTCATGAGAGCCGAACTAACGATTTTTGCATAAACCCACCATTTTTCAGGGCAATCAAAAATCAACGTTGAAGATACACGTGGCTCACTTCCTTCTGGTAGTGGCCAGACAATGCCCACTGCTAGCAGTAGAGATTGAGGGCTAGCAAGCAGAGATTCCCGTAGAAGATGTCGCATATGATAGACAGCTTTCAAATCTCGAATGATAGCATTCTTGAGCCCAGCCGGGGCCAGGGCAGGATCATTAGAAAGATTATCTTGCAGCGTGATTGAGCATTCGATAAAACAACGGAGAGCTTCTGGATCTAGTAGTGCATCATTTTGATGAAAAAATGTTCGCCGACAGAGTAAAGCAGCCCATAAACAATATGTTTGGCATCTGGAAGCGGTATCAGAATCTATTGCCTGCCTAATTTCTTCTCTGAGAACCTTGACCCAAGATGCGGTAATTGACCGAGCAGTGTGGAGTAATTTGGAGGCTAAATTGGCAACATTGGGAGTTGCAAGCTGTTTCATACGTAAAAGTATGGTCAATATTGTTTGCATGGCATGATTCTCTCGGTAGTTTGACTCCATGTTTCTCAACCTCAGATGCAATTGCTCCAACATCCTAGAACAGAAGGTATTATCTCGGAATGACTGATGGATGACACGCAAAGAATCGCCGTCATGATGAGGTCCGGCTTCAAGTACTAGACGCGAGACTAGAATAGCCATTGATTCAGTACTAAAGTTTAGACTCTGAGATCCAAGTTCCACCAGCAACTGTGTGAGACGGCAAGCTTTGCCTGAAAATAGTGCTTGATAGGCCACAAACTCATGAACATTGAGACCTTTAGGACATTGAGATTGACTTGCAACGACCTCGTACGACGAACACCCGTCCCTGTTGGCAGACAGGTGCGGCAAAAGCATCGAGAATGGCGAGCTTTGGGGTAATGTGAACTGGAAATGGTGTGAAAATGAAGGTCTTTCGATTTGAAACTCTCGGCCTGGCCATAGTTGGGAAGAAACGTCGTAGTACGACAACCTCAAGCTATTAGAAGGACATACATCATCAATATCAACAGGGAACATAACCATGCGATAGCTAAGATATATGAGTCAGTAATTGAGGTCTTAGATCTGCGTGAATTAGGCTGGAAGAGTCAACTAACTGAGTTTTGTGAAATCTTTTTGTTGTCGATCCCAATGAAATCCCATGTACTCCATTCCTCATATATCTCGAAAGTCCCGGATAATCTTTCAAAAGTGCCTAAAGTACAGTTAGTTTTGTCCACTCATTTGAAAGGGATGCAGTGGAATCCACTTGCCGGAGGCTTTGAGCTACCACCTTGTTTTGTTGAAAAAGCTAAAGCTGACAAGATCTTCCAAGTTATATCTCGATAACGCGAGAATGTATAGGGACAGGATAGCTCAAAGATAACCACCTTCACTCGAGTTGGATCTGAAGGCAAAGGATGCTCGTGGACCTATAGTTCCAGTAAGCATGAATTCACAAATAAAAGGTAGTACAAAGCGAAAAAAAAAAAAAAAAACATTGCAGTCATGGCCCATCTCACCTCAATTCTAAAATTTTTGGCTTCCCTTTCAAGAGAGCACTTTAAGCAATCCCGACTATGTCCTTCAAGAGTGTAAATGCATGTGCTCTCATTGATCCTCTTGATATGAGTATCATATCCCTGACTCATTCTCAGCCACTCCGCTTCTTTTTTCTGGCGTAACTGCTCTGCATCAAACTCGATAGTCTCAAGGAGATCTTCCATCTTTGAAGCTTCATCAGACTCGGTAAAATAGCGATCGGCAAAGCAGCCTTGTATTGGGTCCTCAAAGATGGTCCTGTATCCGCTATTGCTAACCGCAGTTCTGCAGCGACCTTGCAAATATTCCTGGACTTTCTGCAGTCGGCACATATCTTTAAATAGAGACAGCTGCAAGACATCCAACATCTCAGACGTGAAGAGAGGATGAAACTCTCGAAGTAATGGATAAACAACGCATGCACACTTATCCAAAGACATCCAAAGCTCCATGATGCTCAATAGCATTATAGAGCGTTCTTCCGAGTTAGCAGAATAAGCACCTTTGGATGCATTGAGGTATGCGTTTATTTGTTTAGAAACCTCCCTGCAGCGTGATTCGTTTTCAGTAATGGAAGCAGATGGAGGACGATTTTTCAACTCAATGCTACTTTCCATGTCGCTAAGTTCGATATAGCGGTTTCCGAAATTCCCAATCTTCCTAGAGGCAGCTGCTGATACGTCTACAGAAAGACGGCTGTGCGTTCGCGGAGGTACACGCAGAGCCTCGGCCATGATGCGCTGCAGATAAACACCGCTGTTGGGGAGAGTTAAGTCCAAATCACGATCAGCAGCACGTCTTGGCAGTGGCATGACTGGTCGCTGGTTAGACTGCTTGAAAGTTACCCACTCCAATTCGATATGTTCCGAGGCCCGCCGAATTGCTTTCTGAAAAATGGGTCGCAAGGTTATGAATGTTTGCTCATGAATAGCTCCTAGGGCGCTCGATTCTTTATCGCCATCATTTTCGAGTTTGGCAAGCCGTCGGCATAGCTTGGCTTTTAAGAATGCTAGTAACTCGAGATTAACGCCGTGGATGCTTAGTTCAAGAACCTGTGCCATAGCTAGGCATCTCATAAATTTATACTGCGTCCGGCCAAAATCTGACATCGAATATAGCTGTCTTTGGAGGGCGACTCGCAGTACGAGGTAAAGAGGGTTTCGTCTCCATGGCTTTTCGGCATTAAACCATACCACATCGTCTCGAACTCGCTTCTTTAGAATTGAAGGATAAATCCTCCGACCATTGCCTTCCAATAGTGTCATGAGCATCTGTGATATGAGCGCGCAAGAGGCACTGTCGCGTGCTTCGATAATAAGCGAGCCAGCTTTAAAAGTTCTCGCGGCGAATCGTTTGATTGACTCAGTACTAGCTTGCTCCAAGAAAACGGCCAATTCTTCTAGGAAATCGGGCTGGCGGAATGTTGACAATGGAACATCGACGGCATACCCAGGAAAATCCCATTCTAAGGCATTCTCCGCATCTAACACATCCTCTGCCGATGCAGATGTTTCCATACATTCGAAGACTACGCGCTCCTCGATACTTTTCAATAGTTTTAGCAAGTATTTCTTATGTACGAAATGCATACAGAGTTTATGTAAATAATTGTAAAAACTTGAAACATACCAATGAATAAGTAAAGCTGCATTCTGCTCCGCAATATTGAGAATCAGGTAAACATTCTGCTGGAGAGATCGGAACTCGGATAAGAGTGTAGCTTTCGTCAGTTTTCCTCGAGCATTTAAGACTTTTGCGGTTTCCAACGATCGACGAACCCAATCCCAATTCTCGGAGAGTTTGTCATTCGTAATATCTCTCATGGCCTTTGAAGCCGTGATAAAATGATCTATGAGGCCGTTCTCTAATTTTTCATTTCTGTCGTCCCTGCCAGGAAGACGCGGCGGGAGAACAATATGATTGATCAAAGATTCCATGATGGGATTCGTTGAAGTCGCCATGGCGACAGATGAATGCGATGCAAATTAATGTTGGAATTCAATTGAGGCAATATTGAAGGGATAAATGGGACAATTGTAACTAAGTTGAGAGGTATCGAGATGGAGGGTTCTTGTTGAGGCGAGCAGGATGTTTGGAGATGGTTGTCAAGTCAAATTAAGAGGAGAAATATAAGCCCCACTAGCGCAGAATCAACAAAACAAAACCTAGCACGCCATGGTTACCTAGTAACGCATATCACTTTCCGATAGTTTGATTAAGATTCGACAATTAAATGATATTGAAGGGCTGGATGTTGGTTGATTGGATGTTGAAGGGTTGTAGGCCTCAAACATCCTTAACGTTCCAATTCCCACTTGACAATCGACGAGTCTCTGATCCCGATTCAAATACTTATTTGTTGCCCAACAGCCTCACTTTTCTTCTCTTTCAGCTTTGGAAAGATTATTACGAAGCCGAATTACGATACCCTTGAACTTCAATCTCTCAAATCAAATTATACATTCTTCCATTATCCTTGCATGATCACTTGGATGCAGAATGTAGCAGCCAATTTGCTTTATCTGATGATGCCTTTACCTCCACTTCCTCCAGGAATAAATGCAAGCTTCCTTCTATTGGGTGGTCTACATGATCACCAGATCTGACAATCAGACATGGTATCAAGTAGTATCACTAAATGTACCCACTGAAACATTTCCTCGAAATATATTTCACCAACGGGAAAACAAACAACAAAAGAAACGAAACCCAGCCGATGATACTCTTCAACCATGAAAGCGCATAAAGTTCCTGCATCTCTCACCACCAACCCGAAATGAACAGCAAACAACCCCTCATCTCATGCAGCCAACCAGCATAAGCCATCTCAATCCACTTGTTGGTCGAACTTGGGCTTGTTGGTGCCACTTAAATGCATTGATGGCTGATGTAGTAAGCCATCAACTCCTATCTCACTATTTGCCGTTCAATCTCTACAATCTCTTTGATCTCCCTACAAACGAAGCTTTCATGACATAAATTCGGTATGTGATGAATAGAGTAACTAACCGGATTTACGAACGAAGACTTCTCATATCAGAGAAGCTTTCATAAGCGACATCGCTCGAAATGAATGACGTTGTTTCTCTTTCCTTCCGTCAACCCTTCCAGTTATTATCATTTGAATTACTCTCATCACTCTCATTATTCCGTTCGCGCCTGCGCCTGCCATCTTAAACAGTACCACTTATGAAACAAACACCCCGTACATGCTTTCCTATTCCTTTCCTTTTTCATCTTCCTCAGCTCTTTCCTCAACTCGACGTCAAACGTCAACGAAAAGATTAGTCATCAACCCACCATTCTTATTTTAGGAATAGTCCACCATTTGCAGTACCCCTGTTCAGTTACCCAAGCATCCTCTTCGGGTTTGTACATTTCATATTTTCGGTTTTTTTCGGATGTTGGTTTCTATGATTGATTTGCAAAAATGTTCGTTGTTGAGGCTTCGAGGGATATGGGTTAAGAATGTGCAGAATCATGCCATAGCCGCGAGCTGAGATGGTCTGCAAAAAGCTTTATGTGCATTTTCGGTTGACTGATTACACCATGGCAATGAGTAGGTAATACTTCCCTTCTATATATACACGTATTTTCCCAAGACAAGTGCCTCAGGCAATATATAATTACAACAACCTCTCACTTCATCACCCCCTCAATATCTCTGCTTCTCTCTTCAGCCTGCCTCTTCCTAACTCTCTCCCTCCACCTAATGACCTCAGTCCCCGCAACACCCGCTGTATACCCGGTAAGATGCGACTGATGATCCAAGATCTGTTTCTTAGCAAGCTTGCTCACTCTCCTCCACGAGAAGATCTCCAGTCCAAAAAGGAGTCCTAGCACTAACCATGAAGGAACCTCCGGAGTTAAGCCAAAAAAGCTAACACCATTATCCTTCTTATTCCACAAAAAAGCCGCCATGACACCACAGACTGCACCCGAAGCACCTAGAGTCGACGAAACAAAAGCGCGTTTCCACACCCACCATGCTAATGAAGCGAAAGAAGCTGTTGCACCCATGGAGAAATAGAGGGCAAGGAAATTAGCACGGCCGATTTCGTCGTGGAGCTGGACTCCGAAGATGGCAAGGAAGGCCATATTTGGAAGGAAATGAGAGAAGGTTTGATGAGAGAAGACAGATCCGACCATTGATAATCCTCGAGGGTAGGCAGGAATAATGATAAAGTATTTGTTGAGCATTTGCCAAGCAGGTGGAACACGCCAAAGGAAAAGCACCACGGCATTAGCTACGAGGAGTGTAGATATTGTGGCTACTGCAGGTGGAATTTCCGGAAACATGCGAGCGGCTCTTTGGGGAGGTATGTAGAAATGTGCCAAAGTACACGAGACTCCAATTGTTAGAAGGAGAACTAAAGTGGATGGCCAAAGACGAGTAAAGGCAGACAATTCAGGAACGACCTCAGGTGCAGTTTCTTGAGCCTTTTTTTCGTAATATTTGAGCCAGGGATTTTCACCTTTTCGACGAAGTTCTACTCGTGATCGAGGTTTGACGTGATCTAATGTGCCTGTATTTTGTGGGGCCTCATCTGCTTGGCTCAGCTCTTCCTGTCTTTTCTTCTCTTGAGCAGCGAATTTTGCTTCGTTGGCTTTTCTAATGGCATCTAATCCACTGTCACCATATACACTTTTGGTCTCTTGTGCTGGCCCTTTCGAATCGTTTGACTTATACAGATTGACATTGATTTTTCCTCCCCTCGTTAGACCTCCTCCAACATTCGGTACATATATACCAATCTTCTTAGGGTCTTCATCAATACCTCCCTCCATCTCGGCGAGTTCATGTTCGGCTCTTAACGTTGCATTCTCATCCTCATCAATAGGAACATTCTTCCTTAGCCATGCTAATGCGCTCTTTTGTGCAACTTCCTCCCAATATGCTAAAGAACTAGGCTCATCGGGGTCTGGCAGTGTTCCCGCTACTCTTCGTCCATGTATAACTCTAAGAAATTGCTCCGCCGAATCTACATCCATCACACCCCCAAAAATTGCTTGGCTTTCCTCCTCTGTTATCGGATCTTCTCGATAGTCAAGACCAATTTGATCTTCGTATTCCGCTGGTAATTGCCCATATTTCGTATATATCGTCTTTCCAGGCGCAACCTTGGGAGATGCAGCTTTTTGTGATCCAGTCTTTGGAGGTGACTCATTAGATAACGTCGAACTCCTCGGAATCTTTGGTGCCCTCCTTTTCGAGGCATAAAACCTCTTCGAGCATTGCAACCCTAAAGCTCCTGTCCAGCCACAACCTTCACCATCGAGTTTCCTTGAACTCAACTCCCTCTGTCGAAAAGGTATAGAAGGCCTCGAATATGGTCGTACAGTCCCATATGCAAGCCTCGAGACCAAACTATCAATTGTTCTACATGTTTGCAAAGTGGTCCGAGTCTGTAAGCACGAACTGCGTGCAGCAGGCCAAAGACTATTCATCCTCAGACTCTTGTTTTTATTTCATATCTTAGTTCGAATCATTGGATCAAACAACCCCGCTGCGGTGTACTAATATGTCATCCGACGTCCTTGTGCTAAAGCATGGATTTAGAGAACATAGAAAATAATATATATGCACGGACCAATTCGCGATAATTCCGCGCGCACAGCTGTTGCCTCAACTTCAACCCCTCCATTCTCAAATATCTTCCAATTTCTCACATACAACTATCAGCTCATCGCATTTCGAATTCATAATATAAATCTTAAGGAACGTGACGCGTCCATATATTTCTCAATTATCCTCAAGAAAGCACCAACTTTTACGACTCCAAAACTCATTACAGTCGCAAAAGTTACATTCAACCCCTCTATACCATCCGAAGCTCTACAAACAATCCTTAAATTTACTTCAATCTGACCATGTCGGCCGATGCCCTTCCAATCTCCCCTGGCGCCTTTGCAGAAGCTCTCAAAGACCTTCCCATGTCCACTCTGCACCTCAAAGCCGCCGAGCTGCGCAATTCCATCGCACATCTCGATTATTCCAATGAGCAACTAAAGCCCTTTGCGGAAGGAAGAGCTCCTGAATGTGTGGATGGGAAAGTGGATGAAGATTGGTATGCTAATCTATCTCAGGCTCCTTCAATGATTCATGGATACGCGGAGAAGGCAATCTTAGGAATAACTACTGACTTGGTTCTGATAGTGTCGATGCGATTCGCGAAAACGAAGTCGTAATAACCCGTATGGAGACTCGAATCTCTCTCCTCCGCACCGAAATTGAGAGTAGAGGTGGAGTTTGGGGTGAATATGAAGCCGGTGCCGAGTCCAAACCAGAAGCCGATATAGCTACCCCTGCGCCTGCGACAAATGGAACAGCCCCTGCTGGTGAAGAAAGTAGGAGTAATCCCTGGGCTGATGGAACATTTACTACTGGAAGGATTGTAGGTGGTGAGGTTGTAATGGATCCAACACCAGCAGCTGCAACGGCACCAACGAATGGCCAGTCAAGATCTAATGGAGTCTCGAGCACGAATGGAACCACAACCACAACTACAAACACGGGAGGTACATTGGATGACGAAACATTACGTCGAGCGATGGAATTACGTATGCGAGCAGATGCTGGTGCGGATGAGGATGATGAGGGTATGCATCTATAGGATATAATAACCATCTTTGAACGCACATCGCATCTTTGATAATCTTGGGAGCATGACTGTTCAACAAAAGTTTCGATGAAGTCGACCACAAGAGGAGATGTATTAAAAGCACTTCAGGGCCATGTCAACTCTTTATTCAAACCATCACCATTTATTCTAATTTTGCAAGATCAAATTTTCAGCTCCAGGAAACGCATTAACCACCCATCGCATACAAACAAATCACAGCTGAAAAAAGTATCGTGGGGGAATTATCCTGAACCGACTATATGACGTGATACATTTCAAGTATCTACAAACAATTAAAGAATCACAATCATTGTGATAGCAGCGGATTGCCCAATAACTGCTCCACTTATCCAACCTTCACCTCACCGGCCACTACTCCATCTCGCCACATATGTATAATCAAGCTCCTCGACAAGTTCACGGAGTAAATAGCTTCTAAGAACGAACTAAAAAAGTGCCAAAATATTCGAGGAAGGGATGAAAGGAGGCAAAGGGAGATGCTTCTGCTGCTACTCAAGAGAGTGACATCTAGTTCTTGAGTCTTACCCGATGAAATTGAATAACTATGCTGGCGAAGCTCAGCATGATGTTGAATTGTTGCAAGCACCTTAGCTCTCAAAGCAGCTGATTCGAGTGTGGTAATACCTTATGTTGCACGTTGACTCGGTTGGGCTGGGTGGGACGGGCCGGTTTGGATTTAGTCGGACTGGAGATATAATTATAGTAAGACGAGTAAATCTAGTACTATTGTTTTCTTCGGATCAGCTCTTCCTATCTCTGATCGCACTACATTACACCATCACATCACAACCCCATTCATCTCAGATCTCAAACTTAAAATCTTGAATCTCAAACCTCAAATCCCAAAAGTTATTCGCATAAGCGGCGTTAAGATACCATTTTCCCTACCATTGCTTTTTCATTTTATCACCATCACATTCCTATACTTCCCAAAATAAGCAATAAAAATACTCAAAATTACGGTTGGGAAAAGAGGTGATATATTAAGATCTTACATGTACCTAGTCAACCTACTTACCTCCTTGACACTTAGGTAATTAATCCAAAACCCCACTACCAACTTTCAAACATGTAAGAAGCAAGCTCTGCGAACTCTCCAGTCTTGCTCTCCTGTTCAATTTTAATTGCCTCTGCAGTAACTTTGTTTTTATACAAGCGAGAAGTATTCTTCCACTTTCGAAGAACGAGTTGTGTATCAATCTCTGATGTCTTGACAATCTTACTTCTCACTCATCCAGCCCCCGCCTACCCTCTCCCCAGGTACAAAAATCTCGAATCTCTCTACACTTGGTGACACTACAGATTCAAAATTAATGTACATATACACACCATACTATACTATACATACAAAACTATCCATACAAAAATAACAGTAAAATCCAAGAAAATCCCATTTCCATTCCTGTTCCCATTTCCATTCCCATTCCCATTTCCATTTCCATTCCCATTCATATCCATACCCAATCCCATATCCACAATTTCCTCAAAGAAATCAAACACCAACCAAGCAATTAAATTACCAGAAACCTTGAAAAGCAAGGATTAATTTATGAATGTAATAGCCAGTACGAGTATAAGTACGAGTACAGATAAAAGAGCGACAAACGACAAACGACAAACGACCAACGGACCCTGGTATCAAATATTCACTTCTCTTCCATCCATCTACCCATCCATCTACCCATCCATCCATTAATGCAGCGCAGCCCACCCCATCTCATTAGCATAGGTATACATATAAGAACTATTATTCCAGACTAGCAATCTCCTCTCAAAAAAAAAATACACCATCATTCCGTAACGTATCGTGCATGCATCCATCCATCCATTACCACATCCTCCAATTGCAAAGCACCTACTCGCTCACCTACCCAACTCACAAACAACCCCCACAGCGCAACAACCAACCTATCTAAGCACCTCACCCTCACTTCCCCCCGCACTCCTCCCCCTACTCCCCCAACTCCCTCTACTACCAATCCAGCTTCTCCTCCCCTCACCCACCACTACCGGAGGGCCCTGATACCTCAAAACCGGCACCGACATGCCATAAGCCCTAGTCTTTCCATCCGCATCATGCTGATCCATTTCAACCCTAATAACGACATCCAAACTACCATCTCCCGATTTCCCATGTTCGCTCGGATTTGCAGATTTATGTGCGGTACCTGCTCCTTTCTCACCTAGATGAAGGGGGGAATGTCCATCTTTTGGGATTTCGGAGGGGGAGAGATCGTAGAGGTCGAGTTCTGTGTCTGTGGTTGGGTTGTCGGTGTTTTGATTGGGAGGGTTGGATGAGGATGCGGAGGAACGTGAGTTCTCTGTGAGGATTGCCCAGTTTCGACTAGGCATTGTAACGGTGTTACTTTTAGCGCTCTTTTTATCTTCACCTGGGTCTCTGTCAAAGAAGCTTAAGAGTGTTTCATCTGTCTCTTTATCCAAATGATGGATTTTATTTCTTCTAGCTAATAAATTTGCAACGGCTTGGGGTGGTGGTTTATTAACAATAGCTGAAGAAATGATATTCGCCATATATCTAAAATCTTTCGAGACTGGGATTTTCAAGTGGGGATTCGAATAGAAACGACCAACGGCCGCGAGATGTACGTCGCCACCGAGGATGGTGATGCGTACTGAAAATTGGGAAGCGAGAGATTGCAGCTGTGTGACGATGTAGTGTCGTTCTCTTTTGTGGGTGTGTGCTGTGTAATGGTCATCAAGGTCATCGAGAAGATCAACGCTGCCGTCAAAGTTATTGAAGAAACTCCCACCTATGGATGGAACTTAGTAAGGGTGCTATGAATGAGGATGTGTATAGAATATCGCTTACCAAACCCAAATCGCTTGTTCATAAATTTGAGTGGGCCCATCAAGGGGCTCGAAAAAATGTTCTCTAACCATGTCAAACGCTACTGGTGTTAGCATTGATATACATATTAACATATTTTGATAAACTCACTGGATAAGCAATAGGAATTCCGAGCAAAACAATAAGGTGTTGAACAGGATTTGGAGATGCTTTTGCAGCAGTAAGTTCTGCTCTTAGACGATCGAAAATCTTCTTGTATGTTGCAGGATAGTTCACTTGGTGACGTGTACGCTATGTCAAGAGTCAATTTAGTACTTAGGAATGAATTTTAGCAACTTACCTCTGTTCTAGCATCAATACCGAAGAATGCGATTCTCGCGCCCAATCTTGCGTAAATGCTACGAGAGCGTTCTGCTACATATGGCTAAAAGATGATTAGCCAAATACATCAATAAGACCTGAAATTACTTACACCAGGGCTATCACCAATAATATAACTTGGATCAGGGACGTCATTCTCCAACACATATGTGTTCTCCACCTGACGTGGATCAAGGCCAACTCCATTTGCTGACATTGTCTGAGGTGAATCTGAGAGATTTTAGTTACATTAAAAGGCTGGAACCTTAGAGGATAACAAACCAGTTGTGAATGTAGATGCTGGAGGTGCAATATGATGTTGGAATATTAAGTAGTATTTATGAGCAACACCACCAATACCACGGAAAACTGGACAACGCATAAATTCATCGACGTACGAGCCAAAGCCATCAATGATCTATTTAGCTAGTTAGTAACTAAACTGTATCATAGAAAAACAAAACTCACATCATGATCATCCCAAATGTTAACTTGAGGAATCTTTCCATTCATCGCAGCGAAAGGCTCAGTCGTATACCTGTATTTCAAATCAGACTCTAAAGTTTTCCATTCCCAAAATTGACTTACCAGCGAAGATAATTCTTAACATAATAATCATCACATTCTCTTCTCAACTTTTCAGGAAAAGGATGTTCTCTTCTCTTTATCGGATTACCGATATCACTCCAAGGTCTTAGAGGTCCATTGACTCTAATTCCATCATTGTATATCTGATCTCCACCGCCAAGCCTGTCAAATGTTAGTACTTACCCTTCCCGAAACCCTAATTTTCTTACATAACATGGAAAGGAGCCTCCTCGTGTTGTCTGGCAACATCTCTCCAAAGACAAGCACCACTATAAGCCTCTGTATCCGTGCCCACACTAAATCCATTACAAGAATGAAACATTACCCTCATACTCTCCGAAACCGCTGGTATAAAAAAGTTCTGTCTATCCGTCTTTCCTCCTTCAGCAAATGTGAGCCCAGGAATCGTGTACTCGCATTGGATTTCTTCTTGTTGCATAGGAACTTGGAGATAAAATCTCCAGAAAGTGTTTGCCAGATCCGCATATAGCTTGACTCCTCTAATTTTGACTTCATCAGCATTGCTGGAAGAATCGGATTGTCCGGCATTATCTGGTATGTAAGCATTTGATGACTGTGTAGGGTTTCGATCCTGGGAGTAATCCACGCCATCAATGATTCCATGCGCTTCACCACGATAATTCCTATCTTGAGTTCCAGTTGCAATACCACCTTGCGTAGACTGACCATTCTCCAAAACTCTCAGTCTCAACTCCGGTACCCAACCCTCACTAACTGTCTGTGTATCGACCACAATCAAGACACTCCCAAACCAAACATCATTTTCCATACGTCTATAATTAAGCAAAGGACCGCACTTAACCATTGCCCCAGCTCCTCCCCTTTGTATTCCATTCATGGCATCTCTCTGTTCCAACTCCTCTTGTTCCCTTCTTGCAGCTTCAAGTTCTCCACCTTGGGCATTCCCAGCTAGCATAATTGGTTTATGCGGACCAGATGAACCTTGACCTTCCACTCGCGATTTTCTTAGAAAATTAGTCAAACCACCACCTTCATGTCGTCCATCCGCTTCTCGAGGTGCGGAAGCTGCATGTTGAGAAAATGCGGTGGATTCTTGGTGGCGCCAGCGATTTGCAGATGCGTGAGTATCGGGATGGTCTCTACCATGGATAATATCGTCTCGATAGTGAGCTGCCATTGTTTGTTTGTCCTTGATTGAGTCTGTTGAGAAGATGAGGATGACAATTATATGCGCGTTTGCTCTGCTGGAAATGTGCGTGCGAAGAGGCGGATATCAGAACGCGGAGGTTCTTTGATGTAGACAATACGAGTACGATTTGCGTTCCTGCCGATGAATCCAATTCCGTCATATAAATGCTTTGTGCAACTTCGACTCACTATCCGTCCTTTCCTTCTTTTGTCGGTATGCGAGTTAATTTACTTCTCAGAACAGAACGTCAAAATGAGTCAAAATTCTCATTTCCTGGTATGTAAGTGTCACAATGGCAACAAAATAGAAGATTGAAGGATGAAAATTGCAATTGATATCTGGAAACCAAGTTAATTTACATCTTCCCGACTTTCTCTTGGCTTATTGACGCCAAGAGTGCAATTAAATACAGCAATATGTACATAACAATAGTCAACATCAAAGAAATTGTGATGATATCAAATTTGGCGCAGCTTAAGCTTCTTCATAGAATCACGGACCATCAAAGTAAGGGCGATCACTAATGTAGGAATCCCTGTAGAGCTGCGTATTTAGTCAAGATTAGATATGAGATCTTGTATTTTGACCAATTAGAATGGATTTATTGCTTTTTTGCGGAAGATGATGTGAAAAATAAATTTCAACTACGTACCTACCTCATACAACTAAAAAGTAAAAGGCAATCAATCTACTTATTAGTCCATCCTCTCTTTGTATGGCATGTGCTTAGAATGAAGAGCTTATATTTTCTGACCACACGAGTATCTAATACAATACTAGATAGGTATTAGTTAAGATTCAGCACATAGCCCAGTCCCCATCATCCACCAGCTGAAACCTCACTCACCACGCGACTCTTATCATTTCCAAAGTGGAAAAACATGGCAATCAGGGATGTACCGTTTCACGTATTCACATGCATCTCCAGCATGAAGATCTGTATTAATTTACACAGCTACAGGATAAGTTCTTAGCGCCGATGAAAAGCAACCTCATCCGCGAGAGTTGTAGCGTCTTGTTAACTCTGCATTTATTAGTATTCAAGCTTGTATGCAGTTTCTTGTCTTCAATGTTCGCAGTTAGTATGAGTAATGGGTTTTGCTCGTTCAATAGTCTCTGCATTACGATTGTTAATTCTCTCGGATGTAAAGAGTTGCAGATAAGCTTGCTAGTGCTCGCTCATATATCTTGTTAAATTATCAATACTACTGATTACTTCAGATACTTCAATTGCGCAGTCATATGTCCCTATAACTATACATCTCAGCCCACAGGACCATTCGGCATAGCTGAGTAGTATAATTGCACTCTTAAAATATCTACCTGTTCTATCAAAATCACGTCGAATCCTCTCCGCATCTCGAACAATGAGAACATCCGATTTGAACATGACAGATTGAAAGTTGGAGTAAATGGCTTTTAAAAGTTGGAAAGCCTTTTATGATACCTACCCCCGTCAGCCCATCAACTCAATGCCAAGTTGAGTAGAATTTCACAGACATCTCAAGCCACATTTTCTGCAATTGGCGTTGCGCACTTGATCATTCAATCAATCCCTCATGTAACACCATCACCACAAAATAAACACACCCAATACTACTAGGTTTCTCCCAAGCAATTCGCATCAATCACTACCAACGACTTGACCACAACTCACAATCGCAAAGCCTTGAAACCTCCAAACCTCCACAATTCTCAGCTGCACATTCTCATCCGCCCTCAATCTATCCATTTCCAAACTCCATACCCCCCCCTCCCCCCTCTTCACATGACCAAACTCCCACACCCAAATACCTTTGCCTCATCTCTATCCCAATCCACGTCCCCCTCAAACCCAAAACCTATCCAAAAGCACAAGCCCTACACTAATCCTTCCCCTCAGTACCTATCCCATCCTATCCCTCCTTCTATTACCCTACAACTAAGCCCCTCGTTACCTATCTCATCCCATTTGCCGAGAATCATTGTGATTCTGCCAAAATCTTTCACATGCCAACCCCATCCCTCTTCCAAAATCTTCATTCACATACTAGTTTAACCTTTAATCTATTCAAAACAGAACAGGACGGAATAAGCACATCTAACAAAGAACAACGAGGAAAACTTGCTTGAAGATTCCACATATATGTCTATGATCTACTGACCAATTAGCCGATACTAATACTGATAATTTAGCATGATATTCCCTGCTGCCTTTTCTCTTTTAAGGACTGCTGATATATACACCTACTGTGCTGCGGCTAGAGTCTAGCGAAAGTCATTGAGTTTATTGGAATATTCGAATTCGTCCTCGTAGAGGATGACGGATATAAAATTATTTTACTGAAGCGTTTTTAAAGGATATATATAGTTTAGACATCTGGAACAGGACTTCAAATATGATAAGATTATAGATTGTGATTCCGAGTTTCAACTGATCGAAAGGAATAATTTATACACTTTACTCTAGATATGCTTTATAATACAGGTCCACGGGTAGAAGGATGATGATCGTTTTACTACATTCCGAGTCCTATATTCGTTCTCTTATACTGACGATGATAGATCATATAACTGTATTTTTCTTCTTCTGTTTTTGAGTACCCAGTTGATTAATGACAATTTCCGAATCATTGCAAAATTCCAACCTCTAAGATTTAAAACAAAAAGCTTCGATATGAGAGAATCTGATCACGTGTACATATCCATCCTCATATGTTTGATACCTACTTAGGTAGGTAATCATCACAGCTTACTTCCAAAACTACCTATACTCATAAGCTATACCTATAAGCTATAACTTATAAGTTATAAAAACAAAAAAAACCACAAGATCCATTTCATCGTTTCATCCTTCCACGACAAAGATACGAGATACATGAAGGAATTCGAAAAGCATCGCATATTTAATCTAGCTATTCTCCATACTCTATACTCTTATCATCTCATAGGTAGGTAGGTAGGTAAATCCACCAGCTCTACGGATATATGATATATCATACATCTATATCCCAACTCCGCCCAACCAAATCAAATCAAATCAAATCATAAAATTAACAACCCATCTACTTCAGAATCCGTTTCAATAAACATATATCATACCATTGAACTTATCAACCAAGGAAATATACAGATAGTCCACACATACCTAACTAATTCACTAGTGATTGTAAGATCTTGAGATATTCATATTCCTGATATGCTTATCAGATGTAATCTTAACTTAGAATGTAGAATCGGGAAATCCATAACCTTACCTACAGGATTACCTCGGTACCTATCTATACCTATTCCCAAGCTAAATTAATAGATCTCAAGAACTCAATGTCTCGTTCTTATATCTTAGATCTTAGATCTGACGTGATTTGGTTGTTATTAGATAGGAATCTTGAGAAAGCTGTATATATATATGGATGTGTATAGCGGTGCGATATTCGAGTACGTAGGTAGGTATGTATGTATGTAGCTATGTGTGTATGTACACGGTATTCGGGTAACTCTCATTCATATACCGGTTCTATGAAAACCACGATGAATATCGTACATTCCACTATGAAATAATTTATTAGCTCTGTGGATGAATGTTGTTGTTACTTATTACTTGCTGGTTACTTGTCGCTGTTACTATACCTGTGGATTCCCGACACCGATTAGAGTACGTTCGTTGTACAGTAAGTAATATATATTCGGTTATGCGGTTATGAAGTTTGAAGTTTGAAGTTTGATTGTATGGGAGAATGGAATTGGAACCGAGAGGTCGGTGTACGGGAATCCGGAAATAAGGAATAATGGTGATGTACTGTGTACTCGGAAGGTACTTACCTAAGTAGTATACAAGGTAAGTAGGTAAGATCTTACTAGGTAGGTAATTTGGTGCTTGGATCTCGTGATGGTTGGTGATGCTTTCTTATACTTTGTAGTCCGTAGATGTGAAAGCGAACTGTAAGGTTACCTAGGTATGGATTAATATTGATTAGTGACTTTGACCGCTGGTTGTCATATTGTTGTGTTTATTATACGGTAAATAAATGACTATGAATAATGACCCCAAGAAGTCGCAATACTATCTATCTATCCATTCATCCATCCATCCATCCGTTCTATCGATTAGAGAAAATAGCAATACCGGTAAAAGCCTCAATTTCGCAACATCAATAACTACTTAGGCATATCTATCTATCTACGTACAGGTGTATGCACATCGTTGCTCTATCAACCACATACCCAGCAAGTAGATACATACATACATGAATATCAAATTAGGGTATACGCGGTGCACAGCACAGGCTACATAAAAGCAGCCGATCGTAATGTAACCTTAATGATGCTATACCGTTATTAAAGTTTTCTTTCACAATTCCAGAAGTTCGGTTTGCATCATGCTCATGCAGAGGTTTAAAGTTACATGGCATAAGGTTATTTTGCTGCATTAAAAACGCCGGGTTTGCAGGTACGGTGGTGCGATGGTGCTTTGGATTGAGGAGGTTGGTTGTGTGTTGTGTTAGTATGTGTATCTGGTTTTATATATCTAGTATAAAGATCTCAATCTTTCTCAAGATCTTGATCGTCTGTTTCCATTCGTGTTTCAAAATACAGTATCTACCTAGGTAAATACCTAGTAAGCTTAGGATTCATCAGGGACTTACGCAGCAGTGTACGCAGGGACCTAAAAAGTTTTCCCCTTACTTAAGTTAGTATGATCTGTGGGTATCAATGTTGAGGGGATCATCTAATCGTCCTGAATTATGTTGGACCCTGAATATCAATTGATTTGATAGATGAGAGAGGATTGTTTGATGGTTTGAAGTTTATTTCTCGAGTGTACGAGAAGAAGAATTGAATATCAGATATAATTCTTAAACAATATGAGCAAATTCCTAAAACATAAAATCGACAACCAACAAACACCAGCCTCAACCTCGGATTATCCACCTACCATTCTCAGACATGACAGCTTTTGCCCCTCGTGGCGATGGTAACATGGTGAGCCGGGCAACAAGGGGAAAGCAAGGGATGGAATGTATAGAGAGAGGACAGGGTTAAAAGGTCAAAAAGATTGGTCCGAGATATAGCCCTGGTTATTCAATGCCTCTATTTGGAGTAGTCATGATTTGAAACTCAATTTTCCCGTCTTATTCTAACCTTTATCCGCTTTTCATTCCTCCTCCGCTATTTGTAGGGAGGGATTGATCTGATTGAATGAGCCTATCTAGTAATAATAAGTAGTCTAAACTTTACATTCCACTACATTCCACTACATATTAACTACACATTCACAACATTCACAAGCGATCATTAGAGCAACAAAATATGCTGCGAAACATTACTCTTCAGATATATCATAAAACGCTCGTTGCACATGAGATGGTTCATTGGAGATTCAATCGCTTGGCCTTGACATCCTGGTGCTTGATTATCGATAAAAGGCTTAGTTATATATGTAGGTATGAATATGTGACTAAAAGACATTGGATCCTTTAGTAGTAATTACCTTAGTTGGTATTCCGCACTTCCATCAGATCCCGACGCCCGACAATTCAAAGCCAGTTAATTATAGGTATCCATCCAGAAACACGAAACTTGTCAGTTGAACTCTGACATCACTCACTACCTGCTCCGAGTGCTCACCACTCACTCACACTCACAACTCACCACTCACTCACTCACTCACATCACTCACTCACTTTAAATAACAACTCATTATTCTTTTCAAATCAATATCCCCAGGTTTCTACAAGACAGAACAGCGCATAAGTCTTATTTCTCCAAAACTCGAGGTATAACTACATACTATTTGGCATTCATTTCACTATCTGGAATAGTGAGCACCTTTTTTCTGCATTCCATCTCCAACCTCCTCCGCTTGGACTCAGGAAAGAGAAACAGAAACTACCTACTACCTACTACCTCCAAATGAATTAACCACTTGGGTAATTTGATACAATCTTTTCGATCCTTCAATTACATTTTAGAACCTCATCCATTCATATTCGTTACAAAAGTATCCAATTTTGATGTTTGGATGATCAATGATTACGAATTAAGATTTGCAGGTTCCTCCACCACAAGCCACCAAAAGTCACCAATCACACCTTTTATACGAAGCCTTCTCTTCTAAACAGGACTCAATTCGCTTTTTCATCATTACAGACAAAGTCAATCTACATTACACCTCCCAAGGTATCATCTCAAGGAGCCATCCCATATACTATAACCAGCATTTTCCTGGTTGTTTGAAGATCCTCTTTTCCGATTCGAAACAGCCGCAACCACATTATGATTGAACCGCCCAACGTCACTTTCATGCATTAAACTTCTTCGACTATCTTTTCACTTCACACCATATCCCTTTTTCTCTCTCGACATCAGGAATTGAAAAATCATGTCTATAGATGTCGCTCTACAATCCGTTGCATTCTATATACTATCCTGCTCTACTTGCGCCAAGATCAGCCATAGGAGAAAAGCAAAGGAACAAGCGAAACGAGAACGAGTCGAAAAACATGCATTGGAAACAGAACAACCAGGCCTGTATAGGCATCCTTCACCATTCTCAACAAATCCATATTGGACGGAAGAAATTATGATGGGTCCCGGTCCGCCGAGTAAAAAGGGATATAAGAAGGATAAAAACGGAAGTCGGAGAGGACTTAATACGGCAGGACAAGGGAGTAGTTATGCGAGTAGTGTTGGGATGAGTACTGATCCTGGGAGCAGTCCTACGGTGGTTGAAGAAGGATCTCGAATATCTGGAGAAGGATGGAATAGAAAACGATATCAGCGAGAAGATGAGGAACTTTGGGGTAGAGATACACAAGGGCCCGGACAAAGGATTATGGATGCAATTACAAGGGCCTCGGAATCTGCTGGACGAATGTTCGGGGTGGATGGAAGACCTAGTAGTAGGCATGGATCTGATGGAAATCCGGAAACGTATTATCTTGCGAGAAATCCACCAGTCAATGATTTACATCCACCAATTGTCAGTACAGCACCAAGGAGTAAAGAAGAAACGAGATGGATGATTCAACCACCTCCATCAGCAAAAGTAATGGAAGGTAAGGTTAGAGTCAGTAGTAGGAACCGAGCTGGTAGTCATGGAAGCAGTCGAAGAGGTACAGAGGGACAATTAGGTCGAATTGTTACGGAAAAGCTCATTGATGCTAAGGTACAACGTGGTGAAACACCTTCACAATTGGAAATTCGATCCTTTACAAATCGTGGTCAATATCATGACAGGAATAGGAGTTCATCCCCGGAATCCTCTAGCTCATTAGATAACTATACTGCAAAAAGATCCCGAAAACCATCTCCAATCACCGTACCTAAAGCCTCTAGTAGCAAACCCCGTGGTAAAGCCGAACATATTCCAATACGAGACTCGGAAATGGAAATGAAGGAAGCAGTTGGAGGAAGGCCACTACTATCGACAATTGTTAGCTCTTCGAATGTGGTACATCAATTACACAGGAGCCAAAGTACGGATTTACCATTAAGAGAATTATCGAAACCTACCACTGAAAACGCAAATTCGAAAATGACTGCAAAGGAATATCGGGCTGCAGCTGCAAGTGAACCTTTACCGGATAAATCATTGGCAGTTCCTATTACATTGGGAGATGCAAAATTGCAAAAGTCTGAACATATAGAGGGATCTCCTACGAGCAATGTTTCATTACAAGCATGAAAGTCTTCTTTTTAAATAATAAGGGGGAACACATTCACATCCTTACAACAGCACACAATGATTTGATAGATCATTAGCGTCTATTTTTTATGTCTTTTTATTCTTGTTTCTCTGTTTTTTGTTTTTGTGGCACATTGATGTTTTCATGAGCCACTGTGTTTTAGCATATCCAAATCATTGGCATCGATATTGGACAATGGAGTAGGAGTTATAAAAATTTTCCACTTTAGCTTTGTTTAGCTCGGGTCTTTTGGACTGGGGACATGAAAAGGAGTATGGGTATTGAGATTTTGTTCGTTTACTCGTTTACTGGTTTATGTTCTGGGATGATATGAGGAGTTTTGGATAGTGTAGTGCAGTGGAGTGGAGTGGAGTGTTGGGTTTGTGTTTGTGTTTGTATGGTTTATGAGGATGGGTTGGCTGGATTGCCTGGGATGGGTTTTGTGGGGGTTTATTTTGCCTGGGAGCGGACTTGGAGGGGAGGCCTTTGGATGAGATACATGCTTGCATGAATGTATTTGTTATGAATGAATGGATTGATAGGTCGTTGAATGAATGAATGGATGGATAATATTGACATCCTTCTAATTCGTATTCATGATTATGATTTTTTATTAGAATCCAGAGAATTCTGAGAATTGACTGAATCGATGAGAGGATGTAAGGAGTAAAGAAAGAAAGAAAGAAAGATTATGTAATATGCAGCGAATTGAAGCGAATTAAGTTAAGTTGAGTTGAGTTGAGTTGAGTTGAATCAAGAAGATAGAGTAGAAGGAATGAAATTAAATGAAATGAAATAGAATCATTATATCAAGTAAAACCCAATCATTGAACAAATAAAAAAGTGTAATACTACACAATACAATACAATAAAAGCATATGTATACATTTATTCCAAAAAAAGAAAAAGCTCTATTTATTTATTTATTCATTTAATGATTTTAATTACAGAATTCCATCTTATTCCTTATTCCTTATTTCTGAATTCCTATTCCAGAATTCTTCCTTATTCCTTATTCCAAATCAATTATCAAAAATCCATAATCGATAATTGAAAATCGATATACTGCTACAACTACTACTACAACTCCACACATACCTAGGTAGGTATTTATAATAATAATCAAGCGGCCATCCATCACACATCACACATCCTCAACATCATCATCCACTAACTCGACTTACTTTTCCCCTCCCACCTTTCCTCTTTCCTCATGTTCTCTCCCTCCCCCCTCCCCCCTCTCCCCCTCTCATAACCCACAACAACACCACCACCACCCCCCATCACCCATCCGCCATCTTCGAACTAGCCCTCTTAATAATCCTCGCCGTCTTCTCGACCAAATCCTTAGCCAACGCCCAATCACCCACTTCAACCGCATCCCTAATCGCCGGGAAGTACGCCTCTTCATATCCGGACCAGAGTTGCGGGCCAAAGATGACATGTTTAAATTGTGTTCTATTGGGTATCTAATTTTTTTATGTGTGTTAGTTCATGATATTATTATTAAATTATATGAGTGTACAAAAAAAAAACAAGAGCATGTGATATGATAATAGATGATTGAGACATAAAAGTCCCAAAAAAGAGTGTTGAGAATAGAGGGAAAAAGGAAATAAAATAAAATAAACATACCCCACCACCTTCCTCCAAATCCAAAAGATGAGTTTCAAAATTCGCCATCCGAGTATTATGACTCTTTCTATGCGAAGCCAAACCTGGACTTTCAAAACCTCCACTTCCCATAACCAAACCATCCCATTCCAACTCAAATTTTTCAAACCTTCTTGAATCTTGCGCAAAT